GAAACAATCCTAACTCTAATATGTCAAAAGAGGTGATGTTAAGAAATAATTTTAGATGATTCTCTGAAATATCGTTTTAGGCAAAGCTTATACAGATTTATATTATTTTATGATTCTCTGAAATAATTTGAAATAGCATGTACATCTACAATGGTTGCTGACGCTTGCACAGGGCTATACAATTCATTTGGCATAGATAGATTACATATACTTCCAAGTCTTGGAAAATGGCAATGGCATTCCCTATTTAAACAAAACTCGCACATTAACTAAAATAATCTATCAAAATATTAAAAGTTTGAAAAATTATTATATCAACCAAATAAAAATTAGAAACTTATATAAACCTCAGAAAGGTGAATTAAAATTTATGCTACAATAAAAACTAGTAGAAGGACTAAAAAAAAAAAAAAAAAAAAGATAAAACAAAGAATAAAAAACCCAAAATACGTCGCTAACCCTTTGTGGCCTATAAAAACTAGTTGAGATTTCCCTAAGTTAAGGTTGATGAAATTTCTGTTACAGGGATAGGAATTCAGTTCATTAGTTGAACTATCCAGATGGGAAGCTTTTCTGAATAGAAATGTTGCAATACAATTTGGGATTTTAGATTTCTGCTCTACAAAGGATTTGAGGTGAGGTAGGGTTTATTGTTTGTGAAATTAGGGTAGAATAAAGTTTGTTTAGGAAGAAACTAGTCGCTTGCCGCCGTTACGCTGCGATCCAGTAAAAAATAAAAAAATCTATAAACTGCCAGTTAGCCTACACGAAAAGTCATATTTAACTTGTCCTTTTCACCAACAAGAAAGACGTTCCACTCCATGCAAATCTGCCACGCGTCCTGGTAAGTCATTATCCAGTTTCTATACTTTTGAGTTTAGCAAGCTCTTCGTCGAGCTCGTCATTCCTATCCATTCTGTTAGCCCCTTCTCTGACCCACCCCACAGATTATCCCATTAACCCTTTAACCGTGACAGTACCAATAATAAAACAGCAGTGAATCCTGTCATTGACCTAAAGCTGCTAATCTTTAGCAATCAACACAGATAATAACTTATACGTGTTGGCTGCTGTCATTTTTAATGTGTCACGTTCGCTTGCAGTTAACCAAAGATCTAAATTAACAAATTTATAATAATAAAAAGTTTTAATTAAACAAAAAACAATCGTAGAAAATTTTAATTAAAAAAATTAAAACTACATAGAGATAGAGACCAAATAAAAGAATTAAAGTTGAAACAAAATCAAGATGGGAATTTATTGCATGAATTGACTTTTAAGTTAGGAGTATAATCTAGAATCGTTCGCTCGTTACAATATCTTTAGCCTAGAACTAAAAAAAATCAATGAACCTAACTGAATAATTTATAAATGAAAGCTGTATTTTATCAAAGTTAGTAGTCAAGAAATGAAATTAAGACAAGAAAGAAGGAAAGAAGATTTAGCTCCAACAATTGATGGTCAGTGGTTGAAATGGCTAAATCTTTTCTGAATTTTAATTTATTTAAAAATTAATATCTGAATTTTTAATTTTAGTTTTCATATTTCTTTTTTTTTTATATATAGATTCAGTCATTACATTTCTATTTTTTTTTAGATTTAGTCTATTTTATGATTTTCGGCTATCAATTTTTTAAAAAAAGTTTAATTTTTAATATTTTGAGCTAAAGTTTTGCACAAACATGGGAAAAAATTCAATTATTTTTTGTAAAAAATCCGATAATTTTTCAAGATAATAAATACATTTGTTATTATTTAAATATTAAAAAATTAACAAAAAAAAAACTCAGAATGTTCTCAAATTTATTAAAAATCTCTAAAAAAAATCTTGTCGAACGATTTTATTATAGAACTATTTTTGTGATTCTTATTCTTTAAGACGAAATGACAGAAAACTAAAAAAAAAAACGTGAAATTTCAAAAAAAATAAATTAGAGAGATCAAATTTAAATTTTAAATTAATAAACTGAATTTTAAATAAATTAAAGTTTAGAAGAAATTTACCTTTTTTAACCGACTTGCTAAAAAAAACAGGTAACCATATTAGCCATAGGCTGCGGATTTCCCTTCCGTAGGCTGCGGGATGAGTGAAGCTGTCAAAATTATGCTTTCTTCAAAAGACGTTGCAAGGAAGTTGTCAAATACGAGTTAGTCAACAAGGAAATTTCCTTTGTATCTATGTACTATGCATAGTTGATTTTTTTTTAATCATGCCTAAGGAGGGATGGTAATTTGCTTTGGCCTGTTCCGCCCCGATAAACTCGTGATTCCTCACATTGATTAGAGAACGGGGCAGACGCCCTATGAACGGAGATGGTATTTATCCGTTCTGCTTCGTTTATCCCATTTCATAATTTTTATTCTTAAAATTATAATTATACGTTATATAAAATTTGTGATTAGTGACTTCTAATTTATTTTTTATATGAATTATTATTATTATTTTATAATAGTTAAAAATTTGATAGAAAAATAGAATAAAATAAAACGAAAAAATTTGATAATTATTTTACTCCGTTTGTCCCTTTAGTACAGAGATCCTCATGTTCGTTTGAGATAGAGATGATATGATAAATTTTATCCCATTAAGAGCACGAGGCACGCATAAAGCGAAATTTTTAGAGGCAAGGTGGAGTCGAGAGTGATAATCTTCGCCCCCGTTCCAACCCCATTGCCATCCCTATGCTAAGTTCAAGTTCTGTCTGATTATGCTAAAATATTATTTCTGTAGAAGTTGTTGTTTCTTTACATCGTTGCCACATGTTTAGCCCACCCCCTTCCTATAATCGTTGACAGTCGCTTTTACCACTTAATTGTTGTCAGCTCACCCTTCCTATTTCTTGAGAGAGATTCTGAAAAAATATCAGTTCACCCTGATCGTTGTCAGCTCACCCTTCCTATTTCTTAAGAGAGTCCAAAAAAAATGTTAGAACTCTTCCTATTTCTTGAAGAAATAAATATTTCGTGAGAGAGACTCTTACGAAATATTAGAACTCTTAATCGGAAGAGGTGTAATATTTCTTAAGAGGTCTAACCTTCTTTAAGTTTTATTTTCATTTTAGATTATTTATTTATTTTATTTTATTTATTATTTTTTGGGGGGTTTGGTTTTATTGTTTGGATCTGTGAGAGATCTCCCATGCCATCTAGTGAATGTTTCTCCCGTCTGTTTTCTATTCATGGCCTAAAGTTAAAATCTTGTTCTAAACTTGTGATTTTCATAAATTTAAGGCTATCTTCTTCTATAGCATCTTCGTGCTAATTATGTGCTAGTTTTGTGAAGCTTTTTTTTTTTTTTTTTTGTGCTAATTTTCTTTTTCTGCTTTTGCTTGGATGTTACTGGACAAAAGGCCTGGTTATTCTATTGTTTGTATCTGTGAGAGATCTGCCATGCCAGCCACTTAATGTTTCTTCTTCTGTCTGTTTTCTATTCATGGCCTAAAATTAAAATCTTGTTCCAGATTTCTAATTGTTGTTTATCCTCTTAATGATTTGAGTATTGAGTAGACTTTCTTGAGTTTTTTTATTTGCCCTAAATTTTTCTTCCCACTTTATGGATGTCAATTCAGATAAGTTGTTAGATTTGTGAATTGTAACTCCAATCTCTTTGCTTATGTTCAGCTTTTGAATTACAGGCCTCCCTTTTTGTTATTGAAGTTCTTGAACTCTTGCTCTTGCTTAGAACCAGCTACTCTACCCAGCATGTACATCTACAAACTACAATGGTTGCTGACGCTTGCACAGGGCTATACAATTCATTTGGCATAGATAGATTACATATACTTCCAAGTCTTGGAAAATGGCAATGGCATTCCCTATTTAAACAAAACTAGCACATCAACTAAAATAATCTATCAAAATATTAAAAGTTTGAAAAATTATTATATCAAGCAAATAAAAATTAGAAACTTACTAAAAGATACTTATGAACATTTTTTAACAAAATATTTAAACTCAAAATCTAATACTTCACTGTGGGGGCTTTCTCCCGTTTATCATTAGTTTTTACGATATTAAAAAACACATCAAAATACAATCCATTAACTCAAATGAAAAATACACATCATCAAAATACGATTCATTTGGTATAGATAGATTACATATACTTCCAAGTCTTGGAAAATGGCAATGGCATTCCCTATTTAAACAAAACTAGCACATTAATTAAAATAATCTATCAAAATATTAAAAGTTTGAAAAATTACTATATCAAGCAAATAAAAATTAGAAACTTATTGAAAGATATAAGATAAAAAAATCAATAATTTAATATTATAAAAAATTATAAAATTAAATAATTAGGATAACAATTATACGTAGATTAGGTAGCTAAAAGCCTGTTCTTTGTTTTACCAACAATTTTCCATCCTAACCAGCAAAGATAGCTGAATCATACCTTTTTCCTGCAAAACATTCCTCTCCTTTTTCCTGCAAAACATCTACACAAAGGAAGCTGTAACTACAAGTCTACACTCATTTGCTTCCATCCTAAACACATTCCTTACCGCTACGAAAACACATTACGGACACTGCTCTCGTACTCCCACTTGTCAAGCCATCAACAAAAGCAAGCATTGACAGGAAACAAGAAATTCACCCACTGATTTCCCAAAATTCAATCTCAAAATTAATGGCTTATCCATCTTACTCCCTTTATTTTACTGCAATTAGTCATCTAGATCCAATTAATGGCTTGTTCACTCACTGATTTCCCAAAATTCAATCTCAAACTTATATCCTAAATTCCCAAGTTTTCAAATTGTGCGATTACTCTTCTAGTAATGAAAATAAGCATTGATGGTCGATAGATGACAAATGTGGGAGTACTATGATACTATCTAATGTGAGATCCAATCCATCTACCAAACACATGACAAATGCCATGGACCATTATTCCTCAAGAACAAATTCAGGCCAAGAATAATTATTGTACATAAAACACAAATGTGTTTCTCTTCCCTTGAATGGAGATGAAGGAGGTGGGCTGTGGCTGGTAGTTGATGTCTGGTGGCCGGCGGAGCGTTGCTCTATTTCTGGCAGAGAGAGTCTGTGAGAGACCCAGAGAGGAAGGGAACAAAATGTTGGAGAAGATGGCACTGTGGGAGAAAAAGAGGGGGTCGGAGGGCCGTTGTGGAGCGTGGAGTGGTGACTGCTGAGTGAAGGTGGCTGACTGGCTGGTTGGTGTTTTTTCTAAGGAAGTTTACAATGAAAACCGAATTTTGGTTCACCCTATTTGACGTAGAACGAAAACCTAAGATACTGGTATGAGATTTTTATGCCCTTAAGATATTGTTTATTCTTTCTATCTCCCCACCCTTTATGCCATTAAGACGCTGTTTACTTTCTCTCGATCTTTTACGAGGGTTTTATGCCATTAAGACGCTGTTTACTTTCTCTCTCTTTCTTCCTTCCTCTCTCTCTCTCTCTCACCCGCTTCTCTCTCCTTCTCCCTCCCCCCCCTCCCCCCCCTCCCCCCCTCTAATCTTTTACGAGGGTTTTATGCCATTAAGATACTGTTTACTTTCTCTCTCTTTCTCCCTCTCACCCCGTTCTCTCTCTTTCTCCTCCTCTCTCTCTCTCATCTTTTATCTTTTACGAGAGTTTTATTCCATTAAAATACCGTTTACTCTCTCTCTCTCTCACCCCCTCCCTCCCCATCTCTCTCTCTCTCTCTCTCTCCCCCCTCTCCCTCTCTCTCTCTCTCGCTCCCTCCCTTTGGCCAAGAAGCTCCAATATGCTTCTTGGTTTTCCCAGAAACTCCAAGTTTTATTTGAAGAAAGTGGTTTCAGGCCAAGAAGCTCCAAGATGCTTCCTGGTTTTCCAAGAAACTTAAGATTTATTTCAAGAAAGTAGCTCCAAGATTTATTTCGTTCCTTTCAGTAAATAAAGTAGCTCCAAGAAATAAACAATCATATCACTATCAGCCACAAGAAAGAGTAAACAGCATCTTAAATCAAACGTTCATTAAATATCGAGCGAAAACGTCAAAACGCTCGATCTTTTGCAGAAGAGAGCCGGAGGTTTAGCGATACTGCAAGGGCTATCATTTAGGTCTCAAACCTTGCACGAACTTTCTTTAAGTTTTATTATCATTTTAGATTATTTATTTATTCATTTATTTTTGGGTTTGGTTTTATTGTTTGGATCTGTGAGAGATCTGCCATGCCATTCACTGAATGTTTCTGCTGTCTGTTTTCTTTTCATGACCTAAAGTTAACATCTTTTTCTAGATTTGTAATTTTCATGGTAATCAATTGCAATAAATATTGTTGTTTTTCTCTTAATGATTTGAGTATTCAGTCGACTTTTTTTTGTGCTAATTTTTTTTTCTGCTTTTGCTTGGATGTTACTGGACAAAAGGCCTGGTTATTCTATTGTTTGTATCTGTGAGAGATCTGCCATGCCAGCCACTGAATGTTTCCTCTGTCTGTTTTCTATTCATGGCCTAAAATTAAAATCTTGTTCTAGATTTGTAATTTTTGTTTATCCTCTTAATGATTTGAGTATTGAATAAACTTTCTTGAGTTTTTTTTTTTGTTTGTGCTAAATTTTTCTTACCGCTTTATGGATGTCAATTCAGATAATTTGTTAGATTTGTGAATTAATTTGTTAGATTTTTGAATTGTAACTCCAATCTCTTTGTTTATATTCAGCTTTTGAATTACAGGCCTCCTTTTTCGTTATTGAAGTTCTTAAACTGTTTCTCTTGCTTAGAACCACCTGTTCTACCGAGCATGTACATCTAATCTACCCAGCATGTACATCTACAATAGTTGCTGACGCTGGCACAGGGCTATGAATAGACACTTTTTTCAAGGACCTGGGCTATGAATAAACACAATATACAGTAGTTTCCAATATGTTATAAGCTTGCTTTTCAATATTTCATTTTGAAGGGCGCATGATGAAGCTTTTGGATTAGCACAAGCATAAATTCATGAATTTGACAAAGATAAAGTTTTGACTGATTGAGTTATTGGTGTCTTGAATTTATTCAGATGCTGGAGAAAACAACTGATGATGGCTAAAGATACCAGGAGGATAGACGTTCTATGCTATCGTCTGTTTTTGTGCCAGAAACTCCTGAATGGTACTGAAAAGTATCACAAACTTCTTGTTGATGAAGCTACAAAGAAGCTTCTTGAAGCTAAAATGGCTAATCTGCAAAGAAGCTTCTTGCAGCTAAAGTGGGTAATCTGCAAAGAAGCTTCTTGAAGCTAAAATGGGTAATTGGTTCGCCTGTAAAGATGGATAGACGTTTATCCAGAGGTTCAGAAACTCTGTGCTTTTGCTTGGCGGTTACTGGACAAAATGCTTTCAAACACCATTTCCTATCCATAGCCTAATCCAAAGATGCAAGGTAATCATTGGATTTTGATATTTTTTTGAGAAAAGGAAATTTGTTAAGCGGGCAAAATTCCTTACATTGGAGAATGTGGCAATTTTATAATCCTTTATCTGTTTGTTGTTCTTTTCAAATTCATTTCTATTCATTGTTTTTTTGTTCTCTAATGCAAAATTTATTTGGAAAAAAAGGAAGTTAAAGTGTGATTCCCATCACCAATTGTGCTTTTTGCCAAAATTATGGCCACCAGAGTTTTTCTTGTCCTATTGTTAAAACCAATGTGAATGAGGAAAAGACATATGATGCAAAGAAGATCTGGCTGCCTAAGGTCTCTGTTAATAAGGAAAATTGACAAAGGGGAGAATAATATTGGAGACTCAAATCCTTTTAATATTCTTACCGAGGCTAGTTTTGGAGAATCTAACCATGAAGTGGGTTCTAGTGAGCTTTTAAGGGTAGTTGAGGCTTTCAATGAATCTTCAATCATGGTAATAATATTGGGACAACCAAGTATCAAGTTGCTAAATCAATTGAGAACTCTTCCGCTGATGATGCCCAGTTGGGAGTTTCTGCAATCAAAGCTCCTTCTCTTAAGGTTGCTACAAGGGGTACCAGGCAGGCATCTAAGGGAGTACCAATTCTAGTGCAAAATGTGAAGCAAAAGCAAAAGAGGAAAGGCAGCAAGAGGAAAGGTGTTGATGATAGTACTCCTGTTGTAATCGAAGATATAGTTCCTGGTTTTATCCCTCCTGATGATTAAGTCCCTAGTGTGGAACATTAGAGGGTTTAACTACCCTCATAAACAGAAAGAGGTACAAAGAATGATCGAAAATGATAACTTTGCTCACAGGCAGCACTGCTACAATTATGACCATTCACACATTGGGAGAATCTGGTTCTTTTGGTAGAGTTCTATAGTTCTTGATGTTGTGGAAAAAGACAGTCAATTTATTCATTGTAGGTTACTAACTGTGAGTGGTGACTGCTTATGCTACTTGACCTTCGTTTATGGCTCTCACAAAACCAAGCAGATATCAAAGCTGCTAAACTATATTTCCCTAACTAGTAAGAGCCTTAATCAGTCTCATTGGGTTATTGCTGGTGATTTCAATGTGATTAGATACCCAAATGAGACTACTACTTTTGATCATTTGAAAGCTTATATGGAGTCCTTCAATGCTTACCTCAAATTCTGCTGATGTTTTGGATCATTGTAGCACTGTATTGTTCTGCACTTGGTATCATAAACAGGTGGCGAGTCCTATATTGAAGAAATTGGATAGAGTATTGATGAATGATGCATGGAGATGTGCTTTCTCTCACAGCATGGTTGAATTTTTAGATCCAGACATTTCTGATCACTGTCCTAGCCTCCTTTAAACATGTATTGAGCAGAAGTCTAAGTGTAAGCCCCTTAAATTTTTGAACTTCGCATGATAAATTCAAGGATATTGTGGCTACTACATGAAATACTAGAATTTATGGTTGGCTTATGTACAGAATTTGACAGAAGTTAAAACCTCTTAAAGGAGCTCTTAAGAAGCTAGACTCAAGCTTCTATGGTGATGTAACTGAAAAGGTTTTAGTTAATAGATCTGCTCTTGCTGCTGTTCAGAATAACTTTTTGACTGACCCTTCTCCTCAAGTGATGATACAAGAGAAACATCTCTCTAGCTTACTTACCAACTATCAGATTGCAGAGGAGTCTTTTCTTAAACAGAAGTCAAGGGTGGAATGGGTCCAGCAGGAAAATCCAGAAATTGATCATCAATCTGTTTAATAATTCAGGTGATGAACTGACTGCAAAAGATGATATTGAGGCTGAGATTGTAGGCTTTTATAAAAACCTTCTAGGAGAAGAGGATCTTAATGTTGCTTGTAGCAGTGATCAAGAAGCTATTCTATCTGCCCCTATTTCTTCAGAAGTAGTTAAAAAGGTTGTTTTCTCTTTGAATGGCAATAAAGCTTCTGGTCCTGATGGATTCACTGCAGAATTTTTTAAGGCCTCTTAGGATATTACTGGTGAGGAACTCTTGCTATTCTTATTTTATTTTCAAACTGATAAGCTTCTTAAAGCTGTAAATGCGACAATAATCTGTCTTATAGGTTACAGGTAAAGTGCAAGCTGCTATGTCTTGTTCAACCTTGTACCAGTGCATCTCGAAAATCATTGAAAATGGGCTAAAACTATGTCTTCCTCAACTTATTAGCCTAAATCAAACTGCCTTTGTGGAAAGCAGAAGAAGTGGAGACGATATCAGGTTAGCCTCAGGGATTGTGACGAATTATCATAGAGCTACTGTCTCTCCAAGATGCACTCTCAAAAAATTGGGTATTGGAGAGTGCTAAAATTTGGTTGAGAAGATAACATTATGTCATTATGTCCTCTAATTCACTCTATTAAAATTAATTTATCAAATTTATGTTCTAAGTTAATGAATAACTGAAATTTATCATTATGTGCTCTAATTTATCAATCTTCTTCAGGCACAGGAGACTGGTTGAAGCACATGCGTGACATATGGCTTGCAGTTGGAGTACATGGAGTAAGCAACATTGTGCAAGTCATCTGTTTGCTCTCATTCTTGATCTGCTTGAATAAAAGGTTCAAAATTATATAATTTTGCTAATCTATACAGTATATAAAAAGCATAAATAGTTTTGATTCAGTATAGTACCGTTTGTTTTTGTGAGACAAAAATAGCCTCGACATATATCATGTTGACAATACTTATGTCTAATGGAGTGTGTGGATGGTCAATTGAGTTTCAGAAATCAAATCAACTTTTACATTCCACTTTAATCTCATCAATGGAAGTGCAAATATTTTCTTCTTGCTATTCTATGATTTTTTTTTGCCATACATGAAAAAAAGGGTAAAGTCCGTGCCCTATTCTGTTGAATTTCAAATGTTAAGGTTTGCTTTTCTAAGCTTAAGCTGGCTGGAATGGAACATCCTTTCAACTTGGACCCTAGTTTTAATACCTAATTTATCATGAGATTGCTGCAACTTATTGTAAGAAGCCTAAATTTTGAAAGCAAACACCCCTGGTCTTTCATCCATAATTCTCTTCAATTTTGATTTCATCTAAATTTTAGTGACCCTGGAATTGCACTTGAGATCATGTCATGGCTATGATTGTGTGTGTGCCTGTGTGCACATATAAGAGACTTTGTAATGAGCTTCTAGAAGAAAATTAAAATGCATTTTTTGGGGTTTTGTACACTGTTCTTTCCTTTACAATTATGTTAAAATTTATTATTATTGATAAAATATTAGGTAATGCATAAAGAAATATGATAATCAAACTTTTAAGAATAGACAGTATAAAATTTTCCCCAAAAAAAAAAAAAAAAAAAAAAAAAGGAAAATTCAAGGCAAACACAACTCCTAATTAGGATTTCATGTGATACCTTAATTGGATTGCAATGTTATTATACAATTTCTAACAGGGAATTACTGTGGAATGGCAAGAAAGAAATAAACAAAACACATAAAAGGAGTATTTTAACTAAAGTTGGAACACTCAGACAAAAGTTTTTAAAGCACAGAAATACCCTTGGAAGAAGACATAAACGTGGCCTGCAAAATTGGTGCTGCTGTTTGCTCCAGTTAAGTGATTGGGAGAGAATTTGATTGTTATTCCAACAAACTCACTAGTAAGTTTCTTGCTTTTGAATTTCTATTTTCGAGTCATGAAGCTCCATCTCTAATTATGGGTTCTTCTCTGAATTTTGATAGTCTATTTCTGATTGAGAATAGCTTAGATTTCTTGTATAGCTACATCTGAAAAGGCAGATCTAGGTCTCTGACCCATAAATAGAGCGATGGCTTTCGAAAATGGGTATTTTGGGGGTCAAAAGAATCAAGATTTTTTTAATTAAATTGGGATGAAGGCTTTGGGTATTTGTGTAATGATTAGAATAACAAGTTACAGTTGATGAAATTTCTGGCACAGGGATAGGAATTAGACAATCAACAAGAGCCACTCTGTTTCTTTCTTTACATTTTTTTTTATATGTGGGTAAGTGGGATAAATTCTATGTAGCACAAGAGCTTTCCCTGATAAACGATTCTATAGGTACCCCTCTCAGATTTATCAAGTGTTTGATGGGGAGCTCTTCTGAATACAATTTGGGAATCAAAAAGACTGATCCTACGATGGATTCAGTCCAGAAAGAGAAGGAAAGAAGAAATATAAGAGAAGCTTTATTAAAGAATAGAATAATTGCGAAGGATTCAGGGGAAATCATAATGCTCCAAAATTTGATCTTATACAAACATAAGTTCACCCATTTGCTCTTAATAAACACATGATAAGTAAAACAGAAATATAAGAAGAAAAAAACACAAAGTTTAACGTGGTTCGGTCATGAAGACCTACATCCATATGAGAAAGGTTTCAACTCTTTATTTCTGTCAAACCAAATACAGCAGCAGCAGGTTCCTTTTATAATAGCCATATACACCAGAATAGGAAGCCACAATTTAGAAAAATTAGAATAGGAAATTAGGGTCATATTTCCTCTTGATTTTCTGTGATTACAGTGATTGATTTCTTCCTAAATAAGAAGCTTATGTTCCTCCTAAATTGAAGGCATATTTCCCACACTCCTCCTCAAGCTGGTGAATAGATATCGGTCATTCCCAGCTTGCTAAGACAGATATCAAAACTTGATTTCTGAAGAGCTTTTGTTAGAATATCAGCTTCCTGAGATTTGGTAGGGACATAGGACAGAACAATAGTTCCATTGTCTATCTCATTTTTGATAAAATTTCTGTCAATCCTCACATGTTTCATTCGATCATGTTGGATTGGATTGTGAACAACACTGATAGCTGATTTGCTGTCATTGAACAGCTTCATAGGGCTTGTTTCTGGCATGTTTAGGTCTGTCATTAACTTCTGAATCCAAATAAGTTCATAGGTTCCTTGAGCTATAGCTCTATACTCAGCTTCTGCACTACTCCGAGCCATCACAGATTGTTTCTTGCTTCTCCAAGTCACTAGATTTCCCCATACCTTGGTACAATATCTAGTTGTTGACTTGCTATCATCAATACCTCCTGCCCAATCTGCATCTGAAAAGCCAACAACATCTCTAGCTTCATTTTTCTTAAACAGCAGACCTTTTCCAGGACTCCCCTTCAAGTATCTCAGAATCTGATTTGCTGCTTCCATATGCCTCTTAGTGGGAGCATGCATAAATTGACTTATTATACTTACACTAAAGGCAATGTCTGGTTTTGTGAGTGATAAATAAATCAGTTTTCCTACCAAGTGTTGATCATCAATAAATTAAATGGAATGGACTTGAAGGTTTGTAAGGATGGGGAGGATAGGATGCACGTGTTTGTTTGGCAAGGATACAATGTTCACATTGAAAACATGAAGGATTTTTATTGAAAAATAAATGAGGATATAAATGTTTCAAATAATGAAAACTAGGATGACCCAATCTATTGTGTAATAACTGAACATCAGAATTGGAAAATGAGGACAAAACACTGGATGACCTAGAGCTTGAGGAGGGTCCAACACCTGACACATAATAGAGACCATGTCGCTCCTCAGCATTCTCAATCGTCCTCCCCGATGACAAATCCTGAATTCACAATGAGAGGGAGAAAATGTCAGAGAGCAATTCAGGTCCTTAGTAATTTTACCCACTGACAATAAATTACATTTTAATTCTGCAACATAAAGCACAGATTTTAAATTCAACCCATTTATGTCCAAGTCTCCCTTCCCTTTTGCTGTACATATAGTTCCATCTGCCACTGTAACTCCAAAATTCTCTCTACATGGTTTATAATTGCTCATCCTTACATTTGAACCTGTCATATGGTCAGAAGTCCCAGTATCTACTATCCAAGAATCATATTTTGTCTTGTATGATAAAAAAAGAACTGTACCTTTGTGAGTTGTTAGGGCTGAGGAACCAGTGGAGTTAGAGGGAGCAGATTTGTATTCTTTTGTATTTGAGTTCATCAATTTCTTGAGGACTTCTAATTGTTCAGTTGTAAACGGTTGAGGGTTTGCATCTACTGTTGTTTCAGCTGAATAGGCAACCTTCTTCCTCTGATTTCTCGGCTTCCAATCTTTAGGTTTTCCATGGAGATTCCAGCATGTATCCTTAGTGTGATATGGTCTTTTACAATGCTCACATCATACCTGCTTATCCTTCCCAAAATCAGCCCCTTTTGAACTGTTTTCCTCGCTTTGGTTTATCACCAAAGCTGATCCCTGTACTGCTGCCTCTACTGTTGTATTCGGCAGTGGCAATGACATCACCTGCCTTCTTGTTTCTTCGCGCCGAACTTCAGCAAAGACCTCCTTTAATGAGGGTAATGGTTTTATACCAAGTATTCATCCCCTGACATCATCTAGTTCCTGATTTAAACCTTGCAAAAAATCAAAAATTCGGTCCTTTTCTAGCATTTTGCTATAGAGCACCCCATCATCAGCACATCTCCAAGATATATTGTGAAACATATCAATTTCTTGCCACAATTCTGACATGTTATTGAAATATTCAGTAACAGATGATGTACCTTGGCGAATATTTCGAATTTTGGAACGAACCTCAAAACTTTGTGATATGTTCTCCAAATCTGAATACGTATCTCTCACTGAATCTCATATTTCCTTTGCTGTTTGGTAGAATAAATACAGCCGTCCGAGTTTTTGGTCCATAGAGTTGATTAGCCATGCCATGACTGTAGAATTTTCAGCCTCCCAAACTCCATAATCAGCTGACTCTAATGGTGGTGCCTTCTTTGCCCCAGTTAGATATCCCATCTTCCCTCTGCCCTTGATCACTAGTAAAACCGATTGATACAACTCGCTAAAATTACTCTCATTTAGTTTGTGAGAGGTGATTTGGATTGAGAAGTTATTGGTAGGATTGGGTAAAATTGAGGTTTGTGGGTTGACAACAGTAGGGATCCTAATTGATTCCTCTGTAGTTGGGGTGGAGCTTGCCATCTATTCAGCTAAGGTTGGCTAGAGTTGGTTTAGTTCTTTGGCTAGAGGATAACCTGGCTCTGATACCATAAAACAGAAATATAAGAAGAAAAAAACACAAAGTTTAACGTGGTTCGGTCATGAAGACCTACATCCACAGGAGAAAGGTTTCAACTCTTTATTTCTGTCACACCAAATACAGCAGCAGCAGGTTCCTTTTATAGTAGCCATATGCACCAGAATAGGAAGCCACAATTTAGGGAAATTAGAATAGGAAATTAGGGCCATATTTCTACCTGATTTTCTGTGATTACAGTGATTGATTTCTTCCTAAATAGGAAGATTCTGTTCCTCCTAAATTGGAGGCATATTTCCTACAATAAGAACTTGATGTAGGACAGATTTGAGATTTTTGTTCTACATGGATCTCTAGTATAATTTTTTTATCTTTTGGTTGAAACATTAATGCTCAAACTTTAAATTGATGCTTATGTATGTTTGGCAGTAATATAGCATGGTAGATTCTTCATGCTTGCTCTGCATCTGCATTTGGGAAAAACCAGAATAAGTGGCTTTCAGTTTTTGAATCAACTTGGTTGGTTTATGGGATTTTGTTTGTGAAATTAGGGAGAATAAAACTTGTTTAGGAAGAAATAAGGAGAAATTAGTCTGTGTATATTAATTTGTAGCACTGTAGTAGCAAGATGGTAAATACAAGAAAGAAGAAAAAATAGGAGAACAAGAGAACAGAGGAGAAACCTTAGGCACTAAGCATTCAAAATAACTCTAAAACTCAATTTACTTCATAACTCAACTCTGTTGAAAATTAAACCATTGCATAGCATCCCTATTGATGCAGGACAGCTTAGGGGCTGTTCTGAATCTGAATTTGGAGGCTGCTTAGGGCTGTATTGGGTTGTATTAAAGTGGATCTCTAGTAGGATTTTTTTACCTTTTGCTTGAAACATTAATGCTCAAAATTAATTTTGGAATGGTAGGTGCCTATGTGAGTTTTGCAGTAATATCTGTTGTCTAAAGGAGTTCCTTTTTTTAACTTGATAGGGGAATGGCCGGACATGGTGCTTACTTCTCTCTCATTGGAGTACTGGTTGCCCTCATCCCATTGAAATATGGAACTGTCTCTGTGTTTCAAACACACCATGTTATCATAGCCATGTTCTTTGTTTCTGTGCTTGTCTATGTTTTAGCGAGTGCATGTGAAGTTATTCTTGGAGCTGCTCAGTTGCGATCAATTGCTGCCAGCACCAGTCTTCTAGCCAAAATTCTTGCCCTTGTTCTACTAATGATAATCCTTGACCCAAAAATGGGGTGGTTGCTGATGTTCTTATGGACCTTGTTGTTTATATGGAGGGTATATACTTCACGTGAGGAATTGTCGCAATTGTGTGAATCTCTATACAATGCAGTCCTCCAAGCAGGTGAGCGTCTATACAATGCAGTTCTCCAGGCATATGGGCGTCATGGCATGGCAGAAGAGCCAAATGTGGTGCAAATTGAGCCTGTGTAATATGTATGTTTGGGTGCTGTTATCTTTATCTTGGTTTAGCTTTACTGTGAAGGAGAATAAATTTGGGTGTGAACTGTATCCTGGAACCATGGTGCTCTATGTTGGATCTTTTTATAATTTTGTGTCTTGAATATTTATCTGCTATTTGATATGCTCTATGTTGGTTTAGCTTTGCTGTTATCTGCTATTTTGTATCTTAAATTTGGGTGTGAACTGTATCTTGAATGCAAATAATTGTGTCTGAAACCAGAAATGTTGTTTCGTTTACAGTTATGATTGATAGGTACGCAAAAGCTGGGGATATTTTCAGAAAAAAATATGCAAGGGCTTTGTTTGAGGAAGTTCCATGGTCGGCAATTTGGTCTGTCTTAGAATCTGGAGCCTAGTGTCTAACGAGGCTGTGAATATATAATGGGGGCAATTTGGTCTTCTTGCGTAATTTTTTGATATTAAGTATTATTTAATTATTAAGTAAATCCTTTTTTATTTGAACAGAAATATTGTATTTTGAGATCTATAATATCACGTGTCAATCAATAATTGATTGCTGATTACCATTAAAGTTAATGTGATATGTCAATAACGAAGGATTTGAAACAACATGTTTCTAAAAGCAAATGATTTCAATGAAGAAATTCAAAAAATACAGAGATCAATAAGTTGAGAAAAAAATTCAAAAAATATAGAGATCAATATGGAGTAAATTATTTAATTAATTATAAAATAAATTGATCAATATGGAGTAAATCATTTAATTAATCATAAAATAAATTTTAGTCTGGTTGAAGATAGCTTATCATTAATTAAAAGAGTTTTTTTAAAAGAATTTATTTTAATTTAAAATATTTTTATTTATTAAATACAATATCATTTTGGAGGGTAGTTATACTAAATAAAACCCACATTAAAAATAAAAAATTAACGAAAGTACTTAATTAGCACAATCAGAAAAGTCAGTAAACCAAAATGAGAAAGATCAAAATCAATGTACTCAATTTAGATAAAAAGAAAGTTGGTACGCAAACAGTCAGTTAAGGTCAAAGAATGCATTATTCCATAACAAAACAATTGAAAGAAATTAAATAGAAGTACTTGATTTGAAAATTTGAAAAATTCCATGTAATCAACGAAAATTAAATATGTACTCATTTGAGAAAAATTGTAAAGTTGACGTATTAATAATTTAATTATCCCATTTTTAATTTGTTGCATAAAAATCACTGTTTTATTTTGCGTTAATACAATGTTATTATGTTGATGTTCTAAAAAAAAAGTAAAAAATACATAGAAGTTTATTTTTTAAATCTAAATTACAAATAAGCTTTATGCAAATTTTTTTAAGATCAACAAGTTTACATTTATGTTTTATCTTCTAAAAAAGTTTAGATTTAATTGTGATACCTATACTTTTTGTATACTTACAAATTTATCAATCAAGTGCCTTTTTTTTTTTTTTCCTATTTGTAGTTTTCTTTAAAAAAAAAAAAAACTTTCATAATAATTTTTTTTTGAATATCCAATTTCTATCCCTTGTAAAATAGTTTATAATTGTAATCTATTTTCTCTATATTACCATTATTAGGAATCTTGAATATATTGAATTCAAATGATGACAATTAAATGAAAAATATAATTCTTCATATTTGTAAATCTTGTTTTCTAAAATAAAAAGTTTGATTATCATCAGCATAATGAGGTGTCATAAACCCTTTCTAAGAATTATAGCAATTAACAAGAATAAAATATTACGATATTAAAGCTTCAATTAAAAAATCTGAAAAAAAAATTTTTACAAAAAATCATTAAAAAATATAAATTAAAAACGTTACAAAACTTGTTGTAAAGTATTTTCTAAGAAAAAAAATGAAACATTTCTCAAATGCATTTTAGGGATTTAATAAAGAAAGAATTTAAAGCTGTCTTAAGAGTAGCTGCCAGATGAAATCCAAAACAATAACCAAAAAAAAAGTCTCGTCTGGTCTAGACATGGATGATCAGCATAAAACTGGCTAAGAACGGATTCAAAGTTGGCAAAACTTGAGACAGGGAATGAAAGGAAAGCAGGCAAGCCTGCCCCTCGAAACCCCCCAAAAGACAGGGAAAAAAAACATCTTACTAATGATGTCCATAACCATAACACAACTCAATGGTGACAGATCAGAACATTCATTGATAAACGTAAATGGACAACGAAGCAAATCATTTCCATTGCACTAATTAATTGACTTTGCCTAAACAAATTCTACTCCAGAAAACAACCATCAAAATTCTGGTCCAAGAAATACTAACTTCCAAAGAGAAGATGAAGAAAAAACACTATACAAATAGCCAAGATACATTAGCCAGCCAGTGCTGGAAGAAGTATATTAACTTGTGCTAAAAATGAGGTTCAGTGCCTCCTCCATTATTCCCATTCCACCTTCAACGCCATTACCGCAGAGCATTCACGAAAGTCATCAACGAATCTACATCCCTCTTCTCGGAGGGGTACTTGATAGGTCGAGATGAGTGTTTAGGGAAGAAAAGGATTGTAGGAAAGCTTCCTAGCTGCAATTCTTGCTTTGAGAATTCCTTCTGATCACCGTCTGCCCTGAATTTTCCCACTTTCACTCCACTCCCTGCTAACTTATCAGCCAATTCAACATAGGATGCTTCCATACCCTGGCAAAATTGGCACCATGGAGCATAGAGCACCACAAGCCATGGTTCCTTTCGGTTCTCCAATCTCAACAAGTTCTCAATTCCAGGCCTGCTCAAGTTAACCAAATTCTCAGAGTTGAAAATATCAGCTACTGTGGCAGTCCCATTTGGCCGGGCAGACCCGTTTCCATTGCCATTAAGTTGGGCTGCATTATCCTGTTTCAGATTTCCTTTATGAAGACCACATTCCTTAGCTTTGGCATCCTCCCACCACCACCTTCCTTCTCGCTCATGTTGGCCAGGAAGAACTGGCCTTGTGCAAGGCTCACAACCAATAGAGATGTATCCCTGTGAATGCAAAAAGTTCACAGGCACATCCATGGTTCGAAGGAACTTCCACACATCTTGTCCGTCAACGTTTGCCAATGGATTCCACTTGATCAGGCTTCCAGCCCCGCCATCCAATCCCTCAAAAACTGGGTCCACCTGTACAACTGGAATTTCAGACCTAGTTCCTGGAGATTGATCCTTTCTTTGGCCAGTGATCCAGGCACGAAGCCCCTTGAGAGCCCTCCTCAGGGGTCTCACCTTCCTGATGCGGCAGCACTCCTGGTGCCCATCCTCATAGAAAGAAAATAGACCCTTGTTTCTTACCAATGCTTGAACTTCAACAGCATCCGGAAACATGTACTCAATCCGAATGCCATAGTGCTTCTCAACTTGGTCAAAGAACTGGTAGGTTTCTGGATTCAACCTCCCAGTGTCCAGGCTGAACACCCTGAATGGTCGCCCGGTCAACTTAGCATACTCAATCAAAGCAACATCTTCAGCACCACTGCATGACAATAAAACTAGGTAACGACAACTATTTCAAATTCTAATTCTTGACAACAAAGTCAGAATCTAATTAACCACTTAACAACCATTAAATTCAATGCAAAATCCAGAGGACATTTACAGATTTATATTAGTTTGGCATTATAGAGCAGAGTAGCAGAAATGATAGTATTCCTATCTAAGGTGGGATCTAGAAGGCCTGTTTCTAAATAGTAGGAGATAGGGTAATGTCATAATCGGGCATAAGCAGAAGAGCAGGTTGAATCTCAAATTCTGTGTGTCATACCAAAGGGTCCCAGTTAAATTACTTGTGTCGATGAACACTCCAAGACAAATCAATTTCTATCTCATCTGAATTTAAGTAACAGCAACTAAAAGATGTTTCAACCTAATGAAAATTTGAAAATTTACCCCTTCAGTTGACCTAATAAGACAATAACAAAGATCCACCACAGAAAAGGAATATTCTAGTACAATAATTGCACATCCACAATTGTCATGTTCAACAACTCGCCGATAATCAAAACCAGAAAAATCCAACATTAATATAGTCATCAAATTAAAAAATAATGCTACAAACATCAAATTTTTACAAAATTAATTACCTGAAAGCAATAGCAATATCATCCCCAAATTTCTCAAGTGCCTTGTCCATAATTTCCAAAGGAGAACCATTTGCAAGATCCTTAGCCAAATTCTCAAAATCTTCCTCCACCTCTACTTTCTCTGCAACCTCTGCAAATCCCGAACAAAAAAAAAAATGAAAACGCGTTAGTCACATCATCAGGCCAGCTTTCTCGCAACGAGATAAAAAAACTCAGACAAAAAACAAAAACACACCTGGAGCAGCAATAGTTGTAGCAAGAGGAACAATAGAATCATTCCTTCTAGGCTCAGCATTTACTGGCTTTACAGCACAACGTCTTTGTGAAGAAACATTAACAAAGGTTGTCGGCCGATCTAACAGCTTAAAAGAACCAAATTGGGGTGCTGAAAACATCAAAACCAAAAAAAAATCAAACCAATTTCTTAAAATCAAAGGAAAAAAACAAAACCCCACAAGAAGTCTTTTTAAAAAAAGTACAGAAAAATAAGGGAAAAAACTTCCACTACCTTTGAGTTCTTGACTACAACGTGAAAGCCCAGAAGCAGAGATCGAAGAAGAAGAACTAACACTCAATGCCATAATCAAAATTATCAAAAAAGATGAAAACTTTCTGCAATTTTACTGAAAATTTTAGAGCTTTTTTTCTCTTTCCGTGTGGAGTCTGTAGGACAGAAGTACTAGAGAGGGGCACTAAATAATGACCGAAGAAATGGCGAGTTCTAAGGTTCATTGAACCTAGACGTGATTTTGGATCAGTTAAGATTCTGACATGGCAAGTTTTGATTGGGTCGACGTTGTCGCTTTGGCTCATGGCTTATGTCATGAGGCGGGCTTCAAATGAGACCTGGAAAGAGAGAAGGCTGTTATAAAACTTCTCGGTCATTTCCTTCTCTTTATCTAAGCCAATTTCTTTCTTTTTTTCCTTTTTTTTTTTTTAGTGAAAGGTTCTAACCACTCATAAATTTTAAGTAATTTAAATTTGAGTTCTTAAATTTTTTTATTAGGTTAAAAATCCTTAACCTTTTAATTTTTTAAATTTATCCTACCATTTAGTTTTCCATCTAGTTATGGATTTTTTTTAAATAAAAGATTTAATATTTTCTAATGCTTGTGTAAAATTTCAACTCAAAATACTACAAGGTAAATTTTTTTTAGAGGAGAAAATGGTAAATGCAAATCATTAAATGGATTAAATTTCAAAAAATTAAAAATTTAGGAATCTCCAAAACTAATAAAAAATTCAAACACTCAACCTCAAATAATTTAAAATCTAGAAGTGGTTAGATCTTGTAATCCACAGTCAGTAATTAGGTGATAACTAATATTAATAATTAGTCCTCATTATAAAAATAAAAGCCTATTCTGATTTTTTTTTATAATAAAGTTTTTTTAATCTCAAATACTATAAATAAAATTTAAACTCATAGTATTTTGTAAGTATATGAACTTGCTATGAGAAATCTATTCGTCCCAAATAATTTTATGATAACTACAAATGGATTTTCAATATATCTAATGACTAACTAATTTAGGTTTTGATCTTTAAAATTTTCTACTTTATCCTTAATTTAACAGTTTTTTTTAGTTATTCTTTATATATTTACAAACACTGGTGTATTTATGGATTCTCATGAGCTCCTACGTCTGATTTTTCATGCAATGAACCTGTTTTAAACATTTAGATACACAAAGTTTATATTTATAAAAATAAAATGAGATATCCATGTTTGATAGGACACAAGAATAAAAAATTCATGCACTATTCTAAAAATATTAAAGGATATCAACTCTATATTAACATTAGTTTATGTTAGCTCGTAGTAAAGGAAACTAACAAGGGACTAACATGTTAAGCCAAATAAAGGTTGAGGATAAGTTAACAAAATTTTAAAGTTTTGGGATTGATTGTTCGTGATTATATAGATTTGGGATTAACTTGTTACCCAAAAAAATTGCATGGATAGGGTTGAAATTGAGTGATGGTATAACTTAAACCACTGGATTTGATGAGATGGGGATGCGAAGGAGATATGAACTTGCTACCACTAAATCAGAATTCTATTCATGAAAAATAATTTATGATAACTACAAATGGATTTTCAATGTATCTAGTGACCAACTAATTTCGGTTTTGATCTTTAAATTTTTCTATTTTATCCTTAATTTAACGATTTTTTTAGTCATTCTTTATATACTTACAAACAGTTGTGTATTTATGGATTCTCATGAACTCTTATGTCTAATTTTTCATGGCATGAAACCATTTTAAACATTTAGATACACAAAGTTTTATATTTAGAAAAATAAAATGAGATATCCATGTTTGATGGGACACAAGAATTAAAAATTCATACACTATTCTAAAAACATTAAAGCATATTAACTCTATATTAACATTGGTTTATGTTAGCTTATAGTAAATGAGACTAATAAGGGACTAACATTTTAAGCCAAATAAAGGTTGAGGATAATTTAACAAAATTTTAAAGTTTAGGGATTGATTGTTTATGATTATATAGATTGGGGATTAATTTGTAGTTACCCCAAAAAGTTTTGCATGGATTGGGTTGAAATTGACTGATGGGATAACTTAAACCACTGGATTTGATGAGATGGGGATGTGAAGGAGATAATGGTGTGGAAAGTGGTGGCTTTTGAAGTTTTGATGGGTTTTAGGTCTCTCTTCAATTTCGGTGTCTAGAGGAGTCATTTTAGCGTGGCAATATATAATTTGATCATTTAAGGCTTATGTGTGGCACAAGAAAATGGGAATCTAATAATGTGGCTTATGCGTGACACACGAAAATTTGCCTTTCCTTTTTTATGATTTTGACACACGAAAATTTCCTTTCATTAAAGAAAATGATTGGACTAGAGGTTCTAGGGAATAATACTATTTAATGATACCTTGATAAGATGGTAAATTCCTGGTGGGGATTCTTGATATATATATGGATCCAATTCCCTTCTTATATATATACATATATTAGTAATTTCATTGACAATATAAAACAAATAAATACATTACTATGTTTGGGGCACAACAATATAAAAAAACTAAAAAAGAAATTACAACTTGTTATGTTGAAAAAAGAAAAACTAAAAAAGAAATTGCAACTTGATATATTGAAAAAAATTAAACAAAATTCTTTCATTGTAATAATAAATATTGATATTTTAGGCAGTAAACTCACTAAAACTTTCTAATAAAAGTTGTATAAGATAAGATTTTTTTTTTCACATCACGTACAAAATTGACAGCTCTATCAGATTTTATTGATAAAAATTAACATCTTTTAATTGATAAGAAATAACCACCACAACTCAATAAAGGAATATTAAAGTCTTATTTCAAGGATAAAACATTATAAAAAATAAAAATTTTGTTCACAAATCAAATTTAGATTTAAAATCTAGATCTAAATTGTTAGCATAATAAAAAGAAAAATAAAACAAAATAAAGAAAAGAAAAGAAAAAAAAAGCTAGGCAAATGAAGGAACTAGGATTTTTTTCTAAGAGAGAACCAAGAGAAAGAGAAAGAAGAGAGAGAGAGAGAGAGATATGACAAGGGTTTTTTTTTTTTTTCCCAAAAATGTCCCTTCATCATCCTTACAATGCCCTGACAACATTTGTTATGTTTTTCTATTGCAAAAATAAGTGGATAATTTCCATTCTGCCTTAAAGGGTCAAATCAACCCACTGGATCCATCACTCATCCGCTACATGTTAAGGAAAATGAAAGAGTAAAATAGGCCATAACATGATTCTGCAAGTAGACCATGAAGAGCAAGTAGGCAATTAACGATATCCATATATATATATATATATATATATCCTATTTATTATCTATTAAAAAATTATAATATAAATTTCATCTAATTTATATTCGATTCATATTAATTTATCAATCTATTTAATACTTATTTAATAGTCATTAAAATTAATTTATTAAAAATATTCATTTTAGTTCTTATCATTGTCAAAAAAAAAAAAAAGAGATTTTTTTATCCTTAATTTTATTTTTTCATTTTGGTCATTTTATTTATAATTTTTTTGGTTCTCAAAGTTTTTTTTTATAAATGTTTTAGTCTATAATTGTTAAATTTTATGTAATTAGATCACTATATATTAATAAAAAATTAAAATAAATTAATGAATATTAATAGAGTAAAAAATAAGTGCTTATATCCTGAAACTATATTAATAAATACGTATTTTTTTTATTTTTATCTATTTTAATACTTATTGATTATTTTTAATAAATATTTATTCAATCGAATAAAATGAAAGTTACTTATATGTCTTATTTATTGTCATCCCTGACAATGAGAGGAAGAAAGAAAAAATAAATTCCAATACACATTGTGGTGGGTCGGTCCATTTTATTGTAGAGATACCTTTCCAGGGATTTTTATTTATTTAATATTAAACAAAAAACTATAAAATAATTGCCAAAGTCTTGTCATCACAGCCATAATCTTGTAAGAATCTAATGTATGATTCCTTAAACCATTTTTTATAGCGTTTCTTGAAGATTCTCGTGACTTTCCATTTTTATTATTATTATTATTTGGCAAATAATTGTAGAAGGAAAGTGCGTCCACTAGACTAAAAGTGCTATACAACAGATTGCCCTCAGTTTCTTTGATAGGTCAATCCCATTTCTCTCCATAGCAGCATCAATATATATAGTTGTCAAAAGTTTGAATCTTAGAATAATATTAGGAAAATTTTATTTTCAATGTATAAATATCTCTTAAAAATTGTTTTAAAAAATTTAATATCGATTAATGTTTTTTTTATATATTCACAAATATTAAGATATTTTTGGATTAATTTTGTATCAATCAAGATTAAGTTCATTGTTTTTCGAACTAAACTAATGTCAGAAAATATCTAATATTTAATTAGCATTTAAATTGTTTTTGAGACCAAACCAATCTAAATCTCATATATATATATATATATATATATATATATATATATATATATATATATATATATATATATTGCATGTTGATAGTAAGAAAGTAAACATACATATGCAAGCAATAGTGACCAATTGCAAGGAGTCAGCCGTCTCAGATTTGGAGTTTTAAGGAAAAGTAAACCTCGTTGTTGATTAGAATAAAATTTAAAACAGATTACGGATTAGTTAATTACATCCATTCCTTGACTTTTCTAGCACAACTTGACCTTTTGGATTTCTCATTATGCAAAACAGCCGCCTGTCTTTTGCGTTTTTAATTAATTAAAAAAACGTTATCAACTTAAAAATTTAAATAGTTAAAAAAATCCTTTCAATCTGAATTTTTTTTTTTGGGTTTTTTTATTAAAGAATTATGTAAATCTAAAAACTTAAGTTATTAAAATAATTATTTGAACCTAAAATTTTCATTTATCCAACGAGGTCTCATGATATAATTTATATTATTTTTTAACATATTTTTTCATACTTTTTTAAGTGACCATGATATGATCCGTATTATTCAATATATGATTTATATTATTTTTTAATAAACTTTTCATCAAGTAAAAGTTTTTGAACTTACACAAATTCACTATTACTTTATGTTTAATTATTTAATTTTAATTAAAAAAGAAAATAAGCACAATGAGAGTCAAATTCGTAACCTTTTTTATCATAAAGATTCTAATACTATGTGAAAGAATCATTTCAACCAAACAATTTAAACGGTTAAATGAAATTTGAAGATACGATTTGTTAAGTTTAAGAAGTTGAATGAAATCTCAAAATATAATTTATATTATTCTCTAATATGCTTCGACCGACATTTCAATGGTGTATTTGGAAGCTTAGATCAGCACAAGAAGTAGTCTTGAAGCAAATTTTCCTGTGAAGGTTTCATTCATCAGTAGATATACCAAAGACCGCTTAGGAAAAAGAAGGTAAGATTTAGCCAACTAAGAATAATGTTGCTAAGACAGTGGTATAGTTTTGTAGCTTGCAAAGAAATTTGCTTGTACTGATGATTGAAACGGTAGGTCATAAAGCGACCAGTAAAATAAGGAGATGAAATTAGAGAGTACCAATTCTCGAACATAGAAAGGCAGATTTGGAGGTAGGTAGCCTTTGAAGAACTTCTTCAATCAAGAGTTCATTCAGAGGGAAATTGGATGAATCTTATGAAGATGATGATGGGGTTTGTGTCCTTTTTTCTTTTGCAGACAAGAGACTGGTCTGTGCTTGGGCTCTGAAAATCACCAGCCATAGCTGAGCTCTCCCTCAATCTTTGCCTTCTCGTTTAGAGATGAAGGCCAAGACAAGTAGGCCTTTTGTTTTTTTGTTTTTAATTAGTTTATTATGTAATGAAATGAACATTCTATGATGTTTAAATTACATAGATAGATAAACCAACGCTCTTGATTGGAGAATACATGTAAGAATTTGGATGACTAAAGGCGATTTGAAGTATTTTTTTGTTTTATTATTAGCTTGCCCAAAACAGTTTGGTCCTAATTTTGTTCATAGGATTACCAGAACAGGATTAGGCTTCAATATTTCAAAAAATGTCAAAACTTTCCTCACAGAATACCATTGGAAGATAAAACCTGCCAAGGCCCTTGCACAGAGTATATGTACTTTAAATATTCTCCATACTCAAATATAGGGATAAGGGCAAGAAAGCTCAAATCAGTACAGTCATCACAAGAAAATGAAGTCTTCAAGCAAATTTTCCTATAAAGGTATAGGTTTCATAGTTAAGATTTCACAAAAATATCAGTAGGATATACCAAAAGACAAGCTGGGAGAAAGTAAATAAGGCTGAGCTAACCACAATTATTCTTGCTTACTGATGTGATTTTGCAGCTTACACAGACTGATGCACGCAGGTGAGAGACTATAAACTTCAGAAAGAGTGGGCGTTCAGAAGTTAATTTCCATCAGCCTGAAAGACAAAGATAGCAAGATCAGTATCCAAACCATTCTGCAAATTCCGCATTCATTATCCATCAGGAAAAGGCAGCCATTCTGCAAATTCCGCATTCATTAGTCTCACATCAATTGGTTTGATGAGCTAAGAATGAAAAGTATCAGGCAATGATCTTAAAGCTAGAATTGACAAAAACTAACATGGCAGGTAATCCTTAATATTTATAGGAACATTAAGAGAAGAAATACATACTATCAACACACCAAGATCAATGCACGTATAAGCTTAATGTCTGAGAAGAAAAGACAATATAGAAAAACAGAACAATAACTGATCATGTACTTAAGTAACATCGGAGGATTTCAATTGGTTTCAGAATTGGTGTAGGCCACAATGAGACTTCAATACGGAAGACATTTATATGACTATAAATGACCGTAAACTTCAGAAAAGTGTGCTTTAAAACTTAATAGCCATCAGTCTAAACGACAAGATAGCCAGATCAGTATCCAGGCCATTCTGCAAATTCTGCATTCATTATACCATCAGGAAAGAAGCACAAGCAATAGGAAAGAACGACAAGTACCAGAAAATGCACTTAATTTAAAGTAACAATTGACAAGAGCTAACCAGTGGCAGTTAATACTAATAAGAACATCAGGAAATGAAATACGCACTATCAACACCAGGGTGAATGTAGTGATAAGAGTTAATACGAGACAGTATGAAACAATAGAAACATAACTAGTCATGTCTTAAGAGCTTGGGAGGACTTCAATCCGTTTGGGAACTGGAGTAGGCCACAATGGAAGTTCAATACGGAAGACACCTCCTTGATCATAAAAATCTTTTTCACCTGGAGGATCATCGACCATTTTCAACTCTCTTGTCTGCGTGTTGCATGAGATGACAAAAGTTCGGAACTGTAAGTACACAATAGCCCCATCATTTGGGTGGAAACCCAGTGGTTGTAAAGTGTACTCGTTACCATCTAAAATTTTCTCGAGAAAAGAATTCTCAAGTATCATTCCGTCAAGATAAACCTTGTCCACCAAGGTCCATTCCCATGTAGTATAATCTTTGAGTTCCCAAATAGCCAAAGCTTTAATATTGTGATGAGCCGTCGATTGCATCATCCGCAAAAAGCCTCGACATACCCCAATGCAATATCTTGTCCAATGCCACTGAAACTTTGTGGAACGAATATATGTGCAATCAATGAAAGTGGATAGCTCGGGATTGAAGGGATCGTATGCAAAAATTTGCTCACCGTTGTACCAAAGAAACTTCCCATTGTAGGCAACAACATTACTAGACCAGGTATACTCTGAACCTTCAAGGACTGATCTATACCATTGTTGAGTCTCGGACCACTATGTCCTCATAACTATCTGAGGTTTTTCTGGTCCAAAAAAATGAAAATTTTCTGGTCTAGAAAAATGAACTACCCGAAACCGATAGTTGCTATTGATAGTACATTCTCCCTTGCTATCTTCAAAATAATAAGGTTCACAAACAAATCCCACCTTGGTATTGAATTCCTCGTCATCAAGTTCAAGCAAAGGGAGGGCAACCCAGTCAGTTGTAAATGGATTACAGATATAATACCACAGGTTTAAATTCCGCTTCTTGACCGAGCATAAAATCAAGTCATTGAAAATGGCTAAAACCCTAACCGACCCATTTCTCTCAGGGAGATACTTGAGCTCAAATCCACTAGATTTGAACATGGGTTCATCAGAAAAGGTGAATAGTCCACAACCATTGGATTCAGTCGAATAATTGATGAAAAGGGCAGATGGGCATTGCTCGTACTGATGATTGACATGGTGGGTTATAAAGCGACGAACAAAATAAGGAGAAGAAATAAGAGAGTACCAATTCTTGCACACACTTTTGCAAAGAAAAGCAGATTTGGTGGTGGATAGCCTTTGAAGAACTTCAATCAAGAGGACTTGGAGATCATTCAGAGAGAAATTGACAGGTTCTGATGAAGATGAAGACGGGTTTTCACTTCCTGTTCTTGTTCTTTTGTTGGAGCATGAAGTCGCAAGAACAGATTGATCTCTGGTTGTGTTTGGCTTCTCAGAATCATCAGCCATAGCTTAGTTTCCCACTCAATGTTCCTTTGCGTCTTAGAGATGAAGGGTAAAAATACCATACTGCCGCTGAAGGCAAATATGAGGAAGCAACGGATGGGCCTGGACAAGGTGGCCTGTTATTACTAGGCAAACCCAGTCCACCATTATTATTATTTTTCTTTTCCAACGGTTCGGATACACCAGACTGGAGCAAGCTTGTGCAAGAAACGAGATTAAATCTTCTATTCAAATAATGTTAAAATGCATCTTTTTCGTTTTTTGTTTTCAACCCACACGTAATAACAAAATTAATATATTAAAATTTAAATTCGTAATCTTTTATAAGTTTGTTTATTTATTTTTATAACAAAATTAATCTATTAGAATTTAAATTCGTAATTTTGTATAATTTTTTTTTTTTTTCCGTATTCATTTATATATATTTAGACAGGTATACTCGATTCGAGTTAGCTTGTGGAAAAATCGAGATTAAATCTTCATTTCAAATTATGTTAAAATACACATTTTCCGTATCGATTATGTTCATTTAGAAAAATAAATTCTCTTCGATGCATCTACTTCATTTATATATGGATTTATCATCTGTTCATTCGCAAATATATATATATATATATATATATATATATATAATCTCGATTTAGATTATAACTTGAGAAGTAAATCAGATCATGATTCTATCCAAATCTTAAGGATAATTCATGTGTAAACCCAAGCTAATGATTTATAATTTTTTTAAAAAATTCTCATTGCTACACGTTATATTAATGTGCACATGTAAATTTTTTATATATAAAAAAATTAATAAAACTTTTGCAGTTGTAAATTTTTTTCTTTTGATTATCCTTAACGTCATGCACATGTCTTCAATTTACTTTTTGACTTTTTTTTTTTTTTTTTTTTTTGCATTCCATGTCTATACAGTTTTTTCCATGTCCATTTTAAAAAAAAAAAAAAAGAGAAGAAGAAGAAGAAGCAGAAGAAAAACAAAGGGAGGAGGGAAGGAAGTGTCAATTTTCTCACAGAACACCATTGGAAGATAAATCCCTGAGAAGGTTCTTCAACAGAGTATATGAATATTGGAAATATTCTCCACAATCAAAACAGATTGATAAGGGAAAGAAAGCTCAAATCTGTATAATCATCACCAGAAAATGTAGCGTTCAAGCAAATCTTCCCATAAAGGTTTCCTTTTTCATGTTGAGGATTTTTACAGAGACATTCATAAAGTATACAAAAGACAGTCTGGGAGAAATTATATAAGGTTCATCCAACAAAGATCATTCTAGCTAAGAGACTAGCTTGTTTTGCAGCATATAAAAAAGATGCAGGCAGATGACCGACCGTAAATTCGGAAAGAATGTGCATTAAGAAGTTGAACTTCCATCAGCCTAAAAGACAAGATAGCCAGAGCAGTATCTATACCATTCTGCAAATTCCTCATTCATTCTACCATCAAGAACAGGCAGTCTAACTTCAATTGGTTTGAAGTAACCATTGAGAAAAAGTATTGAGACAACGAGCATAACTTAAAAGTAACAAATGAGAAAACACCAAGAGCAGAATTAGGTACTATCAACACAAGGTGAATACAGTCATAACTCATAGACTTAATATTTGAGAGGAAAAGATGCAAAATAGAATAATAACCAGTGGCGTTCTTAATAACTAATGGAGGATTTCAATCAGTTTTGGGAATTGGTGTTGGCCACAATGGGAGTTCAATACAGAATTTCATTTCAATACCAAAAAAGCCACCTTTAAATGGAAGAGAGTCAACCACTTTCACCACTCTTGTCTGACAGTTATACGAGATAAGAAAAGCATTGAAACTAAAGTACACAACATCCCTATTGTTTGGGAGGAAACTCAGCGTTTTCAAAAGGTCATTGCCATCATGCACAATTTTCTCATCATCTATGATTTGCTTAATCAATAGACGTTCAGTTATCATTGCATCCAGATAAATCTTGTGCTTCAAGCTCCATTTCTGAGTAGTATAATCTTCAAGTTCCCAAATATCCAAAGCCTTTCTATGGAGACCAGCAGAAACTGTAAATTGCATTAACCGCAGAAAGCCCTGACACACGCCGATGCAAGGACAGATACCAAGGGAAAATGAACAATCAACAAAAGTGGAAAGCTCAGGGTTGAAGGGATCATAAGCAAAAATCCGGCTGCCATTGTACCAAAGCAACTTTCCATTGTAGGCGACAACATTAGAATGCCATCTATACTCCGGACCTTCAAGAACTGATCTATACCATTGCCGAGTCTCTGGCCGATACGTCCTCAAAACAATTTGTTGAGATTTACTTCTCGCAAAATGAACTACCCTAAACCGATATTTGCTATTGATAGTACAATCTCCTTGGTTATCTTCAAAATAATAAGGTTCACAAACAAATCCAGCACGGGTGTCCCTTTTTCTGCTATCACATGCAAATGGGGGAGCGCAACCCATTGCATTGTAAATGGATTACATATATAATAATAACACCGAGAGCTTCCAAATTTAGATTCCAACTTATCTACACGGCATAACATCAAGTCATTGAAAATGGCTGAAACCCTAACCGACCCATTTCTTTCAGGAAGAAAGTTTAAATCAAATCCACTACGTTTAAACATGGGTTCGTCAGATACTGGGAATAGTATATAACCCTTCAATCTATTCCAATAATTGATGAAAAGTGCAGAAGGGTTTTGCTCGTACTGATGTTTGACATGTTGGGTTATAAAGCGACGAACAAAATAAGGAGTAGAAATTAGAGAGTACCAATTCTTGCAGACACATTTGCACAGAAAGGCAGATTTGGTGGCGGGTAGCCTCTGAAGAATTTCTTCCGTCAAGAGGACTTGGAGATCATTCAGAGAGAAATTGGACACTTCTGATGAAGATGAAGATGATGGTGTTTCTGTTTTTGTTCTTTTGTTGGAGCAGGACGAAACAAGAAGAGATAACTGGTCTGCGACAGTGCCTTGCTTCTCATCATCACCAGCCATAGTTCTCAAGCAGTCACTCTCCCATTTAGGGCATAGAAATGTAGGGGAAACAGATGCAAAGACCAGAAAAGGGCTCATTGTTGCCAATGACTCATGGGCCTATAAGCCCACAGGTAAATAGTTTAATATTTTTTTAATTCTAGTTTCAATATTGGAATGGGCTAAAAGAGCCCAACCTGTCATGAACTTTAACTTATTTAAAAAATTAATATCGAATTTTAATTTTTTAATTTTATGATATTTAATCCATCTTTCATTTTTTTTTGTCATTTATTTCTAAAAATAATAATTACATAAATATTTTTATAATGAAATCATTTTTAAAAATTTATCTTTAGCTCTAAAAAAAAAAAAAAGAATTATTTGAGATTATTTTATATTGTTCTGATTTTATACATTTTTAATATTAAAAAAAAATAAACAATTATATTTTTAGACTTCGAAAATTGTGAGATTTTGCCCATGTATGTGCAAAATTTTAGTTTAAAATACATAGAATTGAATTTCACCGAACATAGCACCAAGTCATTGAAAATGGCTAAAATCCACTACGATTTGAACATGGGTTCATCAGAAATTGCGATCAGACTATATCTATACAATTTGATTAGATAAATGACAATAAGTGCATGTGGGTTTTGCTTGTTCCGATGGCTGAAATGGTGGGTTATGGAGCGATGAGCAAAATCAGGAGTGGAAATCAGAGAGTACCAATTTTTGCAGACACAAGGCAGATTTGGAGGTGGGTACCCTTCCAAGAATTTCTTCAATCAAGGGGAAACGGAGATCATTCAGACACAAAATGGACTGCTCGGATGAAGATGATGATGGGGTTTCTGTCTTTCGTCTTTTGTTGTTGGAGCACGAAGACACAAGAAGACATTGGATGTCTCTGCCTCTGCTTGACTTCTCAGAATCACCGGCCATAGAACACTCCCTCGCTCTTGTCTTTGCCTTTTTCTGCCTAGAAATACTAAAGGCAAATAAATAAATACAAAGAAGATATAAAAGCCCATTACTCACGGAATTATGGGCTGCTTGCTATTGGCTAGATGGATAGGCCTAAACAAGATGAACCTGTCGTTTCTGTACTGCTACAAGCCCACATGTTCATATTTTAATACTATTTTTTAGTTCTAATTTTCATCCCAATCCCAAAGTCACACTCTTAAGCCATTTGATGTTTTAGGGTTCTGAGAAATCTGAATTTATTGTTATTCAAAGTTCGAACTCTTTTATTTTATTGGTAATTTATAGCAAATAGCTTCCCTTATTTTATTGGCTTAACTACGCTAATTTCTCTGTGACATGACATTTCCAAGAGCTTTGTTCCTAATAAATAATATTACAAGAACAGGGTTTAGCTCCTACTGAGATCGCAATCCAGTGATAAGGTTGAGGGTCGCTCACCGATGACACCCGAGTTCGATTCTCTCTGCGCATGTCTCGTCACCTCCGTGATGTTTTACTTGCCCACAAGGCTTGTAGGGTGTTCGGTGGGTCCAGGGATTAATCGAGATGCACGTAAGTTGACCCGGACACCCCGAATTATCAAAAAAAAAAAAAAAAAAAGCTTAAAATGAATACATTCATCACATCAGTAACAAAACAAATATTCAAAGTAAATTTTCAGCTAAATGATCCTAAAGCATCATCAACTTTTAGTAAAATTGAGATAGATTGTTAATTTTTGTAATTTTAATTTGATTATTATGAATTATTTTTTTAATAAACAATATAGGTCAATCTGACAGTTTTTCGGCATTGACATCATGTCGAGGTTGCATGATAATTTTAAGCAATGATAAATATTTAATTAATTTAAATTTAAAGCATGACATGGAAATATTTGTTTGACGCAAGCTTTATTAATCTGAAAAACCTTTCCAATAGTTTCGTTTCCATCTCTCTTCACTAGCTCGCAAAGCCCTAATTCCTAATTAATTGCCTATGTCAACTTGGTGTGTTTGGTGTTGAAAACTTGTTTATGCTTCCTCTATTTATACTGAGATTAATAATCTGGACAATATATCCTTATATTTTAAATGATTTTATTATTTTAATTATTTTCTAATTATTTTTATGGTCGAATCATCAAAAATTAACCATGTGACTTGCACATGGCATGCCTTTTGACGAAAATATCTCATATGTGCAAATCATATTTTTTTATGAATCCACTTTTAAGAGATATTTTTATAAAAACACATGTCAATGCAAATTACGTAGTTATTTTTTAGTGATTTGATTAGAAAAATTGACTTGAAAAATATATTAGAAACTAATAAAAATAACAAAAATATAATAATATCGTTTTAAAATATAAAAATAAATTAGAAACTTGAGTTGTTATATAAAAACAGGTGATATTATTAACCTTTTATAGTGTTATTCACGGAGGGCAATGATCCTCCCTTAAGCCCTTTGCGGCTTTCCTGTTATCAGAATTTCATAATTTATGAAGTTAAGAAACCCCATTTGTATCATTTTGTTCAACTTGAAACTAATGGACCAAAAGCTAATAAATAACTTAATCAATACGCAAAACTCACGTCAAACAGAATATTTCTGATTATATACTTTCATTAAAAGAGGGTGCATTAGAAAAGAAAATTAAGTTGCCATCATCCTGATAAACAAGATAGCCATATCAGTATCCAAACCCTTCTGCAAATTTTGCATCATTAGACTATCAGCAAAAAATCAGTCTCTCTGCTATGTTCAGAATAATAAGAAAAAGGCAATCAGAACTACTCCTATTTGGATTAAACTTGTCTTCATTTCTCTATGACATCAACCCTGTTACGTCATGGTCGTTTCCAATTTGGATTCAGAGTCTTAAGGGACGTCAAATTCATGGAAAAGCTTAAAAAACTTATGGCGGTGAATCAAAAGATATAGATCTGCTTGTTCTATGATTCGTTGGGTGGTCGGGGAAACATCTAAGTTAAAGTAATGTAAATTAAGTATTAATTGCCAACTTGCAAGTGGGGTTAGCCAATTCTTTGTCCTGACCTGTTTGCCCTCTCCTTTTTCAGTGAGAAACCCATATATTTATTATACAAGATATTGCTCGATACACTGTGGTCAAAAGCGGAGGCTGGAGACCGGAGCCAGGCCGCCAGCATCTTCTTTGGAGAGTGATCGATGTTTCCTATTCGCTTGATGGTGCATAAAATAAGTAAGTTGTCGAAGGACAAATATATTGTGTTGAAATGTAAGACAAATTAAGGTACTCAAACAAATCCTGACCATAAGTTCCCATGAATTATTGAGGCACTGATGAGGCAATTTCAATCGTAAGAAATCCTGACGATATGCTTGTTTTATGATTGGTTGGGCAGAAACATCTACGTAATGTTAATTAATTAAGCAGACAGTTGGCCAAACTGCAACTGGGTTAGCCAAATATTTGTCCGGATCGATTTTCCCTCTCCTTTTGTTATACTTAATAATTAGTCTATGCCTGCAAGCCCAATAAATTAGATCATCTTAACGAGACCTGTTGGGTAATTAAGGAATTATTATCTTTTGGTTGTAAAATAAATAAATTTTAAATAAAATAAAAATTAATTAACACTATCTGTAAAAGGAAAAGAAAAGAAATTTTAAGTTAATATATATATATATATATATATATATATATATATATATATAATTGAGTTTAAATATATTTTAGGAATATTTTTTATTTTGATAAATAAAAAATACATGGAATTAATTAATTAATTTTTAAAAAATCAAATAAGAATGAGGTGCTTAATCAATTTATATTAGAAGAATATTTAATTTTATTTAATGAATCTTTATAAAAATAAAAAGGATAACCATTAATTATGAAAAAAATTATTTTGATTAAATAATAAATAATGAAAAAAATATAAAAACATAAAAAAAAAAAGGTCGGGCTAAGCTGACACCAAGCCCTTTTGTATGGGTTTGGAGAAAACCGGACCCACACGACTAGGCTAGAAACCCAATTCGACAAAAAAATTATAGAAACCTTTATGTAATATTAATTAACATTAAAGATTATTTTTTTATAAATTAATAATTTAGAGAATCAAAGTGTAAAATATTAAAAAATTGATAAAATGTGATTTATATATATATATATATATTAGAAAAAGGTTTGTTTTGGTTTCTTTATAGTAAGGGCCCAACTATAACGAAAAACCATTTTGATTTAGTATATTAAATATAATAGCATAAACATATGCTTGGACTGTTAAAAGGCTAGGAAAGTTTAGATTATTAATTTAATTAGAATGATCATTGGGAATAATAACTTGTTCGGATAGCTTGTAAATTTTACTTGGAGTTTGCAAACTGATTTCAATTTGTTTAATTTAGTTTTATATTAATTAAATAAAACATAAAATATTTATAGAATAGACATTACAGTACATAAAATAGTGAATTTAATTCATAAAAACACGAGTTTAGAAATTGGATTGTCTTGCATAATACTGTTCAACCAATCAATTGTCATTTTTTTTTTTTTACAAAATCCTTGAAAATCAAAGCAGATGAAAAAAAAAAAAAAAAATCCGCAATAGCTTTCGAGTGAGAATCCGATAAAATTATACAAGTTATTGCCGGACAGAGGTCAAAAATAGCGGCTGCAGGCTAGATCCTGGTACCCAGCGTCTTCCTTGGAGAGTGATGTTTTACAATTCGGTTGAGGATGAATAAGACAAGTAAATTTTCCCAGGACCAATATCTTGTGTTGGAATGTACGACAAATAAAGATTAACAAAATTCGGACGTTAAGTTTCCATGAATTACTCAGGCGCCACTGAGGAGGAAATTTCTACCCTGTCGGCCAACTTGATCATCAAGTCCTTTAAGTCAACAAAAATAATATATAATAAAACAACCTCTGTTTTTCACTTATAAATATGACACTACATTCGATATTGTGATCCAAGCCAAGAACCAGGTTGATAACTGCAAAAATGTGGACTGAGCTAAGCTCCACCATAACTGCTCTATCGGTTGCCTGGTTCATGTTTGATAAATATTTCCCTTATCAACTTCGTCCCTATCTTGAAAGATATTTTCAGAAGTTTGTGACTTTTGTGAGCCCTTACATCGAAATTACCTTCCATGAATTCACAGGCGAACGTCTCAAGCGGAGCGATGCCTACTTTGCCATTCAAAACTACCTAAGCACCAACTCTACCAAGAATGCTAAAAAACTCAAGGCTGATGTTGTCAAAGACAGCCAATCTGTAGTCCTCAGCATGGATGATTATGAGGAAGTTACGGATGTTTTCAATGGGGCGAAGGTCTGGTGGGCTTCAAGAAAAAAATCCACTCCATCGAAAGTCATTTCTTTCTATCCTGGCACTGAAGAGAAGAGGTATTACAAGCTCACTTTCCATAGACGTAATCGGGAAATCATCAAGTCCTATATAGAACATGTCCTAAAACAAGGAAAGGAAATTGCAGTGAAGGGCAGACAGAGGATGCTGTACACCAACAATCCTAGCAAGAATTGGTACGGGTGGAATTCTACCAAGTGGGGCAGTATCGTGTTTGAGCATCCTGCCACTTTCGATACTTTGGCAATGGGAACAAAGATGAAAGAAGAGATCAAGAAGGAGCTTATCAAGTTCAGCAAAGGGAAAGACTATTATGCAAAAATTGGGAAGGCATGGAAGCGTGGTTATCTCCTTCATGGTCCTCCAGGAACCGGCAAATCGACGATGATTGCTGCCATGGCTAATTTATTGGATTACGATATTTATGATATTGAGTTGACGACCATTAAGGACAACAGCGAGCTGCGGAAGCTACTTATTGAAACGAAAGGGAAGTCTATTATTGTGATCGAGGATATTGATTGCTCGATTGATCTTACAGGTCAGAGAAAGAAAAAGGAGGAGAAAGATGACGATGAAGCAGACAAAGAGAAGGATCCAATTTCTAAGAAGAAAAAGGAGGCTGAAGAAGAAAGCAAAAGCAAGAGCAAGGTTACTTTATCTGGGCTTTTGAACGTTATTGATGGAATTTGGTCAGCTTGTGGTGGAGAAAGAATTATTATATTCACTACCAATTATGTGGACAAACTCGATCCTGCTTTAATTAGGAGGGGAAGGATGGATAGGCATATAGAAATGTCATATTGCTGCTTTGAAGCATTCAAGGTGCTAGCCAAGAATTATCTGGAAATTGAATCGCATGAATTATTTGGAAAAATTGAAGAGTTGTTTGGGGAGACGAAGATATCCCCAGCTGACGTTGCTGAGAATTTGATGCCAAAGTCGGACGAAGAAGATGAGGAGACTTGTTTGAAGAATTTGATTGAAGCTCTTGAGGTTTCAAAGGAGGAAGCTAAAAAAAGTCAGAAGAAGAAGCAACGCTCAAGGCTGAGAAAGCAGACAAAGAGAATGGCGAAGCATGCTCAAAAGAAGCAAAAGAGAATGGTGTAATCACTGAAGGTCAGGATGGAAGTGAACCATTAGAGATATGAAGCAACTTGGTTGGATCACAACATTGTTGCATGCAGCTCATTGGTTCTGAAATATCTTATGGTCTTTAATTTCTGTTAATTAGCATTGTATGTTCGTTTAGCATAGATTGTATATATATTTGTTTCTTTCTTAGTCTAGGAAATTCGATCTAGTTAAATATGTATATTATGGCTTTCTCGTATAGATTTGCTGTTTAGGGGTTGTAAATCAAAATGGGCAATGAAGATTTAGCTGTTGGATGCTAAACTGTCAATAAATCATCCAAAAGCTTTTTCATTGTTGAATTTGTAAGATATTCAAGGTATATATAATAGTATTAGGTCTTGTGTGCTATTGTTGATGTATGTATAAACTCATCTAGTTAGCACCTTTGGTTTTATACTTGTTTTTTGTACATTATATTTTAAAGTTTTCAGTTCTAAGTCAATGCTTATGCACCGAGATGTTTTTGTTCTAAAATAGAACTTGTTTTCCAGTCAGATTGTGATAGATTATTTTCTTGTTATAATAGATTTTATGACTTAGTTTATAAGGTGATAGGCTTATTGGTATTTACGTAGTTTTTGGAGAAGGAATCAAATTATATATCATGTTTATTTATACTCGGCAGAGTACATTAGAATTGATAAAAATATTTATTTTATGAAAACATGAGGTGGAAATCACCTAATTAATTTAAAAACATTAGAACAAGGCTTACTATTTGAATGCTGTATTGTAAAGGAACATCATAAAAAATTAGCAGCCCTTGATTTGTTTTTAAGGTGAAATAGCTAACTTTAACGAAGAGGTAAAATAAATAGGAAATGTACGAACGTGTACGGACTAAGATCACAAGCTATAAGTTCTATTTTTTTTCCTTTTTTTATGCAATTAAAATTAAGATCAATTAATTAATAATAATTAATATAAAAATAAATAAACATAACAACAATCAACATGTAAATTTTTACGTAAAACTTTGATGTGAGAAAAAAAATCACCAGATAGTAGTTCACTCAAACTTTTTCACTAAATTAATAATAAGATACAAGGATCTTTTCTAGATTCATCTAGAGGATGCCCATCAAAATATTAAAATTATAATTATAAAGATGAATTTCAATAATAACAATAACAAAAAGATCTAGATCTCTCTAAATACCCAATGATGATGATGGGGTTTCTGTCTTTTGTCTTTTGTTGTTGGAGCACGAAGACATAAGAAGATATTGGATGAAACTTGCTATCTTCAGAATATTTCTGGTCATATACTTTCATTAAAAGAGTGTGCATCAGAAAAGAAAACTAAGTTGCCGTCATCCTGATAAACAAGATAGCCATGTCAGTAACCAAACCCTTCTGCAAATTCTGCATCATTAGACCATCAGGAAAAAACCAGTCTCTCTTGCTATCTTCAGAATAATAAGAAAAGGGCAATCAGAACTGCTCCTATTTGGATGAAACTCGTCTTCATTTCTCTATGACATGAGCCCTGTTACGTTATGGTCGTTTCCGATTTGGATTCAGAGTCTTAGCGGACGTCAAATGCAGGAAAAAACTTGAAAAACTTATGGCGGTGAATCGAAAGATAAAGATATGCTTGTTTTATGATTCGTAGGGGGAAACATTTAAGTTAAAGTAATGTTAATTAAGTACTGCCAAATTGCAAGTAGGGTTAGCCAATTCTTTGTCCTGGCCTGTTTGCCCTCTCCTTTCCAGTGAGAATCCCATATAATTATACAAGATATTGCTTGATATACAGTGGTCAAAAGCGGAGGCTGGAGACTGAAGCCTGGCCGCCAGCATCTTCCTTGGAGAGTGATCGATGTTTCCCATTCGTTTGATTTATGTTTTGTGGTGTTACAGTATCATTATAAGAAACGCATTGACTATAAAAAACATTTGAACTGTATCGATACTCGAAGGTGACATCCCATGCTGTTACTGTACTATGGCGCCTTATTAGCCAGTCAGCATTATCCATTTCTAATTTACCAACACCTCATTGTTTTTGTATCTTGTAGTATTTGATATTTGTGCTATTTGATGAAAAAACAACATTGTTAACTGTAGATTTGTTTCAATGTCAGAAGGACAAATCTTGTACGGAAAAGTTCCTTTAATATGGAAGGAGAGACTCAAGACAGTTCAGAAGTTCCAGTTGTGAAGGTTGACAGTGATGTTGCCGATCCTATTAAGGTGATGGCTTAATACGACTGACATTAGCCTGGATTGCAGAAACTTGCTGAAATATGAATTTTTTCAAAAAAAAAAAAAAAAAACACCTTAAGATGTCAGCCCAGTCTTGATTTTTGTGATGTGACAAATGGAGACTTGCCGCAAGTAGTAAAGGAAGGAAAGAAAGAAGAGGATGAAACTGATGGAGAACTCATCAAAGTCGGCATTAAAAGTCTGACAATCTATCCTTATATTTTTAATGACTTTATTATATATTTTTTATTTTAACTAGTTTCTAATTTATTCTTTAGATCAAATCGTCAGAAATTGATCACGTAATTTACACATGATATGTCTTATGATAAAAATATCTATCATGTGGAAATCATATTATTTCATAAATTCATTTTTGAGGAATATTTTTGTAATAACAAGTCATTTGTAAATCAAGTTGTCATTTTTCGATGGTTTGGTTGAAAAAATTGACTTGAAAGATAGATTAAAAACTAATTAAAATAACAAAAATATAATAATATTGTTTTAAAATATAAGAATATATTAGAAACTTGAGTTATTATATATGAAAACAGGTGATATTATTAACCCTTTATACTGTTATTCATGGAGGACAATGATCCTCCCTTGAGCCCTTTGCGGCATGTTATCAGAATTTAAATCACTGCTCTTTCAATTTTGTGCTTCATAATTTATAAAGTCAAGAAACCCCATTTGCATCATTTTGTTCAGCTAGAAACTACTGAACCAAAAGCTAATAAACAACTCAATCAATATGCAAAACTCACGTCAAATAAAATATTTCTGGTCATATACTTTCATTAAAAGATTGTGCGTTAGAAAAGAAAACTAAGTTGCCATCATCCTGATAAACAAGATAGCCATATCAGCATCCAAACCCTTAGCATCATTATACCATCAGGAAAAAATCAGTCTCTCTTGCTATGTTCAGAATAATAAGGAAAAGGCAATCAGAACTACTCCTATTTGGATCAAACTTGTCTTCATTTCTCTATGACATCAGCCCTGTTACGTCATGGTCGTTTCCAATTTGGATTCAGAGTCTTAACGGACGTCAAATTCATGGAAAAACTTAAAAAACTTATGGCGGTGAATCGAAAGATATAGATCTGCCTGTTTTATGATTCGTTGGGTGGTCAGGGAAACATCTAAGTTAAAGCAATATAAATTAAGTATTGCCAACTTGCAAGCGGGGTTAGCCAATTCTTTGTCCTGGCCAGTTTGCCCTGTCCTTTCCAGTGAGAATCCCAAGATATTGCTTGATATACTGTGGTCGAAAGCGGAGGCTGGAGACTGGAGCCAGGCCGCCAGCATCTTCCTTGGAGAGTGATCGATGTTTCCCATTCTTTTGATGGCGAATAAAATAAGTAAATTGTCGAAGGACAAAAATATTGTGTTGGCATGTAAGACAAATTAAGATACTCAAACAAATCCTGACAATAAGTTCCTATGAATTATTGAGGTACTGACGTGGCAATTTCAATCGTAGGAATCCTGACGATATGCTTATTTTATGATTGGTTGGGCAGAAACATCTAGGTAATATTAATTAAGTAGACTGTTGGCCAAATTGCAACTGGGTTAGCCAATTATTTGTCCTGATCGATTTTCCCTCTTCTTTCGTTATACTTAATTATAATTAGTCTATGCCTGCAAGCCGAATAAATTAGACCATTTTAACCTTTTGGTTGTGAAGTTCACGGATCATGGACTCTTAGATGCTGTCAAAACATAGCAAGGAGTTAGCATTAGTGAGGCATGATCGTAGCAGTTGCAAGATAACATGATTCATTGCAGTACAAAAGATCACCAAACGACACAAAAAAAACTAAAAATACAAGTTGTAGCAGGAGAAAAAGGAAATTTAACAAAAAACACAACAATGAATTCAATAACAATTGCAACAGCAAGATGCTGTCAAAACATATTAACAAATATTTGAAACTTGTTATGTAATAGTTTGCAAATTATAGTGAGTAGACATTAATTGAAGTAGGATGATAGATTGGTAAACTAATAGCTTGGTTGTATTATATCATCTTCCAATTGCAATATGTGTTTGTAATCCTTAAAAGCAGAATTTCTGTGCAAACATCATGTGTCAAAGAAGAGTTCTTTTTTGTCATCAATATATGTAAGCTCTCTTTTAAGTCTTGTGAGTTGTTAAGTTTACAATCCTATTTTCATGGTTTACATATTGTTTGATTTTAGAGTTAATGGCATGCTCGGATTGTTAAAAGGCTTAGAAAGTTTAGATTATTAATTTAATTAGAACAATCATTGTTGGAAATAATTAGCTTTGCAAATTGCATCTCAACTTGTTTGGATAGTTTGCAAACTGATTTCAGTTTGTTTAATTTGGTTTTATATTAATTAAATAAAACACCAAAAACATTTATAGAATAGGCATTACAGTATATGAAGCAGTGAATTTAATTTATAAAAACTCAGAGTTTAGAAGTTGGATTGTCTTATTTTCTTGCATACTAGTGTTTTGCCAATCAATTTTAATTTTTTTTTTTCAATTACAAAATCCTTGAAAATCGAATGCAGATACCAAAAAAAAAAAATCCGCAACAGCTTTCGAGTGAGAATCCGATAACATTTTACAAGTTATTACTGTACAGAGGTCAAAAATAGCGGCTGGAGGCTAGAACCTGGCACCCAGCATCTTCCTTGGAGAGTGATGTTTTCCGATCGGTTGAGGATGTATAAGATAAGTAAATTTTCCCAGGACAAATATATTATGTTGGAATGTACGACAAATAAAGATTAACAAATTCGGACGTTAAGTTTTCATGAATTACTAAGACACTGAGGAGGCAATTTCTACCCTGTCGGCCAACTTGATCATCAAGTCCTTTAAGTCTAATAAAAATAATATATAATAAAACAACCTTTGTTTTTCACTTATAAATATCACACTACATTCGATATTGTGATCACAGCCAAGAACCAGGTAGATAACTGCAAAAATGTGGACTGAACTAAGCTCCACCATAACTGCTCTATCGGTTGCCTGGTTCATGTTTGATAAATATTTCCCTTATCAACTTCGTGCCTATCTTAAAAGATATTTTCAGAAGTTTGTGACTTTTGTGAGCCCTTATATCGAAATTACCTTCCATGAATTCACAGGAGAACGTCTCAAGCGGAGCGATGCCTACTTTGCCATTCAAAACTACCTAAGCACCAACTCTACCAAGAATGCTAAAAAACTCAAGGCTGATGTTGTCAAAGACAGCCAATCTGTAGTCCTCAGCATGGATGATTATGAGGAAGTTACCGATGTTTTCAATGGGGTTAAGTTCTGGTGGGCTTCAAGAAAAAAATCCCCTCCATCAGAAGTCATTTCTTTCAATCCTGGCACTGAAGAGAAGAGGTATTACAAGCTCACTTTCCATAGACGTAATCGGGAAATCATCAAGTCCTATATAGAACATGTCCTGAAACAAGGAAAGGAAATTGCAGTGAAGGACAGAAAGAGGATGCTGTACACCAACAATCCTAGCAAGAATTGGTACGGGTGGAATTCTACCAAGTGGGGCAGTATCGTGTTTGAGCATCCTGCCACTTTCGATACTTTGGCAATGGGAACAAAGATGAAAGAAGAGATCAAGAAGGAGCTTATCAAGTTCAGCAAAGGGAAAGACTATTATGCAAAAATTGGGAAGGCATGGAGGCGTGGTTATCTCCTTTATGGTCCTCCAGGCACCGGCAAATCAACGATGATTGCTGCCATGGCTAATTTATTGGATTACGATATTTATGATATTGAGTTGACGACCATTAAGGACAACAGCGAGCTGCGGAAGCTACTTATCGAAACGAAAGGAAAGTCTATTATTGTGATTGAGGATATTGATTGCTCGATTGATCTTACAGGTCAGAGAAAGAAAAAGGAGGAGAAGGATGACGATGAAGCAGATAAAGAGAAGGATCCAATTTCTAAGAAGAAAAAGGAGGCTGAAGAAGAAAGCAAAAGCAAGAGCAAGGTTACTTTATCTGGGCTTTTGAACGTTATTGATGGAATTTGGTCAGCTTGTGGTGGAGAAAGAATTATTATATTCACTACCAATTATGTGGACAAACTCGATCCTGCTTTAATTAGGAGGGGAAGGATGGATAGGCATATAGAAATGTCATATTGCTGCTTTGAAGCATTCAAGGTGCTAGCCAAGAATTATTTGGAAATCGAATGGCATGAATTATTTGGAAAAATTGAAGAGTTGTTTGGGGAGACAAAGATATCCCCAGCTGACGTTGCTGAGAATTTGATGCCAAAGTCGGACGAAGAAGATGAGGAGACTTGTTTGAAGAATTTGATTGAAGCTCTTGAGGTTTCAAAGGAGGAAGCTAAAAAAAGTCAGAAGAAGAAGCAACGCTCAAGGCTGAGAAAGCAGACAAAGAGAATGGCGAAGCATGTTCAAAAGAAGCAAAAGAGAATGGTGTAATCACTGAAGGTCAGGATGGAATGGAACCATTAGAGATATGAAGCAACTTGGTTGGATCAGAACATTGTTGCAGCTAATTGGTTCTCAAATATCTTATGGTCTTTAATTTCTGTTAATTAGCATTGTGTGTTCGTTTAGCATAGATTGTATATTTGTTTCTTTCTTAGTCTAGGAAATTTGTTCTAGTTAAATATGTATATTATGGCTTTCTCTTATAGATAGATTTGCTTTTTAGGGGGTGTAAATCAAAATGGGTAATGATGATTTAGCTGCTGGATGCTAAAAATGTCAATAAATCATCCAAAAGTTTTTCATTGTTGAATTTGTAAGATATTCAAGGTGTATGTAATAGTATTAGATCTTGTATGCTATTGTTGATTATAAACTCATCTAGTTAGCACCTTTGGTTTTGTACTTTTTTTTTTTTGTACATTATATTTTAAAGTTTTCAGTTCTAAGTCAATGTTTATGCACTGAGATGTTTTTGTTCTCAAATAGAACTTGTTTTGCATTCAGATTGTGATAGATTATTTTCTTGTTAGAATAGATTTTATGACTTAAATATTTGTAAGGTGATAGGCTTATTGGTATTTACGTAGTTTTTGGAGAAGGAACCAAATTATATGTCATGTTTATTTGCAGAGTAGAATAGAATTGATAAAAAAATATTTATTTTATGAAAACAAGAGGTGGAAATCACCTAATTAATTTAAAAACATTATAACAAGGTTTACTATTTAAGTGTTGCATTGTAAAAGAACATCTGAGGCTTTGAGGATGCAGTCAAGTTATAAAAAATTAGCAGCCCTTGATTTGTTTTTAAGGTGAAAACGACTAACTTTAATGAAGAGTTAAAATAAAAAGGAAATGGTAAAGATGTTGGACGCTAATGGACCTTTTTAATTTTAAGAAGTTATCTCAAAAAGCAAGGTTCTTCCATGCACTTATAACTAAGCACCTAACCCATTTCATAATCGATGCCGGATAATCCAATAATCTCTTCCTTAATACATCGAGTCTTAAGTTAGCTATTTTTCATCAACCTATGTGGTTTCAGCATAGAAAAAATATTTAACTTGAACTTTAATGTCGATATGTTGGAAAAAGAATGCGTACGAATTAAGATCACAAGCTACAAGTTCGATTTTTTTTCTCTTTTTGTACAATTAAAATTAAGATCAATCAATTAATAATACTTAGTGTAGAAAAAATAAACACAATCACAATCAACACATAAATTTTTATGTAAAAACTTTGTTGTGGGAAAAAAATCATCGATTGTAGTCCACTCGAACTCTTCTACTAGCATTAATAATAGGTATACAAGGATCTTTTTAGGTTTAACTAGAGGATGCACGTCAAAACATGAAAATTATCATTATAAAGATAAATCTCAATAACAACAACAACAAAATGGGCTAGATCTCACTAAATAAACTTTTAGAAGATAACCAATGATGGTAGATTCTTAATGATTAACACCATTTAAGTTATAGAGCTTGTTGTCAAAAATAACATATCAAAATTTTATTTCAATTGAGTTTGAAATGACTGACCAATCAAGACAATAAAGATGAATAACATTCTTTCTTCTTTCTCTCTTCTCTACAAAAATTCCAACTCTCCTTTTCTTTTTATTTTTGTTGTCGTTTGTTGCCTTATTATTGTCTTACTTATTGTCGTTGTCTTACGCAAATTTTGATGTCTTGTTTTTAGAACTTAATTAAAAGTCATACAAGTGACTTTTATAATTGTCACTTATGTAACCAACTTTAGTTTGGGAAAATCTTTCTTTCTTTTTTTCCCCCTTTTTATGTTGTTGTCTTGCTCCACCAAGCTTACTTGTCTTCAACAGAACTCAAATTTCTCTCTCGAGAAAGTCTTGAACATCATATTTGATCCATTCTTGTTAGTATGGATCTTCTCAATAACAAATGACTTTGTCTTCATAGCATCCGGAATCCATTGATATCTGATTATCAATGTATTTCGATTGAGAATAAAAAGTAAGATGCTTATTGAGATAAATTCTACTCGACTAATCACAATGCAACGAAGTTCTCTTGCTTTAGTTTAAGTTCGTGTAAGAACTTTTTTCATCTATAGAAACTCTTCACCTTTTTCGGTAAGAGCAATGTATTCAATCTCTATAATAAATAGAGTAATGCATTTCTACAATTTCAACTACCATGAAACTATTTATCCCTGCAAAAGTCATCAAGTATCTCGATATAGACTTTTGAGAATCAACATCATCGACCATATATGCATTTGTGTATCCATCTAACATAGGTTTACCATTACCAAAGCATAGAATGAAACTAAAAGTGCCTTTAAGATACATAAGTATCCATTTCACGAGTAATCTTCACACCAAGATTTTGTTTTACCAATCCAAAGTCTTTTATTGCAAAAAACTTGTTTAACTCTCTCTTCAAACTCTAAATCTTTCTAGCATCATAACCAACAATCAATATATCATCCCACATATAGTAAAAGAATAATAAATTCACCATCAACAAATTTCTTCATAAACATACAATGATTAGAAGTGATTATACCATAACCATGCTTTATTATGAAGAAATCAAACTTCTTATACCATTATCTTAGAGTTTGCTTCAATCCATACTAACTCTTTTTTAGCTTGCAAACTAGCTATTCTTTGCCTTCCACTTCAAACTCTTTAGGTTATTCCATATAGATCTCCTCATCTAAGTCATCATAGAGGAAGGTAATTTTAATATCAAGTTGTTCAACTTTATCCTTATCCAACATTTAGAAGACTTTCAAAATATTTATATTCGTAAAAGAAAAAGGAATAAAGAAAAGGTTTTGGAGTCACCACATAGTATTTAAGGTAACTAAAAGATCTAAAAAAGGTAATAAATTCATAGATTCTAGTTAAGAGGTCTGGTTATATTTTTAAGAAGATAACAATCATTTAAAGATACTCTTTCTAAGAAAAGGAATAGAACTTTTTCTTATGTTTTTTTCTTAGTTCTTGCCTTGATGAGTGCCTCGTTGATAACTCCTTTTTCGCCTATTTCTCCTCACTTTATGGAATGAAATCTAATAGTTTTGCGTGAGTTGGCTTGTTACGCCAAGTGTGCCTATAGAGTCTAGTAGGTTAAGAATGATTTTTTTTCCTTTCTTAAATACAAAATACTTAATAGACTTTTAAGTAAAGCCAATTAGAAAGCAGATTCATAGAAACTCATTGAAGAAGTTGATGGATTCTGTCCATCTTTTCTATCCAATTTATTAGGCTCGGACCCAAAATAAATTTAGGTAGAACAACAATAAAACTAAAAAAATTAGGATGTTGATTGGAACAGTAATTTCCTTCTCATAAAACATTGTTCATTCATATTTATTTGAATATATGATAAATTAGTCCTTTTAGTTTTACAAAGAATTAAATATTCTCTCTCATTTTAAAAACTAATTAATTAGATCTTTGACCAGTATTGACCTTCGTGAATTTGTTTCAAAATATATCATATTTTCTCCTCAATCTTTCTATATTTGATATCTCTTTTTTTTTCTATTATTAAAGTAAAAAAGAAAATAAATTAAAAACATGAAAAGAATTAACTTATAAATAGGTTTAGAAACATAGAAACTAATTAATTAGTTTTTAAAGCTAAGAAACTATTTTATTTGTTTTGCAAAACTACAGGAACTAATCTATAATTTACTTGTACCCATTTTTTCAATTCACTTAATTAACGTTTACTCACATTCATTTCCACCATTCACACTTCTTGTGATGGTATTTTCATAATTTTAAGGTTTTCTTAAGGTATTTTAGAGATGAGATTTAGCAAACATTACCCATTGGTATCTAATTTTTGTAATGTTTTTGTTTTGATTCTTAACTTCATTTGCATCACGAATTGATCCTTGAAAACGCTAGATGAAGGCCGGAGGAGACAGAAACAAAAAGAGAAGAGGAAAGAAAAAAAGTTGCATTGAAGCCTATTCTGGTCACCAAGATCAATGATCTTGACTAAAATGTATTCATTTCGGTGAGGAGAATTTGTTTATTATGCTCTCAAGTTATCAAATAATTGGAGAAATGACATTAAAAGCTCAAAATATATTTGAGTTTTTGAATTTAATTGATTTTTTTGTATTTTTAAGTGCATTAAAATCAGTTAAAAGTTTTCAAATGATTTTATTGAGGTAGTTTAAGTTATTTTAAGGTATTTTGAACTAAAAATGGTGTGAAATTGAGTTTCAAAAGGTTAGAAACTAAGGACCTCAATTTTTCGACAAACTTTTTCTCCAAAATACCTAGTAAAATAACTAAATATCAGGTTAAGCGTGATCCAAACTAATTAAAGAATTAAAGAATTAATTTTTAAAATAAGATAGATTAATTCATTCATTTCTAGAAACTAAAAGAACTAATTTATAATTTACTCTAGTGCAGCTGCATAACAATCGAATAAATAAAAAATAACAAATAAGATCATGGAAATTCATCCAAGGCACGAAGATTAAAGCCCAATAGCGTGGTTGTAATGGACGGGCTGCCAATAGAAAAACGATACCCAAACTTGTTCTTGGTCCCGTTTCTTCCATTCTCCCGTCCTCCTCTGTGCTCTCTCTGCTCCACTCTACTGTTAGGGTTTAAGATCTTCAAAACGTAGCAGAGGTAAGTGTCATTTTATCCACTTATAATACTTTCTCAAATTTCAATTCCCAATGTTTAGATTTCTCAGCAAAAGCTTAGTGTTAGACAGTTGTAATAGAGGTAATTTATCAGTTCATAAAGAATTATCCTATTTTCTTGAAAACCCTTCCATATTATCATGTCTCAGATACTTTTCATCATTGAATACCGATGATACAAAAGAACATTCCTTTACAGTCTCGTACCTTATGAACAAATGTGGGTTCTCTCTAAAATCTGCTTTAGAAGTTTCTAAACAAGTTCATTTTGAATTCCCAGATAAGCCTGATTCTGTTCTTGAAGTTTTCAAGAACCATAGCTTCTCAAAAGACCATATTTTGAAACTAGTGAGGAAACACCCTTCAGTGCTTTTGTCGAAACCTCACAAAACACTTTTACCCAAGCTTGAATTTTTCCAATCTAAAGGTATTTCAAGCCCCAATGTCATCAAAATCGTATCATCCAACCCGAAGATTTTTAGATATAGCTTAGAAAACCAGTTAGTCCCTGCTTTTGATTTCTTTGAAAACTTTCTCCGATCTGATGCCATGGCCAGCAAAGCAATCAACATTTCCCCTTATATTCTATGCAGTAATGTTGGAAAAATGACACGTATTGTTGATGTTTTACGGGACATTGGAGTCCCTAAAAAGAATATTGCTCTGCTAGTTCGTTACAAGCCTTCTATTATGATTTCAAATCTGGAGAGTTTTAAAAAGCTTATACAGGAAGTCACTCTAATGGGATTTCATCCTTCCAAGAGTCAATTTGTTTTAGCAATTACTGTTCTGAAGTCCATGAGCACATCCACATGGGAAAAAAAGCTTGATGTGCGTAGGAGATGGGGTTTGTCTGAAGAAGAAATTCTTGCAGCATTTGTGAAGAATCCATGCTTTATGGCCTTATCTGAAGAGAAGATCATGGGAGTGATGGATCTTTTTGTCAACAAATTGGGTTGGGAGTCTTCCTTTCTTGCCAAAAATCCAACAATTTCATCATATAGCTTGGAGAAAAGGCTTTTCCCAAGGGCTTTGGTATTTGAATTTTTAGTTTCTAAAGGTTTGATTGAGAAGAGTTTCAGAAATGCTGCATTCTTCTATGCCCCAGAAAATCAGTTCCAGCAGAGGTTCATAGATCAGCATGCTGAATCTACCCAGATATTAAAATTTTACAAGGAAAAACTGAATCTTTCATCGGTGGTAAAGTCTTCTACATTTTAAACTCACAATCACTCTACATTTCCATTTGTTTTCTATGTTTTAGCCTTTAGGAATTCTATAAATAGGCATTATGCAATGCAATTACCTGTTCTTTTTGCAATTTTGTTTCGATACGATCTGTGTTTTCTCCATGAAGCCTTGAACCTGGTGCCTGATGATGTTTTTATGGCCATCTGCCATACCAGGATAAGTCTTGCCTTGTATGAAATTTGTCAACTTATGCCCTCTTGTTGTTACGTTTGAGTAATGATTTTACACTATAGATGATCTAATCCAAGTTAGTTATGTGCTGACCCTCCTTATTTTCTTGGTGAATAAAAATTGCGTTTGTGAAACAGGGAGGGATGGGATTCGATTCTGCATTGGGAGTGCATAGAAATGGAGGTCAATCACGCATCTAATTTGTTGCAACCATGGATTCTTATCAAATATTTTCTTTTCTACTCGTTATTTATTGGTGTAGAAGTATTCAAAACACAAAATTTGTCTCAGGTAGAGATTCTTGGAGGGTTTAGATACTGGATTCAAGTCTTAATGCAAGGAAGATATTAGGTTTCAAGGATTTGTTAATCTCAAGAGGATCCAGTAACTAACAGTTTCATTTGCTGTTGAAGGTAGGCTGCAAGCACAATCTGCGTACATGTCAGCAAGCCACTAAATGAATGATCTTTAGATTATAATTAGGGATTACAAGAATGATCTTACAAGCTTCTGGTCAAAATATGAGGGTTATTATATAAGGGTGGGAAGTTCTTGACCTGAAGCACCTTGGGAGTAGAAAACTGGAATTCAGGCGGAAAGTATTTTATCAGGATTGTATCGAAAGACAGGCCTGCTGGTTTCTTTGGACTAGATTCTTTAACAAGTTGATGACAGTTAGGTTTTTCAGGAACTATACTTTTCTTGCAGTATGATTAGGGAGTACGTGATCTTCCAAGCTTCTGGTCAAAATATGAAGGTTGTTAAATAACACTGGCATGATCTTGACCTGAAGCACCTTTGAGAGAAACCATGGGACTTGGACAAGTTAATGACAGAGGCAGGTTTTTCAGCGCCATTTGAGTGGGGAGATATCTTGAAGCTGAAGATGCAGAATTCAATGGAAATACACATGTATTTATGGGCTAAGAAACTGTAGTGTAATCGTGTGGATTTGCAGCCTGCTACTTCCACTAGCAATTGATTTGTAAGAGAGAAATGAAGAAGAATTGTCAACATTTTATTCGTATCATTTGATCAATTCTAAAAAAATCTAAAATGCTTAAAACAATGCCTTTTAAGCATTTTAGTTGACGATTTTAACATTTTTCCTGTCATAAATGCCACAACTCCAATAGTTGGGGAGTAATTTTGCTATTAAATCATCTTTCAATCAATATTTTGACCTTTGAAAATAACGAAAGAAAGAAGGATAATATTTGTTTAGAAAATGCTAGTTTGACGTTCAAATTATTTAAATTAATAGTGTAGATCTTAAATTATCATAATTTAATATTTTGAGAGTAATTTTTACCATTAAATCCATAACCAACCATGCACTTGTGCTGGAAAGACTTTCAAAATATAATAATGCCGAGGATTTAATCACGTCTTTTCCACTTAAACTGGACTTCCATCCAATTGTCAACAAAGTAAAAGCATATATGCCAAAGACGTGTGTTTATTAAAGAACAAATATTTTAAGTGAAAAAAAGAAGAAATAAGTGATAGAAATTGATTTGGGAAAACCTTGTTTTGATACCTTGTGTTTACATCAAATCACCTAAGTAAACACCTTTCTCTGTTTTTCTGTATTTTTCTGCATTTGAGCTTGGGTAAATTTCAAAATAGTTCTATAAGATTTTCTGGGCTCTCAATTTTATTTGTTTCAATTAGATCCCATATTTTTCATTCTTTTTCCACTTAATCCCCACATCTTTTATTTTTGTACCACTTTTTAATTGAGCTGTGCATGTAGTTTTTTCTTACACACAGTCTCACCTTACTAAAATGAGACCAATATAAACCACCGGGGGGTGACACAGCGACAAGAACTTGGTATCAAGAGGTTTACTCCCTCTCGTGATCTCGGGTTCGAATCCTTGTTGCTCCCCTTGATGGCCACCTGGAGGCTTACATGATCGTTAACTTCGGGACCTACGAGATTAGTCGAAATGCGCGTATGTTAGCCCGGACACTTGCATTATAAAAAAAAAAAAATGAGACCAATATACCCTCTTGTTTATGCTTGTTGGAGTGCGGAGTGCCTAAAATGTCAACAAATCTCCACATTCAAATATTGTGAAGAGGGTGGCTTGACTATGCATTACTTCAAGCTAAGGTAATAGGAATGGTTAGGTAGAAAAAAATTACAATGCCAAATGGGTATGCAAGAAAATGAGAAGGTAGGCAAGGCTTGTAATCATTAAATGACAAGCACATAATCACTAAGTTAACAATGTAGAATGAGGTAGTGTTGCATTGTACCAATGAGCACCTGCAAAACAAGTCCTTATAATTAGATGGAAGATCCTTCAAAGGATAAGTTAGTGTAAGAATGAGAGTGGTTGTCAGAAAGCTATGATGCAAGGAAGAAGATGAATAGTGATAGTATGAAAAGACTTTCTGAATCATTAATCTTAGAAATTTTAGTTGTTTATATAGTCGGGAGATTCGCCAAGTTGCATGGAAGAAAAGGTAGAATAGCTGTCAATTCTTTTGCTGCCAATAGCCTTTGATAACGAAAACAACTCTTTTTTTTTTTTTCACTTATAAATACGACACTACTTTCGATATTGTGACCCAAGCCAAGAGACCAGGTTGATTACTGAAGAAATGTGGACTGAGCTAGGCTCCGCCATAACTGGCCTATCGGTTGCTTGGTTCATGTTTGATAAATACTTCCCTTATCAACTTCGTGGCTATCTTCAAAGATATTTTCATAGGTTTGTGACTTTTATGAGCGCCTTATATCGAAATTACCTTCCATGAATTCACAGGTAAACGTCTCCAGCGTTGCTATGCCTTCTTTGCCGTTCAAAACTATCTCAGTACCAACCCTACCAAGAATGCTAAAAGACTCAAGGCTGAAGTTATCAAAGACAGCCAATCTATAGTCCTCAGCATGGATGATTGTGAGGAAGTTACCGATGTTTTCGACGGGGTTAAGGTCTGATGGGCTTTAAGCAAAGAAGCCTCCCGATCACAAGTCATTTCTTTCTATCCTGGCACTGAAGAGAAGAGGTATTACAAGCTCACTTTCCATAGACGTTAGTGGGAAATCGTCAAGTCTTATATAGAACATGTCCTAAAACAAGGAAAGGAAGTTGCAGTGAAGAACAGACAGAGAATGCTGTGCACCAACAATCCTAGCAAGAATTGGTACTGGCGGAACCCTACCAAGTGGGGTAGTATGGTGTCTGAGCATCCTGCTGCTTTCGATACATTGGCAATAGGAACAAAGATGAAAGAAGGGATCAAGAAGGAGCTTGTCAAGTTCAGCAAAGGGAAAGACTAATATGCAAAAATTGGGAAGGCCTGGAAGCGTGCTTATCTCCTTTATGGTCCTCCAGGAACTGGCAAATCAACGATGACTGCTGCTATGGCTAATTTATTGGATTATGATGTTTATGACCTTGAGTTGGCTAATTTATTGGAAGCGTGGTTATCTCTCTTGTGGTCCTCCAGGAACGGGCAAATCAATATCATTGTTACTTTTATTTTAATTTTGATCAACATATTTTATACTTTATATTTTTAATAGCATGTTGAGTTTGTTTTAAATATATTTTATATTTTTCAAATAATAATAATTTTTATAAATACTCATCACAAATTTATTATATCCTATTTCATGAAAATCAAGATGCTGTTTTAAAAAAATAAAAACATGAAAATTAAAAAGTAATAATAATCTGATCTTCAAAAAAATTCTTTAAATTATTTGACTTGTTTTGATTGAATTTCTCTATTAAAATATATGTATGACACATGTCAGGTATTCCTAAGCATAACTTATAATAATAATAAGAAGAGAAAAATACTTATGGATCTTTTCTAATTGGGCTTGTGATTTTCTAATTAACTCATTTACAAAGCTTGAAGATTAAAGCCCAATAACATTAAAGTTGTAAAGCCCGGGCTATCAATACAAACAATTGAATTGGGCTGTTAGTCTTGAAAACATTAGAAGAAGTACGAAAATGATGCCAAACTTGTTCTTGCTCACGTTTTCTCCATTCTCCTCCTCTTTGCTCTCTCTGCTCTGCTCTACTATTAGGGTTTAAGAGCTGCTTGAATTGAATTATTCTCCTCCTCTTTGCTCTCTCTGCTCTGCTCTACTATTAGGGTTTAAGAGCTGCTTGAATTGAATTATCTTCAAAAACGTAGCAGAGGTAAGTAGCATTTTATTTACTTATAACACTTTCACAAATTTCAGTTCCCAATGTTTAGAGTTCTCTGCAAAAGCATAGGGTCAGGCTGTTCTATTCGAGCTAACCCTTCGATATTATCATGTCTCAGAAACATTTCATCAGTGAATACAGATGATATAAAAGAACATTCTTTTACAGTCTCGTACCTCATGAACAAATGTGGGTTCTCTTTAAAATCTGCTTTAGAAGTTTCTAAAAAAGTTCATTTTGAATCTCCGGATAAGCCTGATTCTGTTCTTGACGTTTTCAGGAACCATAACTTCTCGAAAGACCATATTTTAAATCTAGTGAGGAAACGCCCGGCAGTACTTTTGTCTAAACCTCTCAAAACACTTTTGCCCAAGCTTGAATTTTTCCAATCTAAAGGTTTTCCAAACCCCGATGTCGTCAAAATCATATCATCCTACCCATACATTTTGGGAAGTAGCTTAGAAAACCAGTTAGTCCCTGCTTTTGATTTCTTTGAAAACTTTCTCCAATCTGATGCCTTGGCCATCAGAGCGATCAAACGTTCCCCTTCTATTCTAGAGGTTAATGTCGAAAGCTTGGCACGAATTGTTGATGTTTTACGAGACAATGGAGTCCCTAAAAAGAATATTGCTCTGCTATTTGGTTACCGGCCTTCTATTGTGATTTCAAATCTGGAGAGTTTTAAAAAGCTTATACAGCAAGTGACTCTAATGGGATTTAATCCTTCCAAGAGTCAATTTGTTTTAGCAATTGTGTTGCTGAGGTCCATGACCACATCCACTTGGGAAAAAAAGCTTGATGTGTATAGGAGATGGGGTTTGTCGCGAGAAGAAATTCTTGCAGCATTTGTAAAGAATCCGTGGTTTATGGGCTTATCTGAAAAAAAGATCACGGGAGTGATGGATCTTTTTGTCAAAAATTTGGGTTGGGAGTCTTCGTATATTGCCAAAAATCCAAGTATTTCATCATATAGCTTGGAGAAAAGGCTGATCCCAAGGGCTTTGGTATTGCAATTTTTAGTTTCTAAAGGTTTGGTTGAGAAGAGTTTCAGAAGTGCTGCATTCTTCAGTAGACCAGAAAATATTTTCCGGCGGATGTTGATAGATAATAATGCTGAATCTACCCAGATATTGAAATTTTACAAAGAAAAACTGAATCCTTCATCGGTGGTAAAGTCTTCTACATTTTAAATCACAACCACTGTACATTTCCAATTGTTTTCTCTGATTTAGCCTTGGGAACTTTATAAATTAGTCATTGTGCAATGCAATTACCTGTTTTTTTTTTTCTCATCTGTCTTTTCTCAATGAAACCTTGAACCTTGTGCTTAATGATGTTCTTACAGCCGTTTGCCCTACCAGGATAGCTGCAGTTGTCTTGCCTTGTATGAAATTTGACGACTTATACCATCTTATCGTTACTTTTGAGTAATGATTTTACACTGTAGATGTTCTAATCCAAGTTAGTCATGTGCTGACCCTCCTTATTTTCTCTGTAATAAAAATTGCCTTCATGAAACAGAGAGAGATGGGCCTTGATTCTGCGTTGGGAGTGCATAGAAATGGAGATCAATCACGCATCTGATTTACTGCAGCCATGGGTGCATATTAAATATTTTCGCTTCTACACGTTGTTTATAACAGTAGAAGTATTCAAAACACAAAATTTATCTTTGGTAGAGATTGTTGCAGAGTTTGAATGCTGGATTCAAATCTTAATGCAAGGAAGATATTATTTTTCAAGGATTTGTTACTCTTAAGAGCATCCAGTAGCTAATAGTTTCTTTTGCTGTTGGAGGTAGGCTGCAAGCACAATCTGCATATGTGAGAATGATCTGTAGATTATAATTAGCTATTACAAGACTGATCTTCCTAACTTCTAGTCAAAATATGAGGGTTATTAAAGAACAAATATTGCAGGTGAAAAAAGAAGAAAGAAGTGATTGATATTAATTTGGAAAAACCCTATTAAAAAGTTAATCAGAATAGCTAATACCATCTTTAATCTTTTGTAACAGAAACTATTAACAGTAGCTTGCAAGACCTCATATTTTGTGGATGTATATAGCATGAACCTGTCTCCTTGATCCACTTAGTTCCCTCTATATAATCATCATGTGGTTAATGGCTCCTCTGCCTGAGACTTTTTTCTCACTAAGAAGGTGGAAGTTTCAACAAGCACCAATTCCAAGATCGTGCTATTAGCGGCAGTCATTGGTGTAATGGTAATATCAGTTGTGGTTGCGAAAGGTGGTGGAGATGGTGGTGGTGGTATTTTGAGGGGCTTTCACTTAGTCTCGATTAGATATTTGGATTATTAGGATTAACATTTATGTTAGCTGAATATGAGGTATTGTTTTGTTGTTAATCCAGCACCAACTCTCACATGTTAGCCCATCCTTAAATTAAAACAAAAAACAGAGATTTTAAAAAAAATCTTAAATCATTTAACTATCATCTCTCCTTGGAGATCTCGTTTCCTTCCTCTGACTCTTGGTCTTCTCTTACCTCTGAACTTTCATTCCTACTTAACTCCCATCACCAAAAATAGAAAAAGGCATAGAAAATAACTAGTAAAATCGTGCTGCTTCTGAATCTTTTCTAATTATTGGACCTGTAATTTTCTAATTGAAATCATTCACAACGCATGAAGATTTCCAATGCTTATAGTCTTGAAAACGGGAAAGTTGTAAAGGCCGGGCTATCAATACGAAAACTATTGAATTGGGCTTATAGTCTTGAAAACGTTAGAAGAAGTACAAAATGACACCGAAGTTTGTTCTTGCTCACGTTTCCTCCCTTCTCCTCCTCTATTCTCTCGCTGCTCTGCTCCACTCTAATGTTAGGGTTTAGGAGTTGCTTGAATTGAATGATCTTCAAAAACTTAGCAGAGGTAAGTAGCATTTTATCTACTTCTCAAATTTCAATTTCCAATGCTTAGGTTTCTCTGTAAAACCTTAGTGTTAGGCAGTTCTAATAGAGCTAATTTATCAGTTCATAAAGGATTACCCTACATTCTTGAAAATCCTTCCATGTTATCATGTCTCAGAAACATTTCATCAGTGAATACAGATGATATAAAAGAACATTCCTTTACAGTCACATACCTTGTGAACAAATGTGGGTTCTCTCTAAAATCTGCTTTAGAAGCTTCTAAACAAGTCCATTTTGAAACTCCAGATAAACCTGATTCTGTTCTTGAAGTTTTCAAGAACCATAGCTTCTCAAAAGACCATATTTTGAACCTAGTGAGGAGACGCCCTGAAGTGCTTTTGTCCAAACCTCTCACAACACTTCTGCCCAAGCTTGAATTTTTCCAATCCAAAGGTTTTTCAACCCCCGATGTCGTCAAAATCATATCAACCTACCCGTGGATTTTGAGGTGTAGCTTAGAAAACCAGTTAGTCCCTGCTTTTGATTTCTTTGAAAAGTTTTTCCAATCTGATGCCATGGTCATCAAATCAATCAAACTTGCTCCTGTTATTCTGAATGTTAATGTTGAAAGCTTGGCACGTATTGTTGATGTTTTACGAGACAATGGAGTCCCTAGAAAGAATATTGCTCTACTGTTTCGTTACCGGTTTTCAAATCTGGAGACTTTTAAAAAGCTTATACAGGAAGTGACTCTAATGGGATTTCATCCTTCCAAGAGTCAATTTGTTGTAGCCATTATGTGTTTGAGGTCCATGAGCACATCCACATGGGATAAAAAGATTGACGTGCTTAAGAGATGGGGTTTGTCTCAAGATGAAATTCTTGCAGCATTTGTAAGGTATCCATGCTTTATGAGCTTATCTAAAGCGAAGATCATGGGCGTGATGGATCTTTTTGTCAACAAATTGGGTTGGGATTCTTCCTATCTTGCCAAAAATCCAAGTATTTCGTCATATAGCTTGGAGAAAAGGCTGATCCCAAGGGCATTGGTATTGCAATTTTTAGTTTCTAAAGGCTTGGTTGAGAAGAGTTTCAGAAGTGTTACATTCTTTGTTAGACCAGAAAATAAGTTCCAGCAGATGTTCATATATTGCTATGCTGAATCTACGCAGATATTGACATTTTACGAGGAAAAGCTGAATCATTCATCGGTTGTAAAGACTTCTACATTTTAAATCACAATCACTCAACATTTCCATTTGTTTTCTCTGTTTTAGCCTTAGGAAATTCTTTAAATTAGGCACTTTACTATGCAATTACCTGTTCTCTTTTGCAATTTTGTTTCAATATCATCTGTGTTTTTTTTTTCAATGAAACCTTGAACCTTCTGCTTGATGATGTTTTTACAGCCATTTGGCATCCCAGGATAGCTGCACTCATCTTGCCTTGTATGAAATTTGACGACTAATATCGTCTTATTGTTACATTTGAGTAATGATTTTACACTATCGATGGTCTAACCCAAGTTAGTTATGTGCTGACTCTCCTTATTTTCTTGGTAATAAAAATTGGGTTCATGAAACAGTTAGGGATGGGCTTCAACTCTGCTTTGGGAGTGCCTAGAAATGGAGATCAATCATGCTTCTGATTTGTTGCAACCATGGGTGCTTATTAAATATTTTCTTTTCTACAGGTTATTTATGACAGTAGAAGTATTCAAAACACAAAATTTGCCTCAGGTAGAGATTCTTGCAGAGTTTGAATCCTTGATTCAAATCTTAATGCAAGGAAGATTTTAGGTTTCAAGGATTTGTTAATCTCAAGTGCATTCGATAGCTAATAGTTTCATTTGCAGTTGAAGGTAGGCTGCAACCACAATATGCATACACATCAGGTAGCCACTAAATGACTGATCTTTGGATTATAAATAGGGATTACAGGAATGGTCTTCCAAGCTTCTGGTCAAAATACGAGGGCTATTATACAAGGCTGGAAAGATCTTGACCTGAAGCACCTTCGGGCAGAAGGTATCTATCCAGATTGCATCGAAAGACCTGCCGGTTTCGTCGGACTAGATTCGTGAACAAGTTGACAACAGTGTTAGGTTTTTCAAGGCCATGTAAGCGGAGATATGTAGAAGCTGAAGCTGAAGATTTGAATGGAAAGCTACAAGTATTTATGAGGTAAAAGACTACGAAGGATTAATCTTGTGGGTTTGCAGAAGTGCTGCTATTACTATGGATTTTGTAACAGAGAAATGATGATTAAATTCGTGATGAGTTGGTGCAGCAAATCATGATGAATTTCATCGGGTTTTCAAGGATTTCTTTGTTTTGGTTTTTGCTTTCGAAAAACAACCATCAAAATGCTCTCTTGTCCCGTCATGTTGTGTTTTATGCCCATGATTTTCCCCTTGCATATCTATATCTTCAAATCTTCATGGTAGCTCAAAACAATCGATTTCTCTCACAGATGCAGCGGCAGAGGAGCTTCGCTGAATCTTCATAACCAACCATGAACCTATGTTGGAAGGACTTTCAGAATACAATAATTGTGATAATCAAGTCCTTTCTTCGAAACTAGACTTCTTTCCAATTGTCAACTGAGTAAAAACATGCCAAAGACATGTGCTTATTAAAGAACAATTATTTTAAGTGAAAAAAGAAGAAAGAAATTATTGAAATTAATTTGAAAAAAAACCCTATGTTGAGATATTGTATTTATATCAAGTTGGCAAATTAAACATACGTTAATAATTTGACGAATTTGATAATGTGTTTGTTATCTTAGGCAATTCAATCCAACCACTTTCAGTTTTAATGAACATTTTAAAAAAAAAAATTATATAGAAGAGTAGTAAGGAGTTAAAGTAAAAAGGGTTGCTCTTTCCAAAAAAAAAAAAAAAAAAAAACTCAAAATTAGTTGGGAGTGCACAGCATTTTCTTATTTGATATCAATAATTAGTTGGTAATCAGCATTATCATTGTTTCAATTTTAATTTTGATGAACATATCTATACTCTATTTTTTAGTAAATATATTCATTTATCTTTATGTAATAATCAAAAATTTTAGTTTGCCTTAGGTTTTTAATTGTATTCCATTTGTCGCTGAAAGTGTTTGAAAGTGTTTGAAATGATTAATTTATCATTTTGATTAATTTTTTCGATCAAATAATTTTTTTGATCTAAAAAAAAAATTATAGTCAAAAAATTTGATCGAAGAGATAGATTGAATATTTCAAGATTTTTCACACACATATGAGATGTAATTAAAAATCTAGAGACAAATGAGAGACTTAAGTATTATTAAGGATAGACAGGTTCATTTACTTCATTTTTTAAAACTGTATGCTAGGTTCATTTTCTATGTATTTTATAATTTTTAGACTATTATAGTAGTTTTTTTAAAAAAATATTATTCACAATTTTATAGTGATGAGATCTAATATATGTCATGTTTTGGGGCATTCAAGATGAGATTTTTTTTTTTTAAAAAAAAACAAGCATAAAAATTAAAAAATAATATTAAGCTTAAACTAAATCAGTGTAGGATCCTCTAAAAATTTATTATTCTTGTTTCTTATTTTTTTTTCTCTCATTTTTTTTCAATTTTTGAAAGCATTGTCTTTTTCTTCACTCTCTTTTTTTATGCTTGATGATTTTTCCAAAAATCATAAAACTCGTAAAAAAAAAAGCTTAAATTTTAAAAAATAAGATAAATCGATAAAAATATTTAATTTTTGATATTTATAGATTAAAAAAAAAACTTGTAAAATAAAAGGGTTAAAATCGAGTGTTGACAGTAACTATGAACTAAATATAAAAATAGATGTTTTATAACAAATAATGATGTTACTTATGAGATGATCATATTTTTATCAATTACATTTATTATATGGTACCTAAGTTAAAAAAAAAAACAATAAATAAATAAATTAGACCATGTGAGTGATATGTGGAATTGGTACTTGATTCATATAATGTTCTATACACATGTTAATGATATATTATTCCACCGGTTATACAATAAAATGTTATTCCATTAGTTATATAAAATATTACTATAAATTCAATTTTCAATAAATTATATATATATATACAGTGCAAAACACAAGACTTAATGTCAAATTGTGAAATTTATGAGATTTGAACCCTTGATATAAAGGTTTAACTTGTTGAGTTAATTTATTTTTAAGGGCCTTAAACCCTACTTTGAGCACTTCAAACCTTAGCTTAGCTAGATGCAAGAATCTTAGTCCAGATTCTGGCTTGACCCCAATGCAATTTAGTTTTTCCATTACATAGATGATTACATCAATTATTATTATTATTTTAATTTTTATGTTTTTTTTTTAAAAAAAAAATCCCATCCTGAATGTAAAAAACATGGCATAAGTGAGACCTAAAACTGTGAAGTGTGCTTTTTTTAAAAACAATTGATAATAAATTAAAAACAATAAAGTAATACATAAAAGAAATAAAGAAAACAAACCGTACATGTAATTATTAAAATAAAAATATAATAATAAAAAAATAATAATGTACAATATTGATCAGTCACATCTGCTTAGTTAATCAATTTGATCCTACATAAAAATAATACTTTTTAAATATTTGACCAATTCAAAATAAAAAAGGTTGCTTTGTAAAAAAAAAAAAAAACTATGAAAAACACGAGAAATTTTATAATATACAAAGAATAATTATTAGCATGTACAGTAGTTATTTTTTGAATTCACTTTGAGGAGAGAGATAGACATATAAAAAGAGAAAGAGAAAAATAAGAGAGAGAAAATAAAAAAATTTAAGCGGACGTGGAAATCTTTTTATCACTTTTGATGTGTATGTAATGTAATTTTTTTTTTAAGTGTCTATCTCTATCCTCAAAGTGAGTCTAAAAAATAATTACTGTACATGTCACTAATTACTTCTTATATATTATAAAATTTTCTTAGAGTGCATTATATTTTCTTATTTGACATCAATAATTAGCTAAGAATCAACAGTACCATTGTTTTTTGTTTTTAATTTTATTTAATGAATATATTTGTACTCTATTTTAAAAAATAGCGTGGAATTGTGATGGCCGGGCTGCGTGTACAAAAATGATACCCAAACTTTTTCTTGGTCCCATTTCCTGCTTTTCTCCTCCACTGTGCTCTCTCTGCTCCACTCCACTGTTAGGGTTTAAGATCTTCAAAACGTAGCATAGGTAAGTATCATTCTATCCACTTATAATACTTTCTCAAATTTCAATTCCCAATGTTTAGATTTTTCTGCAAAAGCTTAGTGTTAGGCTGTTCTAATAGAGCTAATTTATCAGTTCAGAAAGGATTACCCTATTTTCTTGACAATCCTTCCATATTATCATGTCTCAGAAACATTTCATCAGTGAATACAGATGATATAAAAGAACATTCCTTTACAGTATCGTACCTTGTAAACAAATGTGGGTTATCTCTAAAATCTGCTTTAGAAGCTTCTAAACAAGTCCATTTTGAATCCCCGGATAAACCTGATTCTGTTCTTGACGTTTTCAAGAACCATAGCTTTTCAAAAGACGATATTTTGAAACTAGTGAGGAGACGCCCTTCAGTGCTTTTGTCAAAACCTCACAAAACACTGTCGCCCAAGCTTGAATTTTTCCAATCTAAAGGTTTTTCAAGCCCCGATGTCGCCAAAATCATATCATCCTACCCATGGATTTTGAGACGTAGCTTAGAAAACCAGTTAGTCCCTGTTTTTGATTCCTTCAAAAACTTTCTCCAATCTGATGCCATGGCCATCAAAGCAATCAAACGTTACCCTTCTATTCTAACTCTTGATGTTGAAAACATGGCACGTATTCTTGATGTTTTACGAGACAATGGAGTCCCTAAAAAGAATATTGCTCTGCTAGTTCGCCACCGACCTGCTACTATGATGTCCAATCTGGAGAGTTTTAAAAAGCTTATACAGGAAGTGACTCTGATGGGATTTCATCCTTCCAAGTATCAATTTGTTTCGGCAATTATGTCGCTGAAGTCCATGAGCACATCCACATGGGAAAAAAAGCTTGACGTGCTTAGGAGATGGGGTTTGTCTCAAGAAGAAATTCTTGCAGCATTTGTAAAGTATCCATGGTTTATTTGCTTATCTGAAGAGAAGATCATGGGAGTGATGGATCTTTTTGTCAACAAATTGGGCTGGGAGTCTTCCTTTGTTGCCAAAAATCCAATTATTTCATCATATAGCTTGGAGAAAAGGCTTATCCCAAGGGCTTTGGTATTGCAATTTTTAGTTTCTAAAGGCTTGGTTGAGAAGAGTTTCAGAAGCCTTGCATTCTTCATTACAGCAGAAAATAAGTTTCGGCATACGTTCATAGATCCCCATGCTGAATCTATCCAGATATTGAAATTTTACAAGGAAAAACTGAATCTTTCATCGGTTGTAAGGTCTTCTACATTTTAAATCACAACCACTCTACATTTCTTCTCTGTTTTAACCTTTAGGAATTCTATTAATTAGGCATTGTGCGATGCATTTACCTGTTCTCTTTGCAATTTTGTTTCCTAATCATCTGTTTTTTTCTCACTGAAACCTTGAACCTTGTGCTTAATGATGTTTTTACTGCCAACTGCCCTGCCAGGATAGCTGCACTTGTCTTGCCTTGTATGAAATTTGATGATTTATACTGTCTTATTGCTATTTTTGAGTAATGATTTTACACTATGGATGATCTAATCCAAGTTAGTTATTTGCTGACCCTCCTTATTTCCTTGGTAATAGAAATTGCAATCATGAAACAGAGAGGGATGGGCTTTGATTCTGCCTTGGGAGTGCATAGAAATGGAGGTCAATCGTGCATCTAATTTGTTGCAACCATGGATGCCTATTAAATATTTTTCTTTCTACACGTCATTTATAACGTAGAAATATTCAAAACACGAAATTTGTCTCTGGCATAGATTCTTGCAGAGTTATTGGATTTAAATCTTAATGCATGGAAGATATTGAGGTTTCAAGGATTTGTTAATCTCAAGAGGATCCAGTAGCTAATAGTTTCTTTTGCTGTTTTAGGTAGGCTGCTAGCACAATCTGCTTACATATTGGCAAGCCACTGAATGGAATGGAATGATATTTAGATTATAATTGGGGATTGCAAGAATGGTCTTCCAAGCTTCTGGTCAAAATATGAAGCACCTTAGGAGTAGAAAACTGGAATTCAGGCAGAAGGTTTTCTATCCTGATTGTATCAAAAGATCTGCAGGTTTCTTCAGACAAGATTCTTGAACAAGTTGATAAAAGTGTTAGGTTTGTCAAAGCCATGTAAGTGCAGATATTTATAAGCTGAAGATGAAGATTTGAATGGAAATCCTCAAGTATTTATGAGGTAAAAAACAGAGAAGGATCAATCTTGTGGGTTTGCAGAAGTTCTGTTACTGCTATAGATTGATTTGTAACAGAGAAATGGTGTTTAAATTTGTGATGAGTTGATGCAGCCAATCTTGATGAATTTTGATGCAGCCAATCTTGATGGATTAATCTTGTGGGACTTCTTTGTTTTGGTCTTTGCTTTCAAATGACTTCGAAAGCAAACATGAACCATCAAAGTGCTAATTTCCATGGCATTTACGGATCATATATTGCTATCTGGACGCAAATAAATTCTTGTTATTTGCTGCATTTTCTTTAATCAGTCAATAACCTGTTGAAGCATCATCAAGATACCAAAATTTGAATGGTACCATTTGATTAATCAAGGGTAGAATCCTAATGACATTGAGACTGATGTTTGTCACATTATGATCTGTTTTATAGCCACGATTTCCCTTGCACAGATGCTGTATATAAAATACATTATGGGAACAGACATCGTTTAAAGGATATAAAATATAGCGTAAAAATAATGGTGCTTATTTATTTTATGTGCAAAAAAGGAGAAATTTTTAAATTTTTAAGTATTCAATAAGTAATAATCAATATTTAAAGATTCAATTTTTAATCTTCTCTCATATTTTTCTACGCTTTTCATGTCTATTTCTTTTCCATATATAAATATTGATAGCTAATTCTTAAGTACTATAAATTTTTTTCGTTAAAAAAGAATTTTTCAGACTAAAATTAATTTGGAAATACCCAATTTTGAGATTTTATAACGTTATATTTGATTATATAATTATATTTTGATCAATCATATTTGTTATATGGTAACTAAGCTAAAAAAAATTAGACTTGTTCTAACCTTGTAATCTTAACTCCTGAGCTTAAACTTTTAAATAAAACTTTAATAAATGATTTTATATGACTTTCTAACACACATGGATAAATCTACACTATCTTGTGCAAAGAGTGCAATGAGATTTAAATTCATAATCGATAGGTCAACAGGTTCTCGATGACTTTCTAACAAGTCCATACCCGAAGAGTTGCGCATGAAAACCTTGAAATCTGGAATCTAAGCTACGAGGGGCTTCAACGCCTCCCCCTCTTTGCCAACTGAAGATCTGCGCATGTCTAAAGCTTGAGTCTATACCAAAAGAGGGGACGCCTTCCTCCCTCGAATACCTTGAAATCGAGAACATGGAAAATCTGAAATCTTTGAATTACAAGGGGCTTCAACACCTCAAATCCATTCGCCATTTGCTCATCCAGGCGTGTCCTAAGCTCGAGCTGATGCCAGAAGAGAGGATGCCCTCCTACCTTGAATATCTTACAATTATACGTTGCCCTCTGAAGGCAAAAAGGTGTGAAAGGGTGACAGGGGAAGATTGGCCCAAGATTTCTCACATCCCATATATAGCCACAGGATTTGATCCGTTCACGTGGATAAGAAATTGACGAGGGAGGTGGGGTTTTGATGGAGAGGAAAATGATGGACGATGGGGATTGAGTGAGAAGTTAAGGGGTTGAGTGGTGGTATGATCCATTTTTAATTTTTTTCTTTTTATTTACTTAATTAAAATGATGTGTTGGAGATTTTTTTTTTTTTTTTTTCTTTTGGTTTAATGTATTAGTCAAAACTGATACGTGATAGTTTAAAAATGACATATAACATATGTTACCTGAGACATCAACATAAATTGATCTCATATGACTTAATGCAAAATAGAAGAAATTATTAGTTGAACACCAAAATAGAGATAAAAAAAAAAAATGTAAAAGCAGGCACCAAAATTATTATTTTTTCTTTTTTGTGTTTAACCCAAGACTAACAAATTTTTTAATTTAATTATAAATTTATTTTATATTTAAAATTTGCTTACTATTATAATGATAAATTTTAACCTAAAAAAATTTGGATAAAAAAATATTTTTAGTTTCATCTTTTTTTTCAATTTTTATAGAGAGATCTACTATATATTCACCTATTTTTCCAATTTTTTGATTAAATCTTTAAATTCTTTGAATTATTTTGATTAAGTGTGTAAATTGGATTCCTTATATAACACTTGTCCTGAAATCAAAATGTAATATGTCCCATCACCTTACAATCTAATGACATTATCACAAAGGAAAAGAAAAAAAAGAAACAAAATAAAGAATAAATGAACTCAATTAACACAAAAATAAGCAAAAGGCATAGAAAATAACGAGGAAGATCATTCACGAGGCATGAAGACTAAAGCCCAAATACGTGAAGTTGTAAAGGCCGGCCTATCAACACGAAAACAATAGAATTGGGCTTATAGTCTTGAAAACGTAACCCATTTGTTTTTGCTCACGTTTCCGCCCTTCTCCTCCTCTACTCCCTCACTGCTCTGCTCTGCTATACTCCAATGTTAGGGTTTAGGAGTTGCTTGAATTGAATGATCTTCAAAAACGTAGCAGAGGTAAGTAGCATTTTATCTACTTCTCAATTTTCAATTTCCAATGTTTAGATTTTTCTGTAAAACCTTAGTGTTAGGCAGTTCTAATAGAGCTAATTTTTCTGTTCATAAAGGATTACCCTATTTTCTTGAAAACCCTTCCATATTACCATGTCTCAGATACATTTCATCAGTGAATACAGATGATATAAAAGAACATTCCTTTACAGTCTCATACCTAACGAACAAATGTGGGTTCTCTCTAAAATCTGCGTTAGAAGCTTCTAAAAAAGTCCATTTTGAAACTCCAGATAAACCTGATTCTGTTCTTGAAGTTTTCAAGAACCATAGCTTCTCAATAGACCATATTTTTAAACTAGTGAGGAGACGCCCTGCAGTGCTTTTGTCTGACCCTCTCAAAACACTTATGCCTAAGCTTGAATTTTTCAAATCTAAAGGTTTTTCAAGCCCCGATGTCGTCAAAATCCTATCATCCTTCCCATGGATTTTGGCTCGTGGCTTAGAAAACCAGTTAGTCCCTGCTTTTGATTTTTTTGAAAAGTTGCTCCAATCTGAGGCCGTTGCTATCAAAGCAATCAAACGTGCCCCCTTTATTCTAGAGGTTAATGTTGAAAGCTTGGCACGTATTGTTGATGTTTTACGAGACAGTGGAGTCTCTAAAAAGAATATTGCTCTGCTAGTTCGTTCCAAGCCTTCTATTATGATTTCAAATCTGGAGAGTTTTAAAAAGCTTATACAGGAAGTGACTCTAATGGGATTTCATCCTTCCAAGAGTCAATTTGTTGTAGCAATTATTGCTCTGAGGTCCATGAGCAAATCCACGTGGGACAAAAAGCTTGATGTGCATAGGAGATGGGGTTTGTCTCAAGAAGAAGTTCTTGCAGCATTTGTAAAGTATCCAAGCTTTATGGAAGTATCTGAAGAGAAGATGACGGGAGTGATGGATCTTTTTGTCAACAAATTGGGTTGGGAGTCTTCCTTTGTTGCCAAAAATCCAACTATTTCATCATATAGCTTGGAGAAAAGGCTGATCCCTAGGGCTTTGGTATTGCAATTTTTAGTTTCTAAAGGTTTGGTCGAGAAGGGTTTCAGAAGCCTTGCATTCTTCAATACTCCTGAAAATATGTTTCAGCAGATTTTCATAAATAACCATGCTGAATCTACCGAGATATTGCAATTTTACAAGGAAAAACTGACTCTTTCACCAATTTTAAACTCCTCATTTTAATCACAAGCACTCTACATTTCCACAAGTTTTCGTATTGTGTTCTTTTGTTTTAGGATTTCCATAAATTATGCGTTGCCCATTATCATTTACTGTTCCTTTTGCAATTTAATTTCTATATGATATGTTTTTCCTCAATCAAACTTCTGTTTAAATATGTTTTTACAGCCATATGCCATGCTAGAATAGCTGCACTTGTCTTGCCTCCTATTAAATTTGATCGCTCTTACCATCTTATTGTTGCTTGTGGGTGATGATTTTACACTATAAGAGATGGTTTGATCCAAGTGAGGCATATGCTGACCCTCCTTTATTTTCTTGGTAACTGCATTCATGAAACAGAGAGGACGGGGCCTCATTCTGCATCTATTTTTGATGCAACCGTGGCTGCAAATTACACCTTCTCCTTTCTGCACTTTGTTTAGAACCAGTATAAGTATTCAAAACACAATAAATCTGTGTCAAGTAGATATGATTGCAGGGTTTGGAAAGTGCTATGGCTTTAGATTCTTCTCATCTTAAGATACAGAGTAACATTTATCATACGAGTGCCAGATTTGAATACTGAGATGCAAAACTTGATGCAAGGATTTGTTATGAAGGGTTTAATATGAAGAGCATTGAATAGTTTCATATGATGTTGAAGTTATGATCATATGCTGCCGGCATAATCCTTAGGAACAATCCTTTTCTTGCAGTATATTTAGGGATTACATGATCTTCCAAGCTTCTGGTCCAAGTATGAAGGTTGTTATTTAACACTGGCATGATCTTGACCTGAAGCACCTTCGGGAGAAACCATGTTTGTCATAGTTGGAATTGTTTTATAGCCATGACTTCTTCTCCTTTGCTCAAAACGTTCGGTTTTTTTTTTTTTTGTTACTTAGGTAAGGATATTTTAGTTAAAATTGCCAGATTTGTTTTGTATGTATTTTATAATTTTTAGACCATTATAATAATATTTAAGAAAAATATTCTTCACAGTTTTATTGTAATGAGATCCAACATGTGTCATTTTTTTTAGGCATTTAAGGTGAGATATGAAAACAACAATAACATGGAAATAAAAGAAAAAATAATAATAATTTGGTCCATGTATGGATATATGTCAAACATTCTGGATTTTAACGTAACACGTCAGCTAACAAACTAACAGTAATATAATAAAGCAAAATGAAAAAAAAAAAAAAAAAAAAGAACTCAATTAACACCAAAAAGAATACTAGTGGAGAAAATAACAACGAAGATCATGGCACTCGGGATCTTTTTTAATTATTGGGCTTGTGATTTTCTAATTTAATTGATTCACAAGTGATGAAGATTAAAGCCCAATAACGTTAAAGTTGTGTCAGTACAAACAATTGAATTGGGCTTATTGTCCTGAAAACGTTAGCAGAAGTACCAAAATGACACCCAAGTTTGTTCTTGCTTACGTTTCCTCCATTCATCTCCCCTGTGCTCTCTCTCTGCTCTGCTCTAATGTTAGGGTTTAAGAGTTCCTTGAATTGAATGATATTCAAAAACGTAGCAGAGGTAAGTAGCATTTTGTCTACTTCTCAAATTTCAATTCCCAATGCTTAGATTTCTCTGCAAAAGCTTAGAGTTATGCCGTTCCAATAGAGTTAATTTATCGGTTCGTAAAGGATTACCCTATTTTCATGAAAACCCTTCCATATTATCATGTCTCAGAAACATTTCATCAGTGAATACAGATGATATAAAAGAACAGTCCTTTACAGTCTCATACCTTACGAACAAGTGTGGGTTCTCTCTAAAATCTGCTTTCGAAGCTTCTAAAAAAGTCCATTTTGAAACTCCAGATAAACCTGATTCTGTTCTTGAAGTTTTCAAGAACCATAGCTTCTCAAAAGTCCATATTTTGAACCTAGTGAGGAGGCGCCCGAAAGTGCTTTTGTCTGACCCTCACAAAACACTTCTGCCCAAGCTTGAATTTTTCCAATCTAAAGGTTTTTCAAGCGCCGATGTCGTCAAAATCATATCAACCTACCCATGGATTTTGAGATGTAGCTTGGAAAACCAGTTAGTCCCTGTTTTTGATTTCTTTGAAAACTTTCTCCAATCCGATGCCATGGCTATCAAAGCAATCAAATGTGCTCCTTGTATTCTAAATGTTAAAGTTGAAAGCTGGGCGCGTATTGTTGATGTTTTACGAAAAAATAGAATCCCTAAAAGTAATATTGCTCTGATGTTTCGTTACCGGCCTTCTATTATGATTTCAAATCTGGGGAGTCTTGAAAAGCTTATAAAGGAAGTGACTCTAATGGGATTTAATCCTTCCAAGAGTCAATTTGTTTTAGCAATTATTGTTCTGAGGTCCATGAGCACTTCCATATGGGACAAAAAGATTGATGTGCGTAGGAGATGGGGTTTGTCTCAAGAAGAAATTCTCGCAGCATTTGTAAAGAATCCATGGTTTATGGCCTTATCTGAAGAGAAGGTCATGGGAGTGATGGATCTTTTTGTGAACAAATTGGGTTGGGAGTCTTCCTATATTGCCAAAAATCCTACAATTTCATCATATAGCTTGGAGAAAAGGCTGATCCCAAGGGCTTTGGTCTTGCAATTTTTAATTTCTAAAGGTTTGATAGAGAAGAGTTTCAGAAATGCTGCATTCTTCTCTACGACAGAAAATCAGTTCCAGCAGAGGTTCATAGATCACCATGCTGAATCTACCCAGATATTAAAATTTTACAAGGAAAAACTGAATCTTTCATCGGTGGTAAAGCCTTCTAAATTGTAAATCACAATCACTCTACTTTTCCATTTGTGCTCTCTGTTTTAGCCTTGAGGAATTCTTTAAATTAGGCATTATGCAATGCAATAACCTGTTCTTTTTGTAATTTTGTTTCTTCTATATCATCTGTTTTTTTCTCAATGAAACCTTGAACCTTGTGCTCAATGATGATTTTACAGCCGTCTGCCATACCAGGATAGCTGCTCTTGTCTTGCCTTGTATAAAATTTGACGACTTATACTGTCCTGTGGTTACTTTTGAGTAATGATTTTACATTATAGATGATCTAATCCAAGTTAGTTATGTGCTGACCCTCCTTAGTTAGTTATGTGCTGACCCTCCTTATTTTCTCGGTAATAAATTGTGATTGTGAAACAGGGAGGGAGGGGCTTTGATTCTGCGTTAGGAGTGCATAGAAATGGAGGTCAATCATGCATCTAATTTGTTGCAACCGTGGCTGCTTATTAAATATTTTCCTTTCTACACGTTGTTTATTGTTGTAGAAGTATTCAAAGCACAAAATTTGTCTCAGGTAGATATTATTGCAGAGTTTAAATCCTGGATTCAAATCTTAATGCAAGGAAGATATTAGGTTTCAAGGATTTGTTAATCTCAAGAGCATCCTGTAGCTAATAGTTTCTTCTGCTGTTGAAGGTAGGCTGCAGCCACAATCTGCGTACATATCGGCAAGCCACTAAATGAATGATCTGTAGATTATAATTAGGGATTAGAAGAATGATCTTACAAGCTTCTTGTCAAAATATGAGGGTTATTGTACAAGGGTGGGAAGATCTTGACCTGAAGCACCATACGAGTAGAAAACTTGAATTCAGGCAGAAGGTTTTTTTTCAGGATTGTATCAAAAGACCTGCTGGTTTCTTTGCACTAGATTCGTGAACAAGTTGATGACAGAGTTAGGTTTTTCAAGGCCATGTAAGTGGAGATATTTAGAAGCTGAAGATGAAGATTTGAATGAAAACCCACAAGTATTTATGAGGTAAAAGGCTCTGAAGCATTAATCTTGTGGGTTTGCATAAGTGCTGCTACTACTATAGATTGATTTGTAACAGAGAAATGATTAGAAGAAATTAATAACTAATGTAACTTAGATATGAATATGATACAATAATTTTTGTATTTGAAACTTTCATGTTTTGTGTCCTGAAAGTTATCATTACATGGTTCTAAGAATAACCCGAAAAAGAATTACTCATCCTAATACTATTCTTTGTTCCGAAGGTGAAATTTGTATATTTGAAGAGAATAGGGGAGAAGTAGTGGGGAGATTCCATTCCCAGCTTATAAGAAATTCTTCAGTGTTTCTCTAAATGGAGCTCTGCATTGGATTGTCAACCTTGATGAGTACGAATATCCTGATTTGATAATTCGAAACTTAGTATTCTTTAAACAAAACCTAATCTTTGCTAGTGAACATTAATGTTTTTGATCTATTGACTATTTTTGTTTACTTACTTGCTTTGAGTTAGTTTTTGATCTTTTCTAGCTGCTTATATTTGAAATCTTTTGATGAATGAAGAGAAATTTTATAATAATTAATGAGTAATTAGTAGCATGTACAGTAGTTATTTCATGAATCCACTTGAAAAAAAGAGATAAAAAAAAAAAAAGACAGAAACAGAAAAGAGAAAAAAAAATTGAGCGAACATAGAAATCTTCTTATCACTTTTGATGTGTCCGAATATAATTTTATATGTCTATTTTTTTTTCCAAGTAGATTCATAAAGTAATTATTATGCATGTCACTACGTGTTATAAAATTTCTCGATGAATGACTGCGTGTTATTTGGATTACTTATATGCTTATAGTGTTGTTTTCTGCTTTCCTTTGTTTACTTTTCATAATTATCAATGAAACTTCAGATAAGAAGTAATTTGTTAATTTCAACTAAAATTTTTAAAATAATATTGCCTGTACATCAAGCTTGATGTAGCCTATGTATTTTCCTATGTACATCAAGCTTGATGTAGCCTATGTATTTTGATTATGGAAAATATTATATTAGAAGATATCAATAAACACTGTAACTTAGACATGAATATGATATAATGATTTTTGTATTCGAAACTTTCATGTTTTGTGTCCAAGAAATCTTATAATAAACTTTCATTTCTAAACGAGAACATTATGTTTTTATCAAATATAATTGGATATAATATATGGTAATTTTATTTATTAATTTGTAAATATATAAAATTATTATTATTATATCATATATAAAATATATATATTTTTAATTTGTTTTACTAAATGATAAGGGAGCACATGATTAGTGATTTATTAGTAAATATATTATATAATTATTATTTTTATATTTCATAAAAAATTAAAAAACTAAATAACTATAGTTTAAATAATTGCTAATTCTTTTAAGTATTAATACTCGACTCATAGAAGAAAATAAGGAAGATCATGGTACTTGTGGATCTTTTCTAATTATTGGGCTTATAATTTTCTTATTTAATTCGTCCGAAAAGCATTAAGAATAAAGCCCAATAGCTTGAAAGTTGTAAAGGCCGGGCTATTAATACGAACAATTGAATTGGGCTTATAGAAACGTTAGGAGAAGTACAAAAAAGATACCCAAGTTTGTTCTTGCTCATGTTTCCTCCATTCTCTGTCCCTATGCTCTTCCTGCTCTGCTCTGCTCTGCTCTGCTCTACTGCTAGGGTTTAGGAGTTGCTTGAATTGAAAAGCAGAGGTAAGTAGCATTTTATCTACCCAAATTTCAAATTCCAATGTTTATATTTCTCTGCAAAAGCTTAGCGTTAGGCAGTTCTAATAGAGCTAATTTGTCAGTTCATAAAGCATTACCCTATTTTCTGGAAAACCCTTCCACATTATCATGTCTCAGATACATTTCATCATTGAATATAGATGGTATAAAAGAACATTCCTTTACAGTCTCCTACCTTATGAATAAATGTGGGTTCTCTCTAAAATCTGCTTTAGAAGTTTCTAAACACGTTGATTTTGAATCCCCAGATCAGCCTGATTCCGTTCTTGACGTTTTCAAGAACCATAGCTTCTCAAAAGACCATATTTTGAAACTAGTGAGGAGACGCCCGAAAGTGCTTTTGTCTAAACCTGACAAAACACTTTTGCCCAAGCTTGAATTTTTCCAATCTAAAGGTTTTTCAAGCCCTGATGTCGTCAAAATCATCTCATCCAACCCATGGATTTTGGAACGTGGCTTAGAAAATCAGTTAGTCCCTGCTTTTGATTTCTTTGAAAACTTACTCCAATCTGATGCCATGGCCATCAAAGCAATCAAACGTTTCCCTTCTATTTTATGTGTTAATGTTGAAAGCTTGGCCCGTATTATTGATGTTTTACGAGACAATGGAGTCCCTAAAAAGAGTATTGCTCTGCTAGTTCGTTCCCAGCCATCTGTTATGATTACAAATCCGGAGAATTTCAAAAAGCGTATACAGGAAGTGACTCTAATGGGATTTCATCCTTCCAAGAGTCAATTTGTTGTAGCAATTATTGTTCTGAGGTCCATGAGAAAATCCACGTGGGACAAAAAGCTTGATGTGCGTAGCAGATGGGGTTTGTCTCAAGAAGAAATTCTTGCAGCATTTGTAAAGAATCCATGGTTTATGGCCTTATCTGAAGAGAAGATCATGGGAGTGATGGATCTTTTTGTCAACAAATTGGGTTGGGAGTCTTCCTATCTTACCAAAAATCCAACTATTTCATCATATAGCTTGGAGAAAAGGCTGATCCCAAGGGCTTTGGTCTTGCAAGTTTTAGTTTCTAAAGGTTTGGTTGAGAAGAGTTTCAGAAATGCTGCATTCTTCTATACACCAGAAAATCAGTTCCAGCAGATGTTCATAGATAACCATGCTGAATCTACCCAGATATTGAAATTTTACAAGGAAAAACTGAATCTTTCATCAATTGTAAACTCCTCATTTTAATCACAAGCACTCTACATTTCCATTTGTTTTCTCTGTTTTAGCCTTTAGGAACTCTATAAATTAGGCATTATGCAATGCAATAACCTGTTCTTTTTGCAATTTTGTTTCTTCTATATCATCTTTTTTTTTCTCAATAAAACCTTGGACGTTGTGCTTACTGATGTTTTTACAGCCATCTGCCATACCAGGATAGCTGCAGTTGTCTAGCCTTGTATAAAATTTGACGACTTATACCATCTTATTGTTACCTTTGAGTAATGATTTTACACTATAGATGATCTAATCCAAGTTAGTTATGTGCTGACCCTCCTTATTTTCTGGGTAACAAAAATTGTGTTCGTGAGACAGGGAGGGATGGGCTTCCCTGGATTTTGAGACGTAGCTTAGAAAAATAGTTAGTCCCCGCTTTTGATTTGTTTGAAAGCTTTCTCCAATCTGCTGCCATGGCCATCAAAGCAATCAAATGTGCTCCTTGTATTCTAAATGTTAAAGTTGAAAGCTTGACCCGTATTGTTGATGTTTTGCGAGACAATGGAGTCCCAAAAAATAATATTGCTCTGCTGTTTCGTTACCGGCCTTATGTTATTATTTCATATCCGGTGAGTTTTAAAAGGCTTACAAAGGAAGTGACTCTAATGGGATTTCAACCTTCCAAGAGTCAATTTGTTTTAGCAATTACTGTACTGAGGTCCATGAGCACATCCGCATGGGACAAAAAGATTGATGTGCGTAGGAAATGGGGTTTGTCTCCAGAAGAAATTCTTTCAGCATTTGTAAAGAATCCATGGTTTATGGGCTTATCTGAAGAGAAGATCATGGGAGTGATGGATCTTTTTGTCAACAAATTGGGTTGGGAGTCTTCCTATCTTGCCAAAAATCCTACTATTTCATCTTTTAGCTTGGAGAAAAGGCTTCTCCCAAGGGCTTTGGTCTTGGAAGTTTTAGTTTCTAAAGGCATGGTTGAGAAGAGTTTCAGAAGCCTTGCATTCTTCAAAACTCCTGAAAATCTCGACAGGTAAGATTTATATTTTATGATTTGAAAATCTTTTTTTATAACAAATGACACATCATTTTATAAAAAGTAGAGCACGTAAAACGATTACATAATGATGTTGGGGTATGATCGCATGCTGCTGGCATAAATCCCTAGGAACAATCCTTTTCTTGCAGTATAATTAGGGATTACATGATCTTCCAAGCTTCTGGTCAAAATATGAAGGTTGTTATATAACACTGGCATGATCTTGACCTGAAGCACATTTGGGAGAACCATGAGACCATAAAAGAAATGCGCTTGTATTTGGGAGGTAAGAGACTATAAAGGAGTAATCTTGTAGATTTGCAGAACTGCTACTTCCTCTAGCAATTGATTTGGAAGAGAGAAATGATGAAGAATCGTCCAGATACCATCAAAATTTCAACGGTACCATTTTATTAATCAAGCATAGATTCTAATGAGAACTGAAAGGGGGCCATGTTTGTCAGATGGTATGGTTTTATAGCCATGTCTTCTCTCCTTCCAAATACGTCCCCATGGTATCTCAAAACTTTTGGTTTCTCCTCGTACAGTTTCAGCAGCAGAGGAGCTCCACCGAATCATCATAACCACCAATCTCTTATGGCGGAAGGACTTTCAGAATACAATAATAGAGCAGTCATTTATGTATCCAGAATCCGTAGGAACATACAACATAAATTTCAAGAAACTTGACAATTATCATTGCTAGGCATGGACCTAAAAATGAAAGAATAAGCAGTTTACTTATCACCATGAGCAAGAACAATATCAAGAGGATTGTTTTGCCAATATAAATGCTTCATATATAGGTTCTCAAAATGGAAGATGAAGATGGCCCCCGTCTAAAAGGATGTAGATGCCTTTTTAAAGTGTCAGATATAGAGAACTACTTCCTTCTCTGTCGTGTGAAACAAAACCGAATGGCAAACGATGATGAAACATATGACTTGTAGCTGCTCTTTGCCTAGGAGTTTTCTAATTTAATTCATTCACCAAGGCAGAGAAATTATCCGGGTCCTGGAATTCCACGTCAGATAAGGCTCCTTCCATTCATCGTGTGCCATGTGTAAATTTTTGCTATGTAGGATAAAATTTTTAAAATTTGAAAATGTCTTCTCCTGTTAACCTCCAACTTCTGACCAAAAAATATAAGAAACCCTTCATCTTCTCCTTCATCCCCCGTCTCTCTCTCTCTCCGGCGGCTAGCTGTCCAACTCCTCCCTCCGCCCCTCTCTCTCTCTCCCTCTCTCTCAATATCGGGTGCAAAAAATCTGAGTAGTGAATTAGTATGCAGCATAGCAATTTGGATGGCAGATCCCAGCATTCCATACCAGCACAGAGAGAGAGAGAGAGAGAGAGAGATGGAGCCACCCACAGACAGAGATTAGTGATTTATTAGTAAATACATTATTTAATTATTATTATATTTCATAAAAATAAATATAATTAATTAGATTAAAAAAGTAAATAACTATAATTTAAACAATTGCTAATTCTTTTTTAAGTATTAATGCACGACTCATAGAAGAAAACAAGGAAGATGTTGGTACTTGTGGATCTTTTCTAATTATTGGGCTTATAATTTTCTTATTTAATTCATTCGAAGGCATGAAGATTAAAGCCCAATAACATGAAAGTTGTAAAGGCCGGGCTTTTAATACGAACAATTGAATTGGGCTTCTAGTCCTGAAAACGTTGGTTCTTGCTCATGTTTCCTCCATTCTCTTCCTCTGTTCTCTCGCTGTTCTGCTCTACTCTACTTTTAGGGTTTAGGAGTTGCTTGAATTGAATGATCTTCAAAAACGTAGCAGAGGTAATTAGCATTTTATCTACTTCTCAAATTTCAATTTCCAATGTTTAGATTTCTCTGCAAAAGCTTAGCGTTAGGCAGTTCTAATAGAGCTAATTTGTCAGTTCATAAAGCATTACCCTATTTTCTGGAAAACCCTTCCACATTATCATGTCTCAGATACATTTCATCAGTGAATACAGATGATGTAAAAGAACATTCCTTTACAGTCACATACCTTATGAACAAATGTGGGTTCTCTCAAAAATCTGCTTTAGAAGTTTCTAAACACGTTGATTTTGAATCCCCAGATCAGCCTGATTCCGTTCTTGACGTTTTCAAGAACCATAGCTTCTCAAAAGACCATATTTTGAAACTAGTGAGGAGACGCCCGAAAGTGCTTTTGTCTAAACCTGACAAAACACTTTTGCCCAAGCTTGAATTTTTCCAATCTAAAGGTTTTTCAAGCCCCGATGTAGTCGATATCATTTCATCCAACCCATGGATTTTGGAGCGTGGCTTAGAAAATCAGTTAGTCCCTGCTTTTGGTTTTTTTGAAAACTTCCTCCAATCTGATGCCATGACCATCAAGGCAATCAAACGTTCCCCTTATATTCTGCATGTTAATGTTGAAACCATAGCTCGTATTGTTGAAGTTTTACGAGACAATGGAGTCCCTGAAAAGAATATTGCTCTGCTAGTTCGTTACAAGCCTTCTGCTATAATTTCAAATGTGGAGAATTTTAAAAAGCTCATACAGGAAGTGACTCTGATGGGATTTCGTCCTTCCAAAAGTCAATTTGTTGTAGCAATTATTATTCTGAAGTCCATGAGCACGTCCACATGGGAAAAAAGCTTGATGCGCATAGGAGATGGGGTTTGTCTCAAGAAGAAATTCTTGCAGCATTTGTAAAGTATCCATGCTTTATGGGCTTATCTGAAGAGAAGATCACGGGAGTGATGGATCTTTTTGTCAACAAATTGGGTTGGGAGTCTTCCTTTCTCGCCAAAAATCCAACGATTTTGTCATATAGCTTGGAGAAAAGGCTGATCCCAAGGGCTTTGGTCTTGAAATTTTTAGTTTCTAAAGGAATGGTTGAGAAGAGTTTCAGAAGCCTTGCATTCTTCAATACTCCTGAAAATAAGTTTACTCAGAGGTTCATAGATTTCCATGCTGAATCTACCCAGATATTGAAATTTTACAAGGAAAAACTGAATCTTTCATCCATTGTAAACTCCTCCTCATTTTAATCACAAGCACTCTACATTTCCACATGTTTTCTTCATATTGTGTTCTTTGTTTTAGGAATTCCATAAATTAGTCATTGCTCGTTACCATTTCCTGTTCCTTTTGCAATTTAGTTTCTATATGATATGTTTTTTCTCAATCAAACTTTGAACCTTTTGCTTAAAGATGTTTTTACAGCCATTTGCCATGCTAGAATAGCTGCACTTGTCTTGCCTCCTATAAAATTTGATCACTTTTACTGTCTTATTGTTGCTTGTGGTTGATGATTTTACACTACGAGAGATGATTTAATCCAAGTTAGGCATATGCTGACACCCTCCTTATTTTCTTGATAACTGCATTCATGAAACAAAGAGGCCGGGCCTCATTCTGCATTGGGACTGCATAGAAATGGAGGTCAGTAATGCATCTATTTTGATGCAAGCGTCGGTGCATGTTATATCTTCTCCTTTCTACACTTTGTTTAGAACAGGTATAAGTATTCAAAGCACAATAAATTTGTGTCAAGTAGATATTATTACAGGGTTTGGAAAGTTCCTTGGTTTAAGATTCTTCCCATCTTAAGATAGAGTAACATTTATCGTACGAGTGCCAGATTTGAATATTGAGATCAAAATCTTGGTGCAAGGATTTGCTATGAAGGGTTTAATATGAAGAGCATTGACTAGTTTCATATGATGTTGAAGGTATGATCATATGCTGCCGGCATAATCCTTAGGAGCAATCCTTTTCTTGCAGCATATTTAGGGATTAGATGATCTTCTAAGCTTCTGGTCAAAATACGAAGGTTGTTATCTAACACTGGCATGATCTTGACCTGAAGCACCTTTGGGAGAAACCATGGGACTTGGACAAGTTAATGACAGAGGTAGGTTTTGCAGGACCATTCAAGTGGGAGATATCTAGAAGCTGAAGGTGCAGATTTGAATGGAAATGCACATGTATTCATGGGCTAAGAGACTGTGAAGGTGTAATCTTGTGGATTTGCAGAACTGCTACTTCCAATAGCAATTGATTTGGAAGGGAGAAAATTTTAATGGTACCATTTGGTTAATCAAGAGTAGATTCTAATGAGAATCGATTTGTGAAGCAGTAATCCTGTGGATATGCATTGACTTATCTATTGAAATTTAATAATTAATAGTTAAGTAAATATATATAACTCTTAAAGATAATAATTAAATGAAGTTTCACTCGATATTATATTAATACAAACTGGAAGGACTTTCAGAATACGATAATAGAGCAGTCATCTATGTATCCAGAATCTATTGGAACATACAACATAAATTTCAAGAAACAAAACCATGAAAGAAAACCAAATGACAAGTATCATTTCTAGGCATAGATCGAAAAAATGAAAGAATAAGCAGTTTCCTTATCTCCATGAGCAAGAATGCTTCATATATATGTTCTCAAAATGGAAGATGAAGATGGCCCCCTATATAAAAGGATGTAGATGACTTGTCGATAAAGTGTCAGATATAGAGAACAGCTTCCTTCTCTGTCGTGTGAAACAAAACCAAATGGCAAACGATGATGAAACATATGACTTATATAGCTGCTGTTTGCCTTGGAGTTATCTAATTTAATTCATTCACCAAGGCATGAAGATTGAAGCCCAATAACGTAAAAGTTGTAAAGGCCGGGTTATTGGTACCAACAATTGAATTGGGCTTATAGTCCTGAAAACGTTAGAAGGAAGTAGAAAAATGATACCCAAGTTTGTTCTTGCTTCCGTTTCCTCCATTCGCCTCATCTATGCTCTCTCTGCTTTGCTCTACTGTACTGTTAGGGTTTAGGAGTTGCTTGAATTGAATGATCTTCAAAATCGTAGCAGAGGTAAGTAGCATTTTATCTACTTCTCAAATTTAAATTACCAATGTTTAGATCTCTCTGCAAAAGCTTAGAGTTAGGCAGTTCTAATAGAGTTAATTTATCAGTTCATAAGGAATCATCCTATTGTCTTGAAAACCCTTCAATATTATCATGTCTCAGAAACATTTCATCAGTGAATACAGATGATATAAAAGAACATTCCTTTACAGTCTCATACCTTGTGAACAAATGTGGGTTCTCTCTGAAATCTGCTTTAGAAGCTTCTAAACATGTTGATTTTGAATCCCCAGACAAACCTGATTCTGTTCTTGAAGTTTTCAGGAACCATAACTTCTCAAAAGACCATATTTTGAACCTAGTGAGGAGACATCCTGCAGTGCTTTTGTCTAAACCTCACAAAACACTTCTGCCCAAGCTTGAATTTTTCCAATCTAAAGGTTTTTCAAGCCCCGATGTCATCAAAATCATGTCATCCAACCCATGGATTTTTAGATATAGCTTAGAGAAGCATTTAGTCCCTGCTTTTGATTTCTTTGAAAACTTGCTTCAATCTGATGCGGTCGCCATCAAAGCAATCAAACGTGCTCCTTATATTCTAAATCATAATGTTGAAAGCATGGCACGTATTGTTGATGTTTTACGAGACAATGGAGTCCCTAAAAAGAATATTGCTCTGCTAGTTCGTTCCAAGCCTTCTATTATGATTTCAAATCTGGAGGATTTTAAAAAGCTTATACAGGAAGTGACTCTAATGGGATTTCATCGTTCCAAGAGTCAGTTTGTCGTAGCAATTATTGCTCTGAGGTCCATGAGCAAATCCACATGGGACAAAAAGCTTGATGTGCATAGGAGATGGGGTTTGTCTCAAGAAGAAATTCTTGCAGCATTTGTAAGGTATCCATGCTTTATGGAAGTATCCGAAGAGAAGACCATGCGAGTGATGGATCTTTTTGTCAACAAATTGGGTTGGGAGTCTTCCTATCTTGTAAAAAATCCAAGTATTTCATCATATAGCTTGGAGAAAAGGCTTCTCCCAAGAGCTTTGGTCTTACAATTTTTAGTTTCTAAAGGCATGGTTGAGAAGAGTTTCAGAAGCCTTGCGTTCTTCATTACTCCCGAAATTAAGTTTAAGCAGAGGTTCATAGATAACCATGCTGAATCTACCCAGATATTGAAATTTTACAAGGAAAAACTGGATCTTTCATCCATTGTAAACTCCTCCTCATTTTAATAACAAGCACTCTACATTTCCACATGTTTTCGTATGGTGTTCTTTGTTTTAGGATTTCCATAAATTAGGCATTGCCTATTACCATTTCCTGTTCCTTTTGCAATTTACTTTCCGTATGATCTGTTTTTTCTCAATCAAAACTTGAACATTTTGCGTAGAGATGTTTTTACAGCCATCTGCCATACTAGGATAGCTGCGCTTGTCTTGCCATCTTATCATTGCGGTTCTGTGAAAAAAAACCAAATGGCAAACAACTATGAAACATACGACATATCCACAAGACAGTGTCCACAATCAATCCATCTATCTCTTTTTAGTGCTATAAAGGCAGCAAAAGTTAGTTTCTTTAAAATAAAAGCACTATGAATCTTTACATCAGAATTATAATCTTCATATATCTATATTTCTAACATATGGCAGAAGTTAAATGATCAAGAGGCATAAAGGTGAATTACTTCATATATCATATCAACAAGATTGATAATTTAAATAGACGGCTAAAGCAAAAGCCAACCGTAGCTAAAGAAAAACGATTTGAAGCCTTTTCAGACTGTAAGAACTCTAAACTCAAAACGTAGAAAGCTGACTAACAATGGCAACGTTAAAAGAGTAAGAGTTTGAGAATAAAATAAATCTATATTTTGCCTATCATCTCTGTTCTTTAGCGTTAGTAGTAAATGAAGTGCTGCTTGAGACATCAGGAGATCACGTTCGATTCGTTGCTAAACCAGCAAGTGTAGCCCTCTTCTTCTCAATTTCATGGAGTTTAAGTATATGCTTTTTGCCTTCGTTGTGCCGAGTAAGTGCATCATTATCAATGCACCAAATATTACACAGTTTGCACCAATATTTCGGCTTTGCCATCTCACTGTCGATCCCAACTTTCTTGGCAAATTTTGACTCGGCTTGTTCATCCATGCTTTTTTTATCTTCTAACTGTTCCTTCAATTTCAACTCCTGCTGTTTTCCTTGGTGTTTTCTACCCCTTATGTGCTGCTTGTAGTTAAAGAAACTCGTGCAAGGCACTTGGCAAATTTTGCAAAAACTGCAATCTATCTGATTCCCAGGTTCATGATGTTGTGGAGGTGATTGGAATTTGAGGCTGCTTGTTGAGTTTGGTCGCTTTAGTCCAGAAAGCAAAGGACTCCAACTTGAAGTTTCCATTTGATTGGGATTTGAACTTGAAGATTGAACCTGACATGAGTAATATCTAAGCTGACATATTCATTTTTATCATTTATATGATGCTCATAATTAAATAATCTTGGGTAGGGCGCTTGGCAAACCTTGCAAAAAGTGTAATCTATCTGATTGTCATTTTCATGCAGCTGCAAAGGTGGTGAGAATTTGATGCTGTTAGCTGACGGTAGCCTTCCCGTTCCTGAAATCACAGGACTTGGACTTGAATATGGCCTTGGACTAGGACTTGGGCTAGTAGTTTGCACCTGGTATGAGTGACATTTAGTTAATTATTTTTTTGTATTTCTTAATACCATCTATTAAAAGCAACTTTAGCAGGGAACTTGACAAACCTTGAAGGAAGAAGACTCTGTCTGATTCTCAATTTCATGCAGCTGTGGAGGTGGTAAATTAAATTTGAGGTCATTGGTTGGGGCTTGCCATGTTATTTCTGAAAGCGTAGGACTTGAGTTGGAACTTCCAGTTGAAGTTTGCCCCTGATAAGAGCAACATTTCAATACAAGGATAAACGAAACAACTAATCCAGAAACCACAGAAAAATATAAAAGAATAAAATGCATAAATAGGAAAAAAAGGAAATCCATTGGTCATTTTGGTGTAGAAAACCTGTCAATCACTCATCCTGGTGTACAGGAAGGCCTGCTCTTATCAGATATCATGAAGAACTCCAAATTTGACAGATCTGACTCTTAACAAATATTTGTCTCTCAAAACATCCAAAAGCAAGCACATTATGAGAAGGCTGCTGGCAGCTACAACATATCTAAACACAATACAAGCTCTCTGAATAAGAAACATAAACCAGAAAAGGCAATGACAGCTGATCTAGTATAATCAAGTTATATCTACTTCGCACCGTCTTCTATTAAGCACAGCATCCTCTTTGTACTGATTGTCAGTAATCCAGAAAACGGTAATCATAACAAAAGATAATCACTTTTAATTAATTTGAGAATGATGTTAAACAAAATATCCTCACTTTTAATAGTTTAATGGATCCAGAACCTGTCTTCAAAGTGAATGCTATTAACATAGCTAGCAGGTTTTTTCCCTTGAAGTTTACAATCAGCCAACTCAACTTCAGATACCAATAGCACAGCTTTCTTTAATCTCAAGCATCAAAATATTAAGTACGAGCCATTCTAGTAAAAGAAAAAGGCATCACTGAGTTATTGTCCACCATAGTGGTCCGGGAAGGAAAATTTGGGAAAAGTTTTACTCTTCCACATTTTTGCATAAATTGGCCGTTCTCAAGGCTCAAACTGGTTGATGAATATGAAAGAAAAGAACATACAACCAAAAGAAAATAAATCCTCTCAGGAATAGCAAAAGACAAGGCCAAGCAAATCTTCATCATAGAAACAATGTTTTCATATGGTTATGCGTAAATTGGCTGGTTTCAAGACTCAAACCTACATCGCATGATAGAAACAATAAAAACATTTCCACAGAAACCCACCTTAAATATATCTATATTTGGTGGAAAGCCTCGACGTTTTGATACTTGCGAAAACCCAGATTTCACTGTCAGGAAAGCAGTGAGACAATCGAAGCCTTGCATCAAACTGGGATGCCAAGTGAGATGATGCAAGTAAATTTCAGAGATTATTATTAAACCTTACTGCTTCTTGCATCTAGCAACTGCAAATTTTCCTGATTCGTTGACATGAAAAGAGGTTGTGTATTCCTAAGATCAGGGTGAATTTCAACAATTTTAATAACTAACCTTACCTATAAATTTTCCAAACCCAATCTCCATCTCAAATAACAGAGATTACAGCTAGTTTAATATCTCAGAACAAATCCAGTAAATACCACACAAATGGATCCCCTCATGACCCATACATACCTAAAACTCTGCCCTTTTTCCTCAACCTCAAGCCTAATAGAACCCATCTCATTGAAATATAATTACATACAAAAATAGGAATAGGAACGGAAAAGTTCATTGCATTTGCACACACTGAAATGACAAACTAATGAAAATAAACAAATAAAGAAGTAATCAATTCTCACCTCCAATGGTATGAGGTCTTGCAAAACGGTGGCATCATGTGGTTGGAGCATCTTGGCAAGTTTTGCCCTATATGCTAACTCTCTTTGGATAGCAAGCTCCACTGACATAGTCATCATCGTGATTCCCTCCAACTATCAAAAAACAGAATAGATTAGTAAAACAAGTAAAGCACTCATCTTTCGAAACCCAACGACCACTAAAAAGAAACCCCATTTCCCTCCTTCCCTTCATGAGAAGAGAAAAGCGAGAGAGACTCAGCTGATCAGCTCACCCTTGTTGTTCAGTCAGGTGCACGCGGCTCGGGCAGCTCGAGAATCATCGTATAGACGGGAAAATTGTACAGTTGGTACACCAATTTTTCATTTTTCTCATTTGAGTATATGGAAATTTCATTGTTTGTTTGTTTTTTTTTGGTATACCATTTTTATTTAACTGCAAAGATCAAATATTTCCATCAATATATATTTTTTAACAACGTGATATGTGATTTTGAGCAACTAATTTCAAATTCGCTTATTTACGTTGATAGATCTTGAACATTGCAAGGATCTCTTCTCTGGTCCAACCCCATCTCTTCAAATTTCAAGCTTCCTTTCCCATAGACATAATGGTAACTTTAAGTGGGTATAAACATAACAAAAGGATACAACCTTTAAGGACTAATACCCATTTGCTTCTGAAAAATGTTCTTGGCTGAGTGATGAACACATATGCGATGAAAGGTAGCCACATACGAATTGAAATCATCTCTTGTTCTTCTAAGATCATCCTTAAATCTAAATTGTTGAATTTAATTAACATGATTTAATGTATGATAAAAATAATAATAATTTAACTTATTATTTTATTTTTCTCATTTAATTTAGATAATTGAATTCAAAATCAATTATCATATATGAAACTTAATCGATCATATTTTTAAGAGAATACGAGAAAATTTGAATATATCAATTTAAAAAATCATAAAAGTATATTTTCGATCTATTTATCACTTTTCGACTTTTAACTTGAGTATTAAAGGATACTTTACTCAATCGGAGGGAATTATTTTAAAAATACATAATATAAAAAAAACTTTTATCACGTTTCATGATTGTTCAATAATCATCATCACTATAGTAAATAAAATATATAAATATTTTTGGATAAGTCGATCGACGAATAATGTAAAACGAGTAAATAATATAAATACTATTAATTAGATATAAAAAAATAAACAATTATATTTTAAATCATTGCAAATTCTCTTAAGTATTGATACTCAATTCACACAAGAAAACAATGCAAATCACGTTGGAAGCACATACCATAACTCCATAACTCATAAATAAAAAATAACAGGAAAGATCGAGCTACTTGGGGATCTTTTCTAGTTACTGGGCTCGTAATTTTCTAATTTAATTCACTCCCAAGGAATGAAGATTAAAGCCCAATAAGGTGAAAGTTGCAAAGGCCGGGCTATGAATACAAGCAATTGAATTGGGCTTATAGTCCTGAAAACGTTGGAAGAAATAAAAAAATGATACCCAACCCTGTTCTTGCTCACGTTTCCTCCATTCTCCTCCTCTGTGCTCTCTCTGCTCTGCCCACTCTACTGTTAGGATTTAAGATCTTCCAAAACGTAGCAGAGGTAAGTAGCATTTTATCTACTTCTCAATTTCAATTCCCAATGTTTAGATTTCTCTGCAAAAGCTTAGTGTTAGGCCGTTCTAATAGAGCTAATTTATAGGTTCATAAAGGATTACCCTATTTTCTTGAAAATCCTTCCATATTATCATGTGTCAGATACCTTTCATCATTGAAAACAGATGATATAAAAGAACATTCCTTTACAGTCTCATGCCTTATGAACAAATGTGGGTTCTCTCTAAAGTCTGCTTTAGAAGTTTCTAAACAAGTTCATTTTGAATCCCCAGATCAGCCTGATTCTGTTCTTGAAGTTTTCAAGAACCATAGCTTCTCAAAAGACCATATTTTGAACCTAGTGAGGAGACACCCTGCAGTGCTTTGATTTTTTAAGTTTTTGGATGTGAATGATTTTTTTAAAACATGGCATCCAAACTTCGATAACCAAACGGTCATGAGTTCTAATCTTACTATTTTTATTTTGTCTTCTAATTAAGTACAACCTAATAGTGATCATGTATAAGTTTTAAATGTAAAAGATTTTTGTTTAAAGAGGTATGTTAAAGTAAATATAAAAACTATTTTTGAGAACTCATCTAATAATTTTAAGATTAAGGGTTATGTTATTTTGTATGATTTTATTAGTTTTTTTTATCAATATTATGCGACAGTTCAAATAAAATATATAAAATTATTTTTTAAAAAATTATTATTTTAATGTCTTGTATTATATTGTGTGTCTATCAAAATATATCAAATAAAAACTGAATAAAAATTCATTCAATTCAATTTTATCATTTTTTAATCAAAAATTTGTATTCGATTCATTATTTTTTATATTTTCATGAATTTTTTATTTAAAATTTTTTTATTTATCTCTATCCACTTTTTTAATTAAAACCTTATTTTGTAAATTATTTTTTTCTAAACATCTTTTTGCCTTAAAATTTTCAATTATAAAAATCAGAGAAAAAAAAGTAAGTACTAAAGTAATCAAAATGAAAAAAATAGGACCAAAATAAAAAAAATATATTTATAGATTAAAAAATAATATTTTAAAAAAATATTACGAAAACTTTCATAATAAATATTTTTAAAATATTTAAAAATTACAAAAAAAAAATCAATGTATAGTGAAAAAAATTTAAAGATTTTAAATTTTTATTTAAAATGAAAAATAAATTTAAATATTGTGGAGGTCACAAAAAAAACATATGATGTTTAATTTGAATTGTTGAAATCCAAGGCTTTTACTAATGAGCAGTTCCTTGTAATTTTTATTTACTACGGTTAAATTTATTATTCACATCGTAATTAGAGAATTCTTAAAAATATTATTTTTCGCTATCCCTCTTCATGATTTGTGTTTTTTTATTCGATAATAAAATATATTTTTAGATAAGCTGTGCATCAATTAAAATCATTTTTTTCAGACAATTTTAAAAACATATCACTTGTTATCTCCATATAGGATTAGAAAAATGAAGGAATCGAAATTTATGGAAAAAAAAAAGTAACCCCAAAAAATTTATGAAAAAGAAAAAAATAATTTAACCCCAAAATCCAAAAATCTTCTCAAATCACATAACACCATCCTTTCGACTTTTATTGCCACGTATCCCTCTTCTTGTCCGTTCCTCAGACTAGTACCACATATACACTAACCTAACAATCACATATTCCATTCCACTAACGACAGACACATCCAGCCCCTTAATCTCACATCAAAATCCCTAAGCTCATACGTGTCGAACATCAAATCATCATTATGTAACACCCCCGTCACTCTAAAACATCCTTATGCCTTATTCTTTATAAATATCCGTCTAGGTACGTTCCGGAGTGATCATTTCAGCTCTCACTCTTCACTCCACTCTTTATGTTCTGGTAACTTCTCTTTTTTCTGCAATAATTTCTAAAATTAGCGTTTCGATCTCTTCATTTTTATGCTGATTTCTGTAATTTGTGGAAAATTTGAACAGAGAAGTTTTGGAGAATATGGCTGAGGAGGCGAAAGCAGTGACGCCGAACGCGGAGTTGCTAGAATGGCCGAAGAAAGACAAGCGTCGTATGCTTCATGCTGTGTATCGTGTTGGAGATCTTGATCGCACCATTAAGTGAGTAAAGTTTTGATTTTGATTCCATTGTCTGTCTTGCAATTTATTTGATTTTGATTTCTGCAAATTTTGTTGATGTAAAATTGTTTTTTTTTTTAGTATTTTAAATTTTATGTCTAATTAAGTGTTCGTTTGTTATAATTTTTTTTAGGATTTTTTTGTTTATTTTTTGGTTGTGCAATTATTGTGCTTTTTTGCTAAATCTGTAGTTGTTTTTCAAATTTACGTGGAACTGGTATGCGTATGATATAAAGTTTAGATTTCTTATGCTAGTTTTTGTCAGTTTTTATGCAAATGTTTAAATGCAGTTAAGTACGTAATGGCTTTATACCGCACTATCAAATATGAAGTTGATGTAAAAAGTTGGATTTGGATTTTATTTATTTATTTATTATGCTATTTATTTGATTTTGGAAAAGTTGATCACTTTTTTTTTTTGGTGGAAAATTTGGTAACTTTTGTTCTTTGTTGATGGTGTAGGTTTTATACAGAAGGATTTGGAATGAAGCTGTTGAGGCAAAGGGATATCCCAGAAGAGAAATACTCCAATGCGTTTCTTGGGTTTGGACCTGAAGAGTCTAATTTCGTGGTGGAGTTGACTTACAGTATGTTTCTCTCAAAATCTTATCCCTTGTACTCTAATTCTGTTTTCGTGTGTAAATTCACTGGTTATTTATGTATTGTTTAGTTGGTGAATCGTAAATTAGATAATAAACGATGCACTAATGGTAGATAGTGGGGTTATGTAGTATAATAAAAGGGTTATGCTGCAGAGGATCTATATATGTTATTTAATGGAGAGTGGATTCTTCAGATTCAAATGGGTTGCGTGGATTCTGTCGTTCCCCCCCCCCCCCCCCCGCGGCGCATTATGAATTGTGTCCTCTTATAATTAAAATTGTGATTTTTGTGTACTTTGTTCATTAATTACTTGTGTATTTGCTTGCTACCTTCCATCTTTTTTATTTTCAAGCCTGTTGATCTTCTTAGAGGAAGATAATGAGCTGACAATTTTTGTGGTGTGTAATGAGATCTATATGAGATCTCTTTGTGCTATGGGATAGGTAATGATTTCTGCAACCAAGCAGTGAAGCATTAATCGTTATATGGACTTTATTTCCAGGCCACAATCATTAATGCATTTTTGATATTGGGGCTTCACTCAAGTAGTGAAGGGTTAGGAATTAGTAGGTTCTGCATGAAAATCCAGGTCGTAAGTGTTGTTTGGGCCTGGGAATTTATATACTTCTTTGATAATTTACAGATTATGGAGTGACTTCATATGATATTGGAACTGGTTTTGGGCATTTTGCAATTGCAACTGAGGATGTAAGTGTCATACTATATTTTTAGGTTTTTAAGCAGATTTTTTTTCCTCCTTGGTGCTCAGAATAAATTGCATGTTTCATGATATTTTAGGTTTACAAGCTGGTGGAGAAACTTCGTGCTGTTGGTGGCAACATTACTAGGGAGCCTGGTCCAGTCAAAGGTGGAACATCTGTTATTGCCTTTGTGAAGGATCCTGATGGTTATATCTTTGAGCTGATCCAAAGAGGTCCAACTCCTGAGCCCCTCTGCCAAGTAATGCTTCGTGTAGGAGATCTTGGTCGCTCTATAAAGTTCTATGAAAAGGTACCACTGTCTGTCTGCTTGAATTTTGCAATTTCTGGGACGGTAGTGGCAGGAGGCTGAGCAATTATCTTTTATGAGCAAAGAAAGGAAAGAATATTTTAGCATCTGAAGAAAAGAATCCATTTTAGTTGGGCTAGTAATAGATTGCAATGTAATTAGTAATTAAGTGAAAGCTCATCTTCAGGATGGTTATAAATAAATGTAGTTACACATAAAGAATTGATTTGGTTGAAGCTAAACATGTAGGAATTGGAATAATTCCTCTTAAACCTTACCATTTTTGGGTTGATATGTTGAGGGTTTCAATTTCTTCAAATTGATTAATTTAAAAGGATTCTATAATAACAGAACTTGTTTGAATTTCAATGCAATCTGGTCATTAGGAATTTTTTATTACCCGGTTTTTTTAGTAAAACAGTAAAGTCTATTCCTATGTGTTTGTGAGGCTACAAGGAAGCAGGCATCAGGGAAACTAGTAGTAGCCCAAAATAACACATATGATCTAAGCTTCTTGGTTTTTTCTTCCATGCAGGCCTTGGGGATGAAGCTCTTAAGGACAATTGATAGACCTGAGCACAAGGTGAAATGTTCTCTCTCTAATGATTTGATGCGTATAATAAGTAGTAGATGTACTCATTATGCTTTGAGATATGGATTAAACTTTTGGAGTTCCCTCACCTTGTTGATTGCAATTCACAGTACACTTTGGCCATGATGGGCTATGATGATGAATACAAGACAACTGTTATGGAATTGACTTACAATTACGGTGTGACTGAATACACCAAGGGAAATGCATATGCGCAGGTGGGTTAAATTCATTTCAAGCTATTCTAACTCCTCAATTATTCCTGAACTTGAACACTGATGAATCCAGTATTCACTGCAGGTTGCAATTGGCACTGATGATGTGTACAAAAGTGCTGAGGTTGTCAACTTTGTAACACAAGAGCTTGGTGGAAAGATAACTCGTCAACCTGGACCAATTCCTGGACTCAACACCAAAATCACCTCTTTTCTAGATCCAGATGGCTGGAAAACTGTAAGTTTTCTCTAATCAATTTAGGTTCTATGTTAAATAAGATGTTGCATACTTCTCTCCTTTGATGCATGCAATTGAAATTGAATGTTAAAAGTAGCTAGGAAATCTGTTTTCATTTATGTTTTCAACTTGCTAACTAAAAATTACATCAGAAAATTTTATGAGGTGAAATATGCAAAACAAGAATGTTATCTACCCTAAAATTTGTTGCCCGTTGATTTGTTTTCCTTTTGAATATTTTTGTTTTTTTTTAAATAAAAATAAAACAAGACTTTTGAGCCTTATAACAAGAATCAAGTGTTCCTGGAGACGGGAGAAATAGATTCCATTCCTATAGCATGTGATAGCTTGCAGCAAATGTATTGATGAAGCTTTATTTGTCCTATGGAGAAAGCGAGACAAGCAAAATGAGTTACTAAATTTAGCTTCTTCAATTCTGAATTTGCCGTAAATGCAAACATGTTTTGTTGTAACATCTTAATTATCGTTGTGTACCACGTATTTGCAGGTTCTGGTGGACAACGAAGACTTCCTCAAAGAACTGAACAAGAAAGACTAATAGCTTAAATAGAGGATTCTGCATCCATTAGCTATCTGAGCTTTGCTATCGATGTATAAATAAGGCAGTGTCTGTGTTTATCCATAGTCACAGCAGCCAGTAACCTCTCTGTTTCGATATGGCTGTTGCTTGTTTGAAATGAATGAATCTGCTACTTCGAACTGAAAGAAAATGTTTGTGGTGGGTTTTCGTAGGATTTTTGGTTATTATCAGTTTCTTGCCATCTCTGTTTTCTTTTCAGCCATGTACTAATGATATTGCCATTCATATTCCATTAAATCGTTAAGAAATCACTGCTCAAATCGGCAAAAATAATGAGAATATCGACCGCTTTAGCTCCAAAATAAGCTTGCCTTTACCTGAGAAACATGACAGAGAAGTGAGAACGACCACCTCAGAGACATGTCTTCACCATTTTCCATCAAATTTTCTTACAGTTCTAGATTCACCTTCACCACAAGACTTTTGTGGTCCTTTCTGATAAATGGGCCGGGTTTGCATGCTTATAGCAGGCTTATCTAGTCTAATTGTCTAGGCCCATCCATTGGAGCAATGGCAACCAACCCCATAAGGAACAACTAGGGTTCTTCATTTCTACCTTGAGGAGCAGTAGAGTGGCGAACGTTTGCCCTAATTTTCTAAATTCAAAGGCAAAGATTGAGGGAAAACTCAGCTATGGCTGGTGATTCTGAGAAGCCCAGCAGAATTAGATACCAATTTCTTGTGTCATGCTTCAGCAAAAGAACACAGAGAGATATCCCATCATCATCTTCATCAGAGTCGTCCAATTTCTGTCTGAATGATCTGCAAGATCTATTGATTGAAGTTTTTCAAAGGCTACCCACGACCAAATCTGCCTTTCTTTGCAAGTGTGTCTGCAAGAATTGGTACTCTATGATTTCCACTCCTTATTTTGCTTGTCGCTTTATAACCCACAATTTCAATAGTCGATACAAGCAAAAACCATCTGCTCTTATCGTCAATTATATCAATGACCGCAATGGTATTGGACTACTCACATTATCTGATGAACCCATGTTCAAATCTGAAGGATTTGAGCTCAACTATCTCCCCGAGAGAAATGGATCGGTTAGGGTTTCAGCTGTTTTCAATGACTTGATGGTGTGCTCGGTAGATGAGTTTGGATATGGGAAATTACGATTTTATATATGTAATCCATTTACAATGCAATGGGTTTCCCTCCCTTCGCTTGACTATGGAATAGACATAGTATATCCGAGCCGAGTGGGATTTGTTTGTGAGCCTTACTATTTTGAAGATAGTCGAGGAAAATGTACCATCAATTGCAGATATCGGTTCAGGGTAGTTCAATTTTTTTATAAACAAACGGATAGACAATTAATTGTTTGGACATGTTGTTCTGAGACTCAAACATGGTGCAAATCAGTTTTTGAAGTTTTAGAATATAGATGGTTGAAGAATGTTGTTGCATACAATGGGAAGTTGCTTTGGTACAGTGGCAAGCATGTTGTTGCTTATGATCCCTTCAATCTAGAGCTATCCACCTTTATTGATTGCTTTCATATTACTGGTGATTCTCGCATTACGGTGTTTCGGGGCGTTCTGCGTTTGATGGAATTGGTAGATTTGGGCACTAGTTGGAGTTTGGCAATTTGGAAACTCAAGGATTATAATAAGGGGGAATGGAGCTTGGAGAACCAGGTTGATCTTCATACAATGATTCCTGAAAGTTCCTTGGTCCAGGAAATTGTAGATGATGTATACCAAGTGTGCGAACTGCTGGGTTGTGATGGGGATATTGTATACTTGCAATTCGAAACTTCTGTCCTCTCATGCAACATGCGGACGAAGGAGTTGAAAATGGCGGGTAAGATTCCAGGTGAAAGCTACTTCTATTGTCTCGAAAAGGCCTTCCATATTGAACTCCCATTGTGGCCTACTCCAATTGCCTCACCAAATTGAAATACTTCCATGTCATTGAGGAAATGATTGGTAAGATTCCAGGTGAAAACAAGTATTTCATTTTGAAAAATTGCATTAGCTGAATTTAAAAATACATGTGTTCAATTTATTAAATTGATAATAGAGGAAATTGGTAAAAATATAGGATGCCAATAATGGGTTTATCCAAGATTTTATGTGATGATGGATATAAATTAACAGAGTTGAATGTCTCATGATGAAGAAGATGATCATTTGGAATAATGGTAGAAGTTCACGTATTCTCATGGAATAGAATATTCTTCAACGGCTTTTTCTTGGTCCTTGATTCTCATACACTGGTTTTTTTTTTTTTTTTTTTTTGGTTCTTTAATTTAATAACTACACAAAAAGCCAAGTACTTACAATGTTTGTAATGCTGTGATGACATGGATGGTAGGAATTGCCAATTGGATCATTAACAGTTTGCCAAAAATAATTCGAAACCTTGATAAAATAACTGTGATTAGGAGTAACCATATCTATTCAGTCAAGTTTGAAACTAGGTGTATTCATTCAAAAACTAATCGCAATTTGGCATTGGCTTATTTCAGAAAATGATGAACTTAGTTTCGAGGGATGTAAAAACTGATTTAAAAATACTTCATTATTTGTAAATATATATAGAAAAAAAACCATTATCGTAAGATAACCATCTAAACTTCACGCTCTATACAATTAGGATTGGATGTGCACTTTTTTTGACAAGAAGAATCGAGATCTAAGTAAGGATCGTTTGTAATTTTCAATCTAGTCAATTTGAACAGATTAGCTCTTAGTTTTATTTATTTATTTTTTAATCATTCACATTGCTTTCAATTTGAAATTGACTCTCAATCTCCTCCCTTGAAGCCAAATGAATTGGATGACAACTTCTTCATGATAATTTCTCCTTTCCATCCTTCTATTTTATATGAAATTCTTGAAAAACATAGTCTAAGTCTCATATATGCCGACTATCATTTTCAGACATAAATGTCTGCTGGTCAGAACTTTTTCAAATTTGTTGCATTTGACATACTCGACAAACCATGGAGATTTAAGGTCTCTGTTCGGAATAGAGGCAAGCGTGCAAAACCTTGGCTAAATGGCCAATGGGATCCCTTCGTCAAGCAGCGAGGGCTGAGGAAAGGATACTAAGCTGCATCGACTATGCATGAGCACGAGAACGGCTGCAGAACTTATCATTTCAGAGCTGAAAGAAAGCATTTTGGTTTCTGGTATTTAATTTAGAAATTTCATAATATTCAAGGAGTAATTAGTAGTATGTACAATAGTTATTTCATGGATCTATTTTGAGGAAAGATAGATAGATAAAAAAAAAAAGAGAAATAGGAGAAAGAAAATTAAAAAAAAAAAAATTGAGCGAATGTAGAAATTTTTTTATCACTTTTGATAGATTCGAATGTAATTTTTTTTTTATGTGTTTCTCTTTAAAATAAATCCATAAAGTAAATCTATAAAGTAATTATTGTATATATCATCGTGACTCTTGAATATTGTAAAACTGTTGAATATTGTAAAATTTTTCGTATTCAACAGATAGCTTCTTTTTCCCTTATTTATCACAAAAATGCTCTTGTCGTGGGTTAGAAAATATACTTTTTGTACTTTAATATATATATATATATATATATATATATATATATATATATATATGGGTTTTCTCCAACATTCAGCGACATGTACAATAAATGAATTAATCAAATGAAAAGTCCTTTTATTTTTGACATTTTTTGAATGCAGCTCTTTTATTTTTTATTTTCATCACATTCCTTTATTTTTGAATTCTTTTAATGTGATCCCTCTGATGGTTTTTCAATTAATTATTTTAGCAAACACAAGTGGCAAAAAAATTTAACTGATGTAGTGTCATGTCAAATAAAATTGCCACGCGACCAAGAAAAAAATAAAAAAGAGACTGGAAGGAAAAGAATTTTTTTTTTTTTCTATCCTCTCCTCTGCTTCATCTATTCTAGTGAAAGGCCCATCTAGGGGCTGATGGGTCACTGCTATTGGAGCAAATCCAATAATTTTAAACACTGAACTTTTAATAGCAGACCCATCTAGTCTAGTTGTAGGCCCATTATTGGATAAATGGCAACCAGCCCATGAGTCATTGCCATTGGCGGCGATTAGGGTTCTTTATATTTGCGTTGAGTAGCAATAGAGCGGCAAATGTTTGCCGTAATTTTGTGAACGGAAAGGTGAAAGATTGAGGGAAAACTCAGCTATGGCTGGTGATTCTGAGAAGGCCAGCAGAAGTAGAGACCAATCTCTTGTGTCATTCTTCAACAAAAGAACAAGGATAGATAACCCATCGTCATCTTCTTCTCCTTCTTCATCAGAGTCATCCAAATTCTGTCTGAATGATCTGAAAGATCTATTGATTGAAGTTTTTCAAAGGCTACCTACCACCAAATCTGCCATTCTGTGCAAATGTGTCTGCAAGAATTGGTACTCCTTGATTTCTACTCCCTTTTTTGCTTGTCGCTTTATAACCCACAATTTCAATCGTCAGTACAAGCAAAACCCATCTGCACTTATCATCAATTTTCTTGATCTCACGGGTAATGGAGTACTCGCATTTTCTGATGAACCCATTTTCAAATTTAGTGGATTTGGGCTCAACTATCTCCCTGAGAGAAAGGGGTTGGTTAAGGTTTCAGCTATTTTCAATGACTTGATGTTGTGCTCGGTAGATGATTTTGGAGTTGGAAAAATACGATATTATATATGTAATCCATTTACAATGCAATGGGTTTCCTCCCTATGCATGAATATGGAAGAGGCATGGAACATCAAAACCATGTGGGATTTGTTTGTGAGCCTTATTATTTTGAAGATAGCCAAGGAAAATGTACCATCAATTGCAGATATCGGTTTAGGGTAGTACATTTTTTTAAACCAAGGGATACACAGATAATTGTTTGGACGTATTGTTCTGAGACTAAAAAATGGTATAAATCAGTTCTTGAAGGTTCAGGATATGAATGGTTGACTAATGTTGTTGAATACAATAGGAAGTTGCTTTGGTACAATGGCAAGCAATTTTTTGCTTATGATCCCTTCAATCCAGAGCTATCCACTTTTATTGATTGCTCTTATATCCAATCCACAAAGATTTTGTATACTGGTGATTATCGCATTGGGGTGTGTCAGGGCTTTCTGCATTTGATGGAATTCGTAGATTTGGGCAATAGTCGAACTTTGATTATCTGGAAACTCAGGGATTATGATAAGTGGGAATGGAGCTTGGAAGACCATTTTGATCTTGACGCAATGATTCCTGGAAGTCCCTTGGTCCAGGCAATTTTAGGTGATAGCGAGCACATGTTAGGACCGCTGGCTTTCCACCCATGTGATGGGGATATTGTGTATTTGCACTTTGAAAATTTTGTCATCTCATGCAACAGGCGGACAAAAGAGTTGAGAATGGCGGGTACAATTCCAGGTGACAGCTACTTTTATAGTCTTGGAAAGGTCTTCCATATTGAACTCCCATTGTGGCCTACTCCAATTGCCTCGCCGATTGAAATCCTTCCGTTTTATTGAGAACATGACTGGTTATCGTTCGGTACTATCTCTTTTCCTCTCAAATCTTCTCTTACTGCATTCATCTTAATGTTGTTGCTGGTGGCTGCCATGAGTTAGTCTGTCAATTGTTACTTAAATTAAGTTCTTTGATTCTTTTCCTAGTTTATCTGGGTGAGTTTTGTGTTGTGAATGATAAGTGCATCAAACCTATGTCCACTCGAATTATCGAAAGCAGAAATGATCAGTTCAATTTTGGCTTTAACTATGCTGAAGTCCATAGTATCACATACAAAGGAAATATATTTAGTTTAACCACAGATCTCTCCTTGAGTAGCTAAGGATTTTCACTTGCTTCAGTAGCTTTTTCCTTGTCAATCCTCATCATTACCTTTTCAATAATGGTGAAATATGATGAAAATTGGAACAAGTGTTGGTTTGCTCTGGGAATCTTTTTTTATAAAAGACTAAATTGAAGAATTTATACAAAAAGAAGGATGAAAATATGGGTTGAACTACTCGCATTTATTTATCTTGCAGTAAAATTGTGGGATTCGTCCCTATCTTTAAGCTGACATTTTCCAATTTGATCAGCACTCACGTAGTGTTGTCAACCAATCTTCTTTTATACCTTATGATTGGAAGTGATAGATTCCATTGCAACAATGGAAAAAACATAGTTTGGTTAGATTATGGATGATAAGAGCTTTTTATTTCCCACCTGGAAATTTAAAGGGACTATTGATTCAGAAGAGAGTTCAAAAACTTAATCGCACACATAAATTATAACTATAAAGAATATCACACGAAATTGGAAAAGAAATAATTGCACAACAAAGATTTTATGCATAAATCAATCCTAAACCATAACGTTTGTTGTATGCTCAATATGAGCTCCTTATATAATTAGGATTTGCGCAATGCCTGTATAAAAAGATTATGCCATATCTTTAACACAAATTTGAAATTGGATTAAGTTTAATTTTAATCCTCTAATAAATATAATATATTTCATCAACTTTGCAGCATCTGTATGAACCAAAATCACAAACTAGAAGTTACAATTTTTTTCAACTTTTTGTGCAATTAAATTTAAGATCAACTAATCGATAATAATTGAAACGGAACAAATAAACACAAGCACAATCAACATATGAATTTTTTTATTTGAAAACCCCTATGTAAGAAAATAACTACGGGATAGTAACCTGTTCAAATTCTTCTACTATATTAATAACGTGAAGAAAAAACCTATGGGATCATGGTTCACTCAAATTATGCGATACACATTCTTTTCTAGGCTCAACTATAGGATATACAAATCAGCTTTTAGAAAATACCCAAAGGTAAATTTAGAAAATACCCAAAGGTAAAAACTTTTCAACGATCAATTAATATCGTTCAAGTTGAAAAGTTTTTTTTTTTTTCTTTTTTTTTTTTTGTCGAAAACAACATATCAAAATTTTATTTTAATCAAATTTGAAATCACCTTACCATCAAGCTTCAAACACAAATAGCACGCTTTCTGTAATTTCTATATCTCTCGGCCAAAATCTCTGCTAGGTTGAAAAGATACTGATTGTTTCTTTATATATATATATATATATATATATATATATATATATAAAGCCACATTACGTGACTTAGTTTAGGAAAGGCCCCCTTTTCTTTTCGTGTTTCCTTTTTCCTTATTTTTACATGAGTTTGGGCCCTATATGAGAAGGTACCCAATCCACCAATACTATCTTACAATTAGGGTTTGTAAACAAAGGAAAAGCACGCAACATTATTTAAGCGTGTGACTTAAATTTGTGGTTTATTTCTAACTAGTGCAGCTCCCGAATTGAATAGCTAACGAAATAAGGAAAGGCCAAGAAAACTCTGCATAAATTCAATGGCTAAAAGGGTGTGTCCTGCATCGGCTCCTCCCATCAAGAAGCAGAAGGTAGTGGTGTTATTTGATTATAAAAAAAAAAAAAAAAAAATTGAACTGCAGCATATGTGTTGAATTTCCTCATGTATATGGCTTTAATTTGTGTTTGACCTTTGGATCCAAATTTATAATTGTCAAAACAGAACAGGATCATGAGGTGTATCTAACAAACATAGTATGTTTGGTTATGTATGTGATCATGTGTGTAACCTTAGGTGTAAGTTTGATGGTTAAGAAGATTTTATTTTATCACTTAGTAGGATATTGTTTTTTCTTTAATTTCTGTATTTATTAATTTTTTGAATGTTTCACCTGAAATCAGTTTGATGAGCAGATAGACAAGGGTTTGGAGGATTGGATAAGCCAATTACCTGATGGAATTCTTGTTGGCGTTCTGTCTCTTTTGAAGCTGCAAGAACCAGTGTTCTTTCGTGTAGATGGACGAAGTTGTGGACTTAAACTTTGAGGCACACAATACATTGGTTGACATAGGATGGGAAACTAAGAAAGGATCAAGTATACTAGCTGGGTAAGCCGAGTAGTAAAATCGTATCAAGGTCCAATGGTAGATGAGTTTCGGATTCGTTTCGATTTGGATAGACGTTTGAGACATGACATTGATAGATGGATCAAGTTTGCAATTGAAAAGAAAGTCAAGAAACTTGAGTTGAACCTATCTCGCAGTTTTGGAGCCAGTCAAAGATTAAAATACAATTTCCCACTCAAACATTTTGAAATGAAACTGGGATCAATGGATATTGGTTTTCCTAGCTGCAATTCATTTACTGCTCTCCAATTGACTAACGTGAATGTAACTTGAGGAGCTGTCGAGTACTTTCTATCCAATTGTCTTGCCCTCGAAAGATTATCTGTGGAAAGCTCAGATAGTCTAGTAAATCTGAAAGTTGCCGGTCCATTGCTTCAACTTAAGTATTTGGTGATAAAAAATTGCTTCTATATCAAGAACGTTGAGATTTCAGCCATGAATCTCGTGTCATTCATTTATATGGGACCAGATATAGGAATGCCCATGTTCCCCAACTTGTTAAATTTTCGATACAAAGAGCTTTTTCAGATTATAATGTTGAAGATTTTTGCAAGTTTTCAAGATATCATCAAGTAGGGACACTTGCATTGCATTCTTTAGAAGCGAAGGTAAACATCGAATTACATTTTTTTTTAATTTTCCTTTTAGATACTAAAATAAATTATACCACTTACAAATATGCATGTGGTTATATATATATATATATATATATTGCAGAACAAAATGGAGATTCTTGAAGTTCCTGTGGTGGCCAATATCAAGCAATTGAAGTTGATAGCTTTTGTAAGTAGGGACGAAACCTCCCTTCTCGCCCTCACCTCATTGATTGAGGCAGCTCCTTTTCTCCGGAGTTTTATTTTTCAGGTATTTCGCAAGTTGACAAGATCTTAAAAATGTTTTTGTCTAGGACGGAGGATTCTTCGTAACTTTCTTTGTAATTTTTTTCTGCCATTATCTTGCTACTTCTAAATCTAAGTTTATCAATCGTATTTGGCTATATTTTTTCTTGTTTCAGTTACAAGGGCGTGAATCTTTCATGCCAAGAACAAAACAGAAGCCTAAAAGGTGCTTTCATCAACACCTTAAGATGGTGGAAATCCATGTTTTTCCAGGCAAAACCATAGAAGACGAGCTTGTGTTGTACATAAATGAAAATGCTATCAATCTTGAGAAGATTATTTTGGACACCCGCGGTGGACCATTCATAGGAAGCTCATTGGAGTTTGAAGAAATTAGGAGAAAAAAGGCAGCAACGTATGCCAAGAAATTTGATGTAAAACTACATCCGAGAGTCACTTTAATGATCTTGTAATTTTTAATAGTTGATTTGAAATCACATATAAGAAGCAATTTTTGAATGGTGCATGCTAAAATTTATTCTATTTAATCCTATATTAATTACTTATTAATTCATATATGATTTGGAACTCGTGCAGGGGACTAATTTGAAGTCTCCTGTCAAAATTAGTCCCTTGCTAATTTGATCTAGTTAATAAAAAATTATTTTATGATGTATGAGATCTTAATTCAAATCCGATCCAGTTAAATAAGTTTGTTATATAATTTTATGATCTGAGTTCAATCATGACCTGAATCTGTTTATCAAATGAATCAAATATGGATATCCCTTAAATCGGTCTGAATCTTTTGTGTTAATTCGAAAAACAGTATATATATATAAATGTATGCACGAACGAGATAATTCCAGCTTGTTTTCCATTTTCATAATTACCCTTCCCAATTCCCAAATCCTAACCCCACCGTTCCCAGGATTTGAACCTGAATTCCAGCCGTAATTATTACTAGCTACTTATGATATCAGATACCTCTTTCCTGCCAATTTCAACATTTGTTTTCGACAGATGTGTAATAGCATACTGTGATACTATAGCCACTGTGATCGGATTTTCAACCGTTCGTTATTTAAAATTATGATTAGTACACTATAATTGTATTTTCAACCGTTTGCTATTTAAAACTACGATCAGTGCACCACCACTCAATAGACACAGTAAACTATCTAAGAGAAAACTGTCACCTTGTAATCAGCTCTGGCAAGCTTTCCTTAAAAGCTTCAACCCTAAATGCTTGAGGAGACTGGAAATCTTACAATGCCTTCCCTGTTACAAACTCATTAGAAGATAGCTGCATTCCCAAGGTCTGCACAGAAGGAAATCCAAGAAACGTAGATGAAATGTGTTATTTTGGTTCCTTCAACAATGTACACTAACAAATGCATGGAAAATAAAGAGTTGCAACTTGACTTTATAACATAACAGATGAGATGATCATGAATTCCTGGTAACTAGACTAGCTTAAAATTCAATTAGTATTCTGCTATTAAAGGATCTGGTTTGAATTGGTTAATTTTAAAACATCAAAATCCCACCATATAAAACCAAAAATGGTATTAGGAGCAATCATTCCAACTTGGCTGATTTTAAGCCTTCCATGAAGAAAATCAACAAGAAAGCTTAAAAGATCCTAACTTTGACCAAATAAACAATACACACATAATTAGTAAATTCAATACAAAATTAACGGAATCTTCCATCAAGAAGATTATTGTATGAATATAAAGGATAGGGTACAAGTAACATATGTTAAGCTAACTCCACAAGAAATCTGCACCTGACCCAAGAAAGGCATTATTTGAGCATTTCTCTTCTGCTATATCCCCTTTTCATTTCAGAAACTTCGGTACAAAACCTTCACCAAAAGCAAAATTGCCCAAATTTGCAAAACCACATAACTTGCAAGAAAGCAGACTTCAGAAAATCAAAACATAAAAAAAAAACTTGTTTATTAATAAGAGAAAACATCTTTTTCCTTCATCTACTGGATTCAAGGGTACAAGTGAGGAGGGATGTTGAAAATTCTACTATCTTCCTAACCATTTCGACAGGTGGGTAGTATTTCCTCTTCATCTGTAAGCTCTTTTAGGCTTTCTGCTATCCAGGATACCCCCAAGGGTGGCCAACGCATCTTGGTACTTGGAAATTTTGAGGAAACCCCTTATCATGGTTACTTCATTTTCTGAGAATTTTGCTTTCACCATGACCATATCAATGAGCTTAATTAGGGTTCCCTCCATAGCTAAAGCAAAAAGTCCTTCAGCCAGCATGTAGAATGATGAGAATTCTGGTACATATCCTCTCTCTAGCATTTCCATAACAAAATCAACAGCTTCTCCAATTGGCCCCCCACCCTGGCACAGCCCCCGGAAAACAATCTTATACGTGACAGCATCTGGAGCCTCAGCCTTCTCTATCATTTCTCTGAAAAGTCTCATGGCTTCTTTTGATCTCTTTCGTCTAAATAGTGCTTGAATTACAGGGTTATAGGCATGTGGAGTCAGAACTATGCCTTTCATTTGAATGGTTCTTAGGAGCTTAGTTGCAACCTCAATTCTACTTGCCTTGCACAGTCCTGCAATCAGGGTCCCATATGTGACAATGTCTGGTTCACACCCATCAGAAGCCATAGTTTGGACAATATCTGCTGCCTTTTTTATATCCCCTGCCTTGCAAAAGTACGTAAGCAGGGAATTGTAGGTGAATTTGTCAGGCCTCAACCCTTCCATTATCATCTGGTCCATCAATTGAGCAGCCTCCTCCACCCTCTCACTCTTACAAAGTCCATCAATAAGGGTATTGAAAGTCACCGAATTTCTGGAAACCCCTTGGAGTTCCATCTGGTCAAAGATCTCCTCCGCTTCTGCAATCCTCTTGTTTTTGCAAAACCCATCAATCAAAGTATTATATGTTATGACATTTCGTGCACAACCACTTGATTCCATTTCCTTAAGCAGATTCAAAGCTTCCTGAAGCTTCCCTCTAAAACAAAGGCTGTCAATCAACATATTGTAGGTAAACTCATCAGGATGGCACCCTTTAGTCTTCATCTCCTTGTACAATTCCATCGCAACAGTATGATTTCTAGTCAAGCACAAACCTTGTATAAGAGAATTATATGTACAAACGTCTGGTAAAATCCCCTTACCAGTCAAGACAAGAGCAAGTTTTGTAGCCTCTTCAACTTGGTTCTCCTTGCACAAGGTACTGATTATGGTGTTGTAAGTAACAGTATTTGGTGAACAATCCCCCTCGATCATCTGGTTGAGAATTTCCACAGCCTCATCAACCTCACCCAACTTACACAAACCCGAAATCAAAGAATTATACGTGTATATATCCGGATCAAACCCTTCACTGAGAATCATATCCATAACCTCTAAAGCATGCTTAACATGCCCCGTCTTACACAACCCATTAATCAACATATTAAAAGTATACTTATCCGGAAAAAATCCTTCCCTCAACGACATCTCTTCTATAAATCTCAGTGCCTCGTCAATCCTTCTCTCTTTACAAAACCCATTAACCAAAACATTAACAGTCACATTACTCACAACACATCCAGCTTCCACCATTTGCTCTTTCACTCTCATAGCACCATCTAAATTTCCTTCCTCAATAAACCCTTGCATTATAGTAGTAAATGTTTTCTCGTCTGGCAACAAGCCAAAATCTCCCATCTCCTCCATCAACAAAATGGCTGGCCTAATTTGATGAGCTCTACATAAAGCTTTAATCAAAATATTAAAAGTCGAAACATCAGGCATAACTCCTCTACTAACCATACTAGAATGCGCAGTTTCGACTAACTTTAACTTATTTCCATCAACAAGAACATTCAACAAGAAATTATAGAAATGGGTATTTGCCACTACCCCAAACTCAACTTCCATAACATCAAGAAACTCAAGAATATCATTATATAATCCGAAACTGGCATAACTTCTAATAAAAACAAGTAACAAATCATTGTCAATGTCAATGTCAGACAAAGAAACCTTCTTTTCTTTCAATATATTTTTCATTGCCTCAAATTCACCTACTTTACCAAGTTTATGAAGAACTTCCTTGTAGATGGATGAACTGGGCTCGAAATTGGGCTGCTTTGAGGCCCAAGAGTACAGGCGAAGCAACTCGGAGGAGTCTTCTTCGTGGCGGAGGGAGTGGAGGAGTTGGGTTGGAGTGAAATTGGGAGATAGACGGATTGCTGAGTTGGTGGTGGTGGTGAGAGGCTCATGATTTGTGGAGGCATAAGAGAGAGTGGAACTGGAGGTGGGTTTGTGAGAGAAATGGAGAGCCCGCTGCTGCTGCTGTTGGTGGTGGTGGTAAGAGTGGAAGGGAAACCAAGTGTGACACTTGAGCGTTGAAGTGAAAGCCATGGTGGGTTCAGTTCTTTTTCTGAGTTCGAGCTTCTAAGAATGATCTTTTAGACACATTTCAAGAGAAAGATATGTTGAAGCCATGGGTGTATAGGCAGAAATACTAGGAAGATGGGTTCCAACAGCAAGTGGACTTGCTTTCTATGTTATCACATGAAAACCTTTTTATTTGTCTGTCGATTTCCAGATAAAAACCTTTTATTTGTTTGACTTATAATCATATTATAAGAAAAAAAATTAACTATATACAAATTACGTGATTAATTTCAATAATTTGATCTGAAATTACGAAACGATAAATCATTTCATTAATCCAAGTTATTTTTTTCTGCTGTACATAAGACTCTACAATTTACATCAGTAATTAGAGATTAGAGAATTGACATTAATAGTTAACAAGAAAGAGATCCTATTATCACTACGAACTAAATCAACCACCACTATAACAATTATCCTAATTTAGCCTGTTTTTGTAATGAAGTTTTTTTTAAACTCGAATATTTTAGAAGAAAAATTAGAACTCATCTATTGTAAATGCAAAAAACTCACTGCTACTAGACTTAGAAGTTATTGGTCCAAAATCTATTTTTAACTCGTAATGTTTCTTCTTTCCTGGTATGAGAATTGAGCAGTTCTTGGTTTCCACTCAGGCATGCCCTCGCTGGTTTGCAAGGGCCTTGAGTAGTTCAAAATCAAGGATATACTTTCCAACAAGTAATGAAAAGAAATGATCATTCGCTGGAGAAATCATGGCTAAAACTATCAATCCTTTGAAGAACATGTTATTAAATCTTGCAGGTCCAAAAATATCAAAGATATAGAGAAGGGTTGGGGAAAGAAGAGGGGGAGGGGGTTTACACATTTCATAAACTAATTGTTTCAAGAAACTGAGGGAATGCCCTCACAGTCTATATAGGCCTTCCAATTGTTACAACTTGCACCTAGAAACCCCAATTTTGGGGGAGGGAAAAGAATTATGAAAAGGGAAAAATAGAAGAGAGATCATGCCAAGGAGAAATAACCATAGCATCAACATGCCATCACAGCATCCCACCAATCTCTGTTCCGCTTGCACATTTATCTGAATCATGCATATGTACAGCGACAAAAGCTGAATCATAATCTCTTTGTTGCAGGTTCGATGACCATCTAAAGAGTTGTATCTGTTGGATAGCAGCCAAGAACACGAAGAAATCTTGCAAATTCCTGGATGAAGATAAACAAAATTCGAAATCAATTCAGTTTCAGTTAACAAGTTGTGGAAAACCAAATATACAGCATATCAGAGAGTAGTTCAAAAGGCAGTAGAAGCTTGGAGAAGAAACATATGATCAGGGTTTGCTTTTTTATGACATATAACAAGAATGAGTTTTCTCAGATGTGTCAGGAAATTTTAAGACTCGCTGACCTGCAAATGTACCAAAGCATGCTGCGCCCGAGGTTCTGCCATGGAAGCTTCAAAGTCAATGTAGAAAAGGTAATCGAAGTACCTGTTGCCAGAAACAAATCATCACTGTTACACATACTCCAAAATCAAGAAATGTTATCTTCATCTGAAACTACGGAAGATAGCATAGGCCATTTAGTTGCAGGGAAGTTTATGAATAAATGAGGAAACTCAAGACTCGTCAAAAAGTAGGATCAGTCAGTGGAAGTCTATTTTGCACATCAAGATTGATGCAAAACTTATGATGCCAAGGTAAATGGAGACAAACAGAATATTGTATCTTTTAAGCACCAAATTGAGCAAGGGAATGTCTCAAGTCTAAGTCTTACCAATTAAAAAAAAAGACACAAAAATTGGTGCTTCTGAACAATGACAAAACATAAACTTTCATTTTGAATGTTCTATTCTTATCTTCTTCATGGCGTATAGACAAGCGACAGTGCTTTGAGAAATTATCGTAAACTTCTCTAAACATTATGCTATTTGAATGATAAAAGAACAGGGTTATTGGTAACATTTTCTCATATGAAAACAAAAATGCTTTCCAGTCATTGTCTTAATCATTACAAGAGCATTACATATAGGAAAAGGCATGGGAATACGTAATTATTGCATTTTACATTTGTTTTGCTCATGTTTTTTGTTTTTTGTTTTTTTGTATTTCAACAGTCACTCTTCATAGTTTACATTTTTAACTTCCCAGTTTTGCTATTAACTACCTTTGTCTCCATATGTTTTCTAGTTCAAGTAGCATTCTCCTTTTCAATTTTATTTGATCGTCTTTCCAAATAATTTATCTTAATATGCATTGAATTTCATCAACAGAATCTACCACCAGATATAAATGGTAGGTTAGATCACATCCAACCTAACAAATCTTCATAAAAGGTTAACACTTACCTGGCACTTCCCTTGTTAGAATCATCAACAACCCTTAATGGACGCTTTCTTTGTGGGCGACTCTCTATCTGAAAGTTGGTCAAAAAGAAAGAGGACACTTGGTTTCTGAATACAGCTGAAAAAAAAAGGATCTTAGCCAGAAAAATAATTACCTTTGTCAAGTTAATTTCCCTCAAAGCAAACACTGCTAGTGCTTTGAACAGCATGCCAGGACCTTCTTCGAGAGTGAAAACAATGCTTGTCTAAGATGGGGAAACGTCACGACTCGGTAACAAAAGTTTATAACGAAATTTTGTTGATATGTCACAGAAAGTACACAGGACTGGGACACAAATAATAGTACCTTATAAGGCCTGTCACTTCCAGGTATTATAGGTTCTCTTGCAAGTATCAAAAAGCGGGTAATATTATCATCATCATCCTGACATATATGCAAGAGAAGAAAATCAGGCTAAATTTTGATTTTGCAAAACTAAGAATCAAAGCAATAATGGCATGGGCATTAAAGACAAGGCTATATATGCTAACATATTTACAGGCACAACCGAATGAAACTCCTCTTAAGACTAGATCCCAAACACATCAATCATATTTGCAGAACATATTTGGGGGCATAAATAGCATAAACTGCAGTGCAAATATTGAATCTTAAAGCATGTTTTCCAACATTGTAAAATCAATCATTAGGATTTTCTGAGAATGTTAACGAGTGAGCATCTTTAGAGGTTGTAGCTTAACAAATGACTTGCACACATTTCAGATTATAGCATTCTCCTCCAAGAGAGATCTTTTCAGCTAATTCCACGTCCAGCTGCAAACCCATTGACGTACAAGAGCACATGAGTAACAGGTTTAGAATCTAATCAGATGCCGCCTCTCAAATAGCTTGAACAAGCAGGTCCCAGCTAATTTAGCTAGTAAAGCCACTCAAGCAACCTGGGATAGAATCCCACACTTGTACTAGGGATGGAAGGGGAGGACTAGCCAAAAGGCCGATGGACCAACCAGTACAAAAGAGCTACAATAACATCTTTTATTTGCTCAGCAGATATGCATCTGTGGAGACAAGGTCACGTATGTTTGGCTGTTATTGTCTATTATTGACCACGCAAGTCATATTAATGAATCAGCACTCTGTAGATGCATATGGTAACAATTTAAAGTAAGTTTCAGTACGAGGATCATATTTAATTTGAAAAATCATGTAATAAACAGCAATAGTAAACTTAAAGGAGCCTAACCTGGATCTTTTCTGATAGAATGTCAAGCCCATAGATTTCTGCTGCACGAGCACTAGCAATCGCTCCAGTATCTCTTTCACCGCTTGCCATAACCATCTGTCCCGAACATTTTAACATTTAGTAAATAGACAGTCTATGGCATGATTCAAGCTTGGTCAAAACAAGATTCGAAGGATCTGAAAATCACCTGAGCAGCACCTGCACTATCATCAGCACTAACTCTGATAATACCTAATTTGGTCAGTGTCATCTCACATTGATCAAGTGCCTACAAGTTAAAATATCGTTTAATATAACACCATATATTTTTGAACTTAATCATCACGTCCAAGCATTACCAGTCTGCCTCATATGAAATATAGAGATCGCATGCTTGAAATGTCAAGAAGCAAAGTTTAGGAAAGTAATTAGATCACGTTGAAAGGACCTGCTTTGGCTTGATTAGCACCAGTCAATAGGTGTTGTGCAAGGTTAGATGCGATTCACCTTATGGATTCTGTTACAAAGTTTTTAGTAATAAACAAAACTTCACAAACACTTTGACCACATATTGATGAGTATTCATATCCAATAGCTGAATCTCATGGTGTGCATCGGTAGAGATGGTTTCTAAAACAAACCAAAGTCACAACAATATACTCATCGGAGGGTGTCTCCCTATCTAAAACAAACTTCCAATAAATTCCAGCATGCAAATCATCTAGTATCTTTACTAATAAAAGAAAAACAGTACTCCAAAAGATTGTTAGTTATACTAGTAAAAGGAAAAAAATAATGGTAATGACACCAACACTTAAAATCAAAATTTATTTGTAATTCGATGCACTCCTCAAGGCAAATCATCTTTTTGTACTCCATTAGAACAAACATTCTGAAGAAACCTACCACCATTTACTGCCTCATACAAGCAGCACACGCCATTTTCAGAAAACAATATATCAATAAACTGGGTATTTAGCTTCCTCATCTAACATTCATATGGGATGTATTTGTAAAAACTATTTGTGGACCCATAAAAATGTAGGAGGGGAGAGTAGTACTCTGAGTTTGCACTGTATTGTGTTAAATAATTTCCCCCATTCCCATGCTCATTCCATACCACAACCTTCAATGTCTTTTTACTATGAACAAAGAAGATTACACAGTGATATGCAAGAAATAAAAACAACTAACCTGGGGGTGGCTCAAAACACGTTTCAATTCCTCCTTTGATACACCAGGCAATCCCAAGAGGCAATGGTTAACTACCATCTGCACCTCCCCTACTATATGCAGCCTATGGCGAAGGAGTAAATCATAATTGCGGTGGATGCTGCCACCCACTGAATTCTCGATGGGGAGGACAGCTTTATCCACTAACCAGAGTTCAACTGCCTGTTCAATTAAAAACATGAGAATATTGGAGAAAATCATTTGTAGATTAGTTCAACAAAGAAAAGTGAGATGTAAGAATTATATGAACCTTGAAAGCAGCTTCAAACTGGTCACATGGGACAGTTTCACACTTTGGATATGCTTTTAGCGCAGCAGCCTCACTGTATGCACCCGGTATTCCCTAAAAGTGGGCACCAAAGCCAACATGAGAATAGCACAAAGTACGTGGATGTTTGGGCGAAGAAAATTCAAGTGCTTACCTGATAAGCAACCCGTACATTTGCACCATTTCCAGGAGAAGAAGAAAAATCTGTGGCGGACAACGGTTCTACAATACATGGCAAAAATGTAAAACAGATCAATGAACATTTGGAGTTTAGGAAATTGACACCAGCTAAATAAATTTTCTTTATCAATACGGTACTGGCACCATGGATTATTATAGCTTCATCTAACTTAATAGGCAACATGGTAATTATCTGCCACGTGGTTTGAAGGTTACAAATACAAATAAGATCTAGCACAAACCTCCAGAAGAACTAACATACCCAGACTACTGGACAGACTGATGCAAATAATGGAAACCACTGATTTCACATTAATGATTGAAAAGGAATAAAATTAGTTACTACTATAAAGATCGATCCTTGGACCAATTATGCATGCAGAACACGACAATTAACCCAAGAAATGCTCGAATGCATGCACTCGACGAGCACATGCAACAAGGCTAACACCTTCTATAGAATTTTAAAATTCTCAACAAAATCTTCTTCCAATATAAAGCTAGAAATGCCTGAATCCGTGCACTCTACGAGCATCCGACTCGATCGCATCTTATATGGCATTTCAAAATGCTGAACAAATCTTCTTATTTGGAATTTCAAAATTCTCAAAAAAATCTTCTAATATAAACCTAGAAATGCCTGGATGCATCCACTCTACATGCACCCAAAGCAATCAACATCTTATATGGCATTTCAAAATTCTGAATAAATCTTCTTCCCATATATTGGTCAAACATTCAAAATCATCTTATAAGCTTCAAATCATTAGTTTCAAAACACAGTTAGAACCACACAATTGAGTATATCAGCTAAAAAATATAAATTCATTCCATCATCCCATCTATTGTCACAATAACATTTGCTAAAAACCACAAAAACTACAGAACAGAACAGAAAATCAATCTGCATTGCCAACCAATTGATTATGTTTTGGCTTTCAAGTTCAAACCAAAATGATCGTTATACTATTATAAAATAGTATACAAGGGCCTAACAAGCTATTAAGAACATAAAGCATAAGAAGCTATTAAACATAAAACATAAATTCACTATATAACAATCCAATAAAAAATAAAAACGGCTTCACTTCTGAAACAATGAATCAAAATATAAGAACTCACTAGGAAGAAGGTTCAAATCCTTGTGAAACCCTCTGGACTGGGTGTCCTGAACCTGATCAATTGCCCCAGAAGTCTCCACCTGAGGAGTTAATGGCTTCTCATCTTCAACAGGAGTGATAGCTCTTTTAGCCAAAACACTCAAATAACAACATTCCCATTTAGGAACCTTCTCAAGATCCCAATTGCACCTCAAATCCACACATCTCCTTAACCCCAAATATAAAACACCCACATCAGAATGCGGCCTTAAAGGGCTAGCCCAGATGGGAGAAGCAGCCCTTAAAGCCATTAAAGAGTAAAAAAGACTGCAACTTTCACAATGTAAATGCAAATTTAAACCAAAACGTAAAGAACAAAACCAAAGAAAACTCCCCCACCAACAAGGTTATTAAGAAAACATAAGAAGAGAAGGGTTGTTGGTGATGGGGTTGTTGGAGGTGAGTTTTGGTGAAATCTCCTACAACATTGTCAAGGAAACTCAATCAATGGACCCCACTAACCAAAAAAAAAAAAAACATACAACCAAAACCCACAACTCTATGGTCTCCCTATGTAATGAAAAAAAAAAAAAGAGAAGTGATCTTTTCTCTTTTTCATTTTATATGACACAAAATTGGTCTCTTCAAGGGATAGTTAGTGAGGTAGGTGAGCCAGAATGTTGGCTACACGTTTCCTTCGAATTCTAGAGAGACAAAGGAAAAAAAAAACTTCATGAGAGAGAGAGAGGGGCACTAAAAAGACAGCTGATAAATTTTGAGTAACGTGTGTTTACTTGGCTTTCTCTATCTTTAGTTATTTTGTGTCCCACTCTGATATGCATTAAACTCTTAACCCTTTCAGGGGTATTGCCAGATAAGACTTGGAGAATGTAAGTTATGTTCTATCCTGTTGGGGTAAACCTTGTTTTTGTCACTATAGATTCACCAATATTTCACTTTTATCCCTATACAAAATTAATTATAGCTCACATGTTACGTTAATGGTTGCATTGGTCTGTCTACTCTTTCTTGTATTTTTACCTTGTTTTTTTTTAACATTTTTTGGTCTTAAATTCATCCCTTTAAATTTGGTTTTTGTCTTAAATTCCGTCTTTTAGTCAACTTTTTGGACTAATATGTTTTTATCTTAATCTCTTTTTATCTTTACCTTTTTTTTCAGTTTTTTCTTTTATTTTAACTTAAAAAAAAAGTAGATAGACAAGAACATGAATTAATTAGTTCCACCTACCAAAAACTAATTATTGAATCTTTATTTTTTTAAAATGTATATTTTAATCATTTTCATTTTTTCCAATTTTTTAAGAAATATAAAAAATAAAAATATATGGAAGAATTGATGAGAAAATATGATATTTTTAAAAATAAAATAATATTAAATTAAACTTAATCAACACTAATCAAGGAATAAATAAATAATTTTTTAAACATACGAGACTAATTAATTCATTTTTTGAAAATAAAAGGACCAATTTATAATTTACTCATAAATTCAATCAATTTGGAAATAGAAAATTAAAAAAAAAAATTAATGCACAATAAGAGTCGGGGGGAACTGTAATTTCCCAATGATTTGGCACCAAAGAGTTTAATCAAAATAGTCAACAATATGCAATTAATTATCTCAAACATTATTTTTAAAATTTGATCGACATATATATATATATATATATAATTGAATGATTTTCTCCTTCCTTCCCTCCTTCTAGATGGCATGGTCAACTCATGCTCCCACAGATCAAGATTTTGGGATTGCTGTCTCTGTTTTTCTGCGTTGTCACCTGGTAGGACTAAAATGGCTGCAATGTTACTTTGTGCCAACTAAAATGGTTAAATTTGACTTTGATGAGCAAAATCTTGTTGGATAAAATCAATCCATGAGTTAAGACAAGACAACAAATGCTTGACAAGGTAAACAATGACATGGAATTGCTCTATTGGACAGTTCTAGATTCTTTTTGTATACTGAGCTGGGTATTCGTCCTCTGAAACCCTACTTCAGTCGCTGGATTGGTGGACATGTTTGGAAAGTTGGTGAAAGGTGGCCAGTGGAAAAGAACCAATCAACTAACTATAAAAGAGTCAAGAAAAATAATAATAATAATAGTAGAGTTTTGGTAATTTGATTGCATTAAAAAAAAAAATAGAAGTAATATTAAAAGAAATACATCTTACTTTTTATCTAAATCAAAATTAAATTTATTATTTTTTAAATTAACTTATCGTTAAATCACGTCTAATTTTTTATGAATTCCAGAATCAAACTTTTTAAATTCACCAATAATTCATGTTAAGTATCGTAAAAATTTAAAAAAAAAATTGAGATTTTTTAAGAGGAGAATCGAATTCCTAATCCAATTAAACAAAAATATATTTTTCATAAACTTACTTACAATGTTTTTTGGTGATAATATTTACGTGTTTGTTTAATTAAAATGATATTATCAATTGTTTTCAATGAATAATTGACAATCATAGAAAAATAAATAAATTTTTATTACTCGTCATTCAATTATTGAAAATTTCTTAAAATACATTCAATATTGCTATTCTCGTAATGTCATTATTCACAGTCAAATAATGACTTTTTTTTACGTCGTGTTATCCTTTGCATTATTCAATGGTATCAAATGATTCTCCTGTGAAGGAAAATTGATTATATCATGAGTAAATCATTAATTTAGTCATTCAAAAACCAATTAATCAATCCCTATATTAATTTAATCACTTTCGTTCATTTCATGTTATTTTCAATTGATTTTTTTTCTATTTTAATAAATAGAAGATAGAAAAAAAATTACGAAAAGATTGTCAGTCAATTTGATTCCTTTGATTATATCAAACGCTGCATCATTTTTGACCCCATCTGCCAATCATCCCACAATATGATATAATATTTCTATGGTCTCTATCTACAGGAGAATCTACAGGAGAATCTGCAGGAGGTTTGAAACAGATATGAAAGAATTTTCTACAAAAACAATGAATGTCCTTGTCACAGCTTCTCTTACCAACCCTTGTGTTTCGTTAGGTAGTTGAATCTATTTGTTCGAAAAGGTAATTTTATTTTCTGTAGGATGTTGCATGCGTTAAGTGCCACAGCTAACCAAATCTTACCTTCTTGAGGTGGTAGGTGTTGAAAAGTTGATGGTAAAAGAAACAAGAAAAACAAAAGCTGAAAACAATTTCTCTATATGGAAAGTGATAGGAGGAGGACTTCTTGTTAAGGTATGGTAGAGAATCACAGTTTCAAAGCATGATGTTTTTTTATTCTTGAAAAATGTCAAGATATATAGCTTGTATTCTATGAATCTTACTGCTCGTGAAGTCTATACACATGCAGCTGTTTTTACCGATTGGGATGTTCCTGGTCATATCTTTTCAACGAATGATTTGATGGCGATCCCACGAATTATGACGAGACATGTAGCTATTCATTTTAGATTATCGAAGATGAAGTGAGCCCTTTTTATTAGTTACATTGCATTTGTGGAGAGAAGAATTTAGAGTATCGTTTTCCTCTTTTCTCTTTCGTGGGGGCTTGAAGATGTTCCACATCTAAAGCTCTCTTTAGCCAATCACGTCCTAGGTCATTGATTGTCTTTTATCACTTAATCATGACTTCTCTTGTCCCATATCGACCAAATAATGTTAAAATGTCTTGAGAAAATCATTATATTTTTTTTGGTAAGGAAGGTATTCCCTTCTTTGAATGTACAAATTAACCTTAACCATGCATGTGTATGTTTGAGGAGGCTACAAGTCTCCTATCGACTAGTATGTGTTATTTCTATGTCTTGACAAAGTCATCATAGTTTTGTTAAAAAAATATGTTATTTCCCCTAATTTATTGACCATTAATTTGGTAGCCAAAAAAAAAAAAAAAAACCACATGCATGTTTGCTAACGATGTTACTAGTTAGTCAAGAAACGTATTTTCTACATTTTGACATCATGAATCCAAGATTGGTAGTAATATTGTATCATAACATCTCTATACATACTAAAGAGTGTTGTAAGGATTTTAAGAAGGAAAACAAAAGATTTCACCAAGAAAATTGAACTCTGCAAAATGTAACTTATAATTAAGTTGATTACTAAGGAATAAAAATTGACAAGAGAGTTTAGTCCAACAGTTAAAATATAAATAAGCAAACATAAAGCTTTCTATCCAAGCTACTAGCTATATAACAGGTGAAATTCAACGTATAAAATTAATTTCATGTTAAATGAATATTAGTATTTGGGATAATTACATTATAAGTAAAATTTTTAATATTTTCTTAATCGAATATTAAATTTTTTTATTTTTGTTTAAGTATATTAATTTTTTTAAAATAGTCAATAAAATATTTTCTTCTAACTTCTATCCATTGTTTTATTACCTGATGATGTGACATTTTTCCTAGACTATTAAATTATAATTTCCTCCTTATTTCATTCTTGGAGGAAATTTTTCCTCTCAAATTATTTTGCCTTTTTGTATTTTTTGCATAGTAAATGCTCAAATTGTTTTTATATGCAAAAAAAAGTAGAAAACAGCAATATATAATAGAAGGGAAAATTCACTTCAAGAATAAAAGAAAAAAAATTAATAATTTAATAATTTGGGACAAATAAAACATCGCTTGCTAACCGAACAATTAACAAAAGTTGAATGAAAATAATGAACTGATAATTCTAAAAAAGTTTGCTTACTAAATCCAAAAAAAAAAAAAAAAATCATATACTTTATTAAGAAAACATTAAAAATAAGTATACTTATAATACAATTATCCCATTAGTTTTAGGTGCCATAGCTAAAATGCATGCACCTGATCATAAGTGAGAAAATCTTATTCCAACAGAAAAGTATGTCACTGGAATTGGAGGACTCTTGTTAGTCTTGTTCTGCTTCATGGACTTGGCTTCATCAACTTTGCCCTCTTCGTTCAATCTCCTTTCTGCAGTACTCTCCTCTCCTTCACATGCAATCCTGCTAGAATCCGACAAGCAACTGAAGAAACCAGACGACAAAGCCATTGATAATACAAATAGCTAGTTATGGCTTGCAAGCTTTCAAACTTCGTCAAGATTGAATTCTTTAGTGTTGGTGATCTTGGTTTTTGAGTTCTTGATCATTGGGATACACAGCTTTTTGCTCCACCTCCATATATATATACATGCTAGAATTTCTGACATGGAAGTGTCCAAATTTCTGTGGCAGTTGCTAGAGAATTCTGGGAGAGACGAGACTAGACAACATCGGTCACTTTCTTGGAACCCATGCGTTAAATGACATGTTGGGTTAAGC